CCCTCTGTTGCTGTCCACACTGGAGGGAAAGAAGGCACTGGACCCTTTGGCTCTGTTGTGGCTCCAACGGGAGAAACGCAGAGCTTCCTACTATGGATGAAGATCTTGGGGATTGGGTGAGGCTTGTGGGTGAAAGTCTATGATTGGCCCAAAGTAACCTAGTGAGCATCACCTCCAAGATGGGCTTAGACCCTGGCTCTCCAGAGTCTCAGCCCAAACTCTAAGCTGCTCTTGAACCCATGACCCTCGGGAGATCAAATTTGCCTCTCTCTGGGTTTCAGTGAGGAATTTTAAGGATGGTCTTTGGGGCTGGGCACCAGGTGGAAATCCCTAGGTCCAAAAGCTCTTTAACCAGCAGCAGCCATATGGACAGCAAGAAGAATGCTGGGAAGATTCTTTCTTTGGATGTTAGAAGCCAACAGATGTTGCTCAGCTCACAGACCCCCTGTGGCCTCTGTCTTCTTGTAAGTCTGCATCGAAGGAAAGGCCATTCTCTCCAAAGCTGGCAATCCTAGGCTCATCCTGTCCGCAGACCATAAAGAAAAGCTTGTGGACTATGGTTGCTGGACGTATGGATCCAGGAGAAGTAAAAACATGCGGCCGCCCTCTCTTTGTCTCCAGTCCGAAGGAGCAGGCTTGTGATGGATGAAGTCACAGCTGTTTGAGCACCGCTGCACAGCCAGATGTCTCCTGCCGGTTAGAAGAATTGCTTTTGACTCCATTCTCAAGCGAACTCTCACCGTGAGATTTGGAGCTGCTTCTCCAAAGATTCTTCTGAACTTGAATCTCTGCTCCTGGCCATGCTCTGTGACAGAGCACATACTTTGCATGGAGAAAGTTCCGATTTCCAGCTTTAGTCATCTCCAGTTCAAACAACCTCATGTGGAGAAGATGTGAAGGTGTTTTTCCGAAACCCCAGAGGACAACGGCCCTTGGCCTGCTGCAGCTTTCCTTGTTTCAGCCTAGCTGAAAAGGACCAGTTTGGTCTGTTTTCTCCTAAACAGACAGCTTATTTTTAATCATGTCAAGCCTCAAAGCAGTATTTCTACACAGCAATGTTTAGAGGGAAATACAAGCCCAGTCATAATTACAGCAGAGATGCAAAATTTTCAGATATATTGAAGCTGTGGGGGGGAAAATTCTGGACTGTTCCTGGTGATACAAAATTTGTAATGCGGATATCTAGTGTTATAGATGTGCGATCCTTTTTTTATTGTGGAGGGGGGATGCATGTAAGCCTCCAGACTCCCTTGCCTTGTGCCAGGTACTGATTGCCTAAAGTGCCAGGGAAGAGGAGGGAAGGCAGCTGGGATGCCAGTAAGTTTTGGGGTAAGTTCTCCCCTCCCCACCCCCATTTCTTCCTCTCCAGGGCCCGAATGCCACCTTGAGGTGGGCAGGCAATGTTCTTTCTGTGCCACCTGCAAGAGGGACTGGGTGGGGGCGTGGCCACTGGATGGATGCCAGGAAGTACTTCCTGGCGGTTAGGACCCCGAGGGTGTGGAACGGGCTTCCACAGGAGGTGGCTGAAGCCCCATTGATGAGGGTGTTCAAGGACAGGCTGGACATGCACATGGTGGAGTGGAGCTGGCTGGACCCAGGAGTCAGACTAGACAGCCCGGGAAGCCCCTTCTGACTTGGTCTGTTCCTCTGTTTCTGTGTTCCATCCTTGGGATGAAAGGATCTCAGAACTGGGGCTCTTCTGACCTCCCAGAGGATGTTGGGAAACCATGGATTGTGGCCTTATGGCTGCAAAGTCACTTGGTTACTTTGGGAATATGGCATGCATCATGTATAACTTGCTTTCTTCACAGAGCTTTGGCTATTGGGCGGTATAGAAACTAAATAAATAAATCAGGTTTAATATCTTAATCTTAAAAAGTACTTCATGGAGGCAGTAAGCACACATTTACGCACTGAGTTTACCATATATCTTGGCATATAAGGCAACTCATGTATAAGTCGAAGTCGATATTTTGGGCTGTTTTTCTGGTGTTCGCCATGTCGGGTGCATAAGATAACCCTCAATATTTGCTTCTCTATTTCCAGTTTCAAGGATTGTTTTATACACTGATGTATATGGTAATAACATGTGAAATAAATAACCAGGAAGAATGTTTCAGAAAAATACCCATATAAGGCAACTTGCGCATAAAACAAGGTTAATATTTTGGGCTGTTTATATATGTTGAGCGTATAGGACGACCTCCAATTTTTGCTTTGCTATTTTTGGTTTCAAGGGTTGTCTTATATGCTAGTATATGTGGTGTTTTGAACTTGTTTTAATTTTTGCTACACATGGAGCTGGAAGGTGCTCGCTGTGAAGGAAGCTTGTGGCCAGTTTATGAAAAACAGACAAAACCTTAACTGTGAAAAACAAAGGAAACCACCAGCATTCTAGGAAAAAAAAGTTACTATGTACAGTATTCTCAACCAAGTCAAGCAGATGTAGAAAGGATTCATTGTCAGAAATAAAAGCGTGTTTTTGGAGTGGAGTGAGGGGGTGAAGAGTCATTGGATACCATCGTCATCATCACATCGCATTTACTGCTATGCTCCATAAAACTGTCTGTTTGATCTCATTTTCTGAGTGATCACTATCGGTTTCCGTTTCTTCATTTTTCTCCGCTTCTGAGCTCACCCAGTTTGCAACGAGCGTCTCTCCATTTTCCTTTGTCATTCAAAGTCTGCGACTGGTTTCAGGCATCACATGGTGGAAGGCCATGTTGATCACCAAGCTTATATCCAGGAGGGAATTATGGTATTTCCTGGCTCTCCCAACAAGCAGGGTTGTTATATGGATAAAACTAAGAGGAAGATCATGTATTGAGTTGCTTGGAAACAGAAGAAATGCGGATCGAAATGCAATAATATATGAAAATAAAAATTTAAAGATTGTTGGAGTGGCAGTAATTCTTGACGGGTCACTTGTGGGTCACGCCAAGTACAACTGCCGCCCTCACTCCCAACAAATATAATATATGAATGGCTTCCAAGTGGAGCATCGATTGTGCAAGGAAATCAAAGAATGTTCTGAGTGAGAGAATTCTCTTGTGGGAACTCATAAAAGAATCTGGGAGACCCGGTGCTTGAATTATATGAAGTACAGGGTTGTGTATATATGAAGTACAGGGTGTTGTGCTGTGTTCGCCTGAGAAAAGATTGACGTTTCAGTCTGCACTGTGATTTGTACTGGCTGTGGTCTTGTTGACCAGTTCTTAAATGCTTCCTTTTTTCACTTAATTGAATGGGGTATTTCGCCCCAGCATTCTGCCAGGCACGATACAAATTGCTAAAAGGATTCTGTGATAGCATTTTGTTTTCTGTATGTTAAGATCTGACGCAATCTGAGCATTGTAACAGGGTCTCCCAAGGAAAGGGGTAAAAAGATGCTTTTATATGGAGCTTTCATGCAGCATTCCTAAAGAGGCTTTAAAAATCTTCCTTAGGCTAAATTATGTGTTACATACACAGTACTTTTCATGCATGTGGCACGTTCATATTTTACTGACCTTAGGCTGAATAAGGTGCTGTACCCCTAATTTAGGTCTTTAAATCTTAAAAAATAAAGTCTTTGACTACTCCTGGACAGAAATTAGGAGCCAATGAAAATCCCTTAAGCTGTTTAAGGGGACGGTTGATTTTTATTGTTCTGGAATATAAAGTGAGAAGAGGCAACCATAAGAATGCAGTTCATTGTAAACCACGTGACTTTCAGTACAGGGAGAAAACCTTTTGACTCAAATTGCCTCTGCAAAATCCTAACAGCTAATTATCAGAATGATGTTCATCCCAGCAAGTTAGAGAAACAAAAAATCTGCTCGAAAGGTGCTAATTAGGTGTGCTTGAAAGAACACTCTATACTAAAATATGTTGACTGGTCATAAAAATGTGATTATACCTTGAACAGCACAAAGTACATCTGTGAAGGCCAGGGCAGTTTTGTACATAAAAACCTGTGTGTGTGCGTGTGTGTGTGTGCGCGCACATGTGCTTGCATGTATGAGTGGCAGGCATGGGGTGGGAACAACCCCCCTGTTCACTGGACATGGTGGGTGTCAGTTCACTTGGCTTCGGTTCTTCCATAATTTTATCTTTTTCCCTGAAAAACTGGAGAAAATTTGAAATGGTCACCCTTGACTTTCAATAAGAAACTGGTCAATATGGCCAGAACTAATATGTTAACTGAATCTGCCTTGAAGGTGCAAAAGAAGTCCATGCTGATCGAAGCAAGAACTGGAATAATTGCTATATTTCTGAGAAACTGAGTGATGCCAAACAGCTGACCTGAGCAACTAGGGTTGATGACTTTTTGGTTTCCTGGATTCTGATCCTGTCTTTTGAGCTTCAGGAGGTGCAAAGCATTCATTTTTCCTGTTAGGTGGGAGTAGCAGCAACAGTGGGTTGAAATGCTGCATACATTCTGGTGTCCAGCCCAGTGGCCTCCCGACATATTGGGCACAAACTCCCATTGTTCCCAGGCAGCATGGCCCATGGCTAGGAATGATGGGAGCTGCAGTCCATCATATCACAAGAAAAGTTGTAGTGGGATCCAAAAGAGCTACAATTTCAATGTCTTGCAAGAAGGAGGCATGGTATTATGTCCGACTAGGGGCAATGCTGTTTGCTTTGGAGAGATTATATTTTCCATTACTGTACAGTCTTGAGTGTGTGTTCTCCTTATGAGGAAATGGAATCGGTGGCCATTGACTTGGGAATGTCTTACTTCTGATGGAAGCAACAATATTTGCTCCGGCATGTTGGCCTATTTCCAATGGGAGACCACCCTCGAAGGTTCTGCAACATGCCCCTGACAGTTATTTGTATTGCGTTCTTTCTTTCTGTCTTTCTTTCCTAAAGGTTATTATCATAAAGATCTATGTTTACTTCCATAGCAGTAAAGGTCGTGTTACGAGCTTTGCATAAGCATTTGCTGAAATGCTCGTACGTAAGTGTTTGCTAAAGGGATGTCTTCAGTTATTCTCTTTCTCGTCTCCACACAGGGAGTGACGATCAGAATGAATGGACATATTACGAACCCCCACCCTGGTGTATATGGAAGTTACTCTTCGCAAGTAAAGTGAGTACTTTCCTCCCCATATCCTAAGAAGTCTTCTGGTTTGTGCAAGTACTTCTTTGGGTTGTTCTTTTCTATTCCTGACTCCACCTCTAGCATTGTATCGGTGTCTGTGCCTAAGTTTTTCCCAAGTTTTAAGAGGATCGTACTGAGCAGTGCAGGAGGAATTCGGAGGGGCCTCAGAGGTCTGCAGCATTCACCTTGCAGCCCGTGGGATCTATGCCTTAAAAGTTAAGACGGCCAGTGTTGCTTTTCTGGCTTCACCTGTTTGATGGCAATAGTTATGTGCCCCTTTTTTCCCTCTGAACAACAATTTTTTTGCTCAAGATTATGGATAATACCAGAAGTGAAGGTTAGATGACTGAACTTGAGATATCCCTATGTCATATGTAAAAAAGCGGTGGGGGTCCAAAGAAGGGTTGTTGGAGGGCTTACCTCCTAGGGAGTCTCAGGACAGCCAACCATAAAGGGGAAGGCACATCAAGGCCGGGCTGCCCCATTCACAAACACCTTTTCAGTAGCTGCACAGTTTAACTGAGAAGGTGGGGACAGAAAGGGGCGTTGCCGGATCAGATAAACTGGGAGTCTCCAAAGTGACACATCACTGTACTTGAGGCCTCGGGTGCTCAGCAGGTTTCCTGCCCATCCTGACATTTACTTCCAGTATAAATTAAAATTGTCTGTTTTACTGGGAGGTTGGCACACTGCCAAGCAAAGTGTGGCTGCCCAATGCCAATTTTATTTGGGATGAAATGAATGGCTTGGCGCTGCACCCCTGCTGTGCATTTACACAGGGTGTCTTCCGGGAAAGTGTTTTGTGACTGGCTGTGTCCACCATGGCAAGCATTTTATGAATGGGCAGACCTTCCCTCCCCAGAAAGCTCCCCATGGCAGTCATTTTGTGAGCCAAAATCCCCAAAGAGCCCACCCACTCACCCAGACTATTCAGGCAGGGTTGGGTGAGAGAAAGATGGTCCTTTGGATTTCTTGGTCTCGTGCTGGCCAAAAACGGGCATTTTCCATTATGCCTGGAAAACACAAATTCCTTCAGGGATATTCATGCCCCCATAATCCCTCCCCGCTCCCTTTGTTCAAATATCACCACATGCCAGTATGTGTAAACTTAATGGTTTTGTTTGCCTCTGGACGATTTAGCAACATGGCCTTCAGCCGGTCAAGTTCGCGGCTGTTTCTGCATGATCCCACTGAGATGTGTGCTTGGCCCAGTGGTGCCTGGTTCCCACAATGACGGTCACCACACAACCAACGCAGCACATACTGATCTGATGAGGAAATGGACTGTTTACATGACTTCTCAACTCCTGTCACAGCCTGAGTCGTTTGCTGTTGGTGTTTTGAGTCCTCCATGACTGTAAAAGGCTTTAAGGCCAGAATGTTGTGAGCCGCCCCAAGGCTTATTGCGATGGGGCGGCATAGAAATGTTTTAAGAAGAAGAAGAATCAAGATCAGGATTGCTTAGTACACAACCCCGGACCTTGTGCATGCTTAGGCCTTGGAGCCACTTTAGGCCTTGGAGGGAATTGGGGTGCACCAGGCGGCCCTTTCAGTTGGCCACCAACATCCAGCATCTGGGTTAGCCACGTCTAGTATCAATACTGGAATCTTCCTTCCATTGCTGGGTCAATAGAGCAGAACCTGCTTGAATTTCCAAGTCTGTGGCAAAGAGCTTCACGTTCTACCCTGACGAAGGTCACTCTTCATGCCTCAAATTTATCTGATCTCAATTAGGGACAGAAAATAATTTCCCTTTTGAAAACTGCTTTCCTACTGGTTTATGTCCAATTGAATGGGTAGCAGCTGATATGTCCTGCCCCATCAACTGCCAGAGGCAACTTTCTTCCCTTAGAAAACTGCTAATGTGATTTTGTCTTTCATTTAATAGAAGGGAGCCTGCAATTTTGCAGAATCTAAACAGATTTATCAATAGTTCTGATGTTATTTGTTCAGGTCAAAGCCATGCACATTTTTTAAAAAGTGGAATAATAGTTGCTTGTTATTGTAGCATACTGAAAATCTGAAATTATTTCTGGAGTTTTTTTGGTGTGAACACATACACTCATGCATTTAAAAAAAGGAGGAAGGAAGATTCATGCTGTAAAGCATCATTGAGATGTGGGTTGTTGTGTTATCTGAACACAATTGTGCTAACAGGCCATGGCTTGCTAGCCACAAACAACCGATGCAAAGAACCCATTGCTTTGTTGTTGGGTTGTGAACTTGGATTGTCCATCATGGTTTTTTGCCTTGGTTTGGTTCAGACAAGATGATATTGCATATGTCAAATGAACCCACAGTTCTTGTTTAGCATTAGACTCTCTGGATGGTTAACAAAAATTAAAAACATATAAACCAAAAGAACACATGAAACAATAAAATTGCAGCAACTGCGATCAAATCAGTGCAGCATTCAGCAGCAACCGAAGCTCCACCTGTGCCCAACCTCAAGTGCAGGCTATCGTGTTGTCTGAACCCAGTTATTGAGTAAATAGTCTCTTCCGGATGAAGGAAGCTCGTTATGTCCCCCGTATTTCAGTGGGAGGGTGTGAAAAGCAGTGGAGTGTTGCCAGCAAGGGCAGACCAGCGCAGGCGTGTCAGTGGCTTGGTCTGAGGCAGCTTCTAGGGCAGGGGTCTCAAACTCAACTTACCTGGGGGCCGCTGGAAGTAGAGTCTGGGTGAGGCTGGGCCGTGGTGGTGGTGGGCCGCTCATCTGGAGGCCGGCCCGGATGCCGCCGGCGCTTTGAAGGCCGCAGGGCCCCTCCCCCGTGCCCCGCCTGCCCCGGCAATTGGCCCGCGGGCTGCGAGTTTGAGACCCCTGTTCTAGGGTGATGTTCTTAGGGACCTGGGAGCATTCCCAACGGGCAATGCCACTAGCAGCAGAGGAAGCTTTGAGCTCTACTGCATCAACCCATGGGTCCACCTGCTACAGAACTGTCAGCAGCAGAGGGAGCTGATGGCTCGGGGGCCATGGGCACATTTGCCAGTTTGAGGAATTGCCGTGTGCCCCACTGCAAAATGGCGCCATGGGATGCCTGGCAAAGGACATGCCACCAGCCCCCAAGCCTGAGCACAAGGCAGAGGTGGAGCCTGAGCCCAGCACTGAACCCCTTCAGGGTCACTTTTTCAGCACCATCAGATGCCTGTTTTGCAGCAATTCTTATAATCGCGGGTAAGAAAACGTGCTAATTCAGAAAGGGGCGACCTTTCCTAACCCTTGTACATAGCAGCCTTCTCCAAGCTGGTGCCTTCTAGATGCAGGATGAGTAGCAATGAATGTTGTTCATGTGATGCATGTGCTGTTTCACCTGCACTGGTTACCAGTTGAAGTCCAGGCCCGCTTTAATGGGCTTCTGCTAACATACAAAGCCCTAAATGGTTTAGGGCCTGGATATCTAAAGGAATGTCTTCTCCTGTACATACCTACCTGGACTCTTAGGTCATCTACAGAAGTCCTTCTCCATGAGCCCCTGAAGGAAGTTAAGAGAGTGATTACAAGAGGAAGGACCTGCTTGGCTGTGGCACCACACCCAGGGAAACTGCTCCCCAGGGAGAAACACCTGGTGCCAACGTTAGATGTGTTTTGGCGCCAGGTCACAACTTTTATTCAGTCTCATCATTTTAATTGTTGATTATATAATTTGGTTTTATATTGGTACATGTGGAATAGCTTTTAGTATATATTGTCTTATTTACTGTTTGATTATACCCATTTAATGTTATGATAGGCAAGTTGGTTTTAAATGTCTTTAAATGGATTGTTACTTGGCCTATCTTAAAATTATATTCTGTACACCATTCTGAGAGCATTGTGCTGTTCGAATGGTATAGAAATGCCTTAAATAAATAAATAAATAAATAAATGTAATTGACTACAGTTTCATCACACACTTCTTAACTGGCTTAAGATGAAAGCGTTGCAGAACATCTGGGAGGCTTTCCCCATCCGTGGTTGGGGATTGTGGGTCAGCACTGGTTGGTAGCAACTCTTCAGTGCTTGGGCAGGGGGTCTCTCTGAGTCCTTCATGCAGGTGCCAGAGATGGAACCCCAGACCCTCCTCTTTCACAGTCTGTCTTCTGATGCTGAGCAACTGGCTCTTCCCAGAACTGACATGAATAAAGCTTTATTTTTGCATTTTATTTTTATATTAATTTATGCATTTATTTTTGCAATTTGAGGGATAGGATGGGGTTTTGAGAAGTTTTCTGTCTTCAGAAATCTGGAATTTTTGAGGCACCAAATTTTCAAAGTTTTAAAACTTTCTAAAACCTACCTAGATCATCCATGTTTTCAACCAGACTGCAGTTCAGATCAGGCAGCGAGAAAGCAGGTGACTATGGACAGAGCATGCAAAAATTCTAAAAATAATGTATTTGAAGTCTTTGTATAACCAATGTTTCTCTGTGTGCCATGTGTGCATCTGTGTGTGTGAGTGAGAGTGAGTGTTGTATGCTGAATTATTTTGCATGATTTCTTTTTCTTTGGCTAGCTTAGTAGCGGGTGGGAAATATATGAGGTGGAGTTGTATAAGAACTTCTTGTACACAGCCAAGCTGTATCGACAACCATATGGGCTAGAAACATGACAGCCACATTTTTCAACTTCCTAAACTCTGGACTCAATATAAATATAATCCTCGATGCATTCACTTTAAATGCTTATTGGCTTTGCCAAAACTATACGCACACATAAATAATGCATCTTGTCTTGCAGTGGATATGGGTCACCAACATTTTCTCAAGGCGACAGGGACCAGAGTGCGAAGACAAGCGCGAAAGCCTTGTATGGTAAGGCTCACCAGTTGATATGTACAGTTCTGTCGTGTTTATTAAGCCGAGGGAATGTGTGGTGAAGGAGTCTGTTTAAAGCCATCATCCTTTGGTTTGTGTATGATCTGTTCTTCTCCCCATCTAGGAATGCACGTGTTGCTACCTGTTAGCTTGTTTTCAAAGGGGGCGGGTGTTAAATTGATGCCGGGAATGAAGGGTGTTGATGGGGACCCCGGAAGGAAAAGGCTTCAGCCAAACTCTTGGCTCTGTCTCACAAATGCCTTTCCCCTTTCATTCCACCTCAGGTCTTTGTGTGTACCCCTTTCACATGAATGCTTAAACATGCAATCGCAGGAAGGACTATCCTGTGTTCAGGAACTCTGACAAATTCAGACTGCCGGATTGCCCTGCAGCCTGAGGAAGTGATGCAGCAGCTGCAGGGTTGAGAAGCACGTGAGAATCGGGAAGGAGATAGCTGAGCAGTCTGGGAAGAGTCTGTGCCAGGAAAGGGCTGGCGTTCCTCTAGCCGGGGCAGAGTGAGGCAGTTGCTGCAGATTTCAGCTGCTGGGAGGGGGCGGCGTGGAGAGAGGTGTGGCAGCACAGTGAGCCCTGGATCCCCCAAGCTCTCCTTTGCCTGCAGGAACGGCAAAGGATGCTGCCCCTTTGCCAGTACCAAAAACAGAATCACCTGCCTGTTCAGTCCACTTTTGTACATGGCACAGGGGGCAGCGCCATCTTGTCCTTCACTGCAGGCAGTGAAAGCCTCGTGCTGAGCCTTCCTCCAGTCAAACCCTGCTACCCTCATCCGGCTGTGGTCTTAAATCAATGCGTCCTGCACTCCCCAGTCGTGGATTTTGTGAAGGGGACACAATGCTCTTGCTGTGTCTGGAGCTGCGTTGCCAGCCCCACCCTGGGCATTGATCACACCCCAGGTTCCGCCTTCCAGATGTCCACATGTCAGCCCAGCCTGTCTGCGTCAAGAGGGATCACACATCACTACAGATGTTCAGATTTTACTGAACCTGTTCTGCATGAATTGCATGGATTGGATGGGGTTGTCTGTTCTATAACTCTCAAACCCACAAAACTGGATTTTTTTCCTGCTCCAAGCATCACATAAATAAATTTGCAGTTAAGAATGCAATTATTTAAAAGTTCCTTAAATGTTGCAGGTACTTTATTGTAATTTCTCTGAATAGCAGTAATATGCTGTTTGGTCAACAAATTAATGTATATTTTGGATTTTTTAAAAATGTGCATCCACAGAAACAGCCTAACTCACACAGTAGTAGTAGTTTTGAATATAGACCAGAAAGATTCATAAAACGATAAAATGGCAATAGAAAAATTAAAACACAGTTAAAACAAGTACAATTTATGCAATGTTTTCACTCAAGTGACTTCTTTTTTCCTAATCTGCATTGCAGTCATAAAAATTGGCAACATTATTGGTAGCATAAGAGGAAATATCCCTTAAACAAACAGATACCAGAGTGGAAGAGTCATTCCCATAAGAATCTGTTATTAAAGGTTTAATCAATTTCTCTCTGCATTCTCTATATGCACTGTAATATAAGAGAAGATGTTCCACTGTTTCTACTGCTCCAGCACCATTGACTAGGGTCTTATTAAGTCATCCTTTTAAAAGTGCTGATGGTAGCACATTAAACGGGCAAGAGGAAATGCTCTGCTGTACTTTGGAATAGTCCATGTGAACAGATAACCGAGCCTAACGCACAGATGCTGGTCCGATGTAGCTGTGGCCTGCAATCACAGAAACTGAAACTTATTTTGGTCTTTTCTGAATTTCTCCAGTAGGGTTTCTTGATGTGGGTGTCCAGGGATGGGACTCATTGGGGCCCTGCATTCTCCTTACAGATGGAGAATAATTGAATAGGGCCAATGCTGTGTATATATGTGTCTGTGTCTGCACACACCACACGCACAAGTGGCTTTTTGGTCAGACAGACTCTGTGTTCATGGGTGTGCTTACCTGCTCCACATCTCAGGGGCCTTTCCCTGCGAGGTGTGCTGGAGATGCCCTGAGGAACAGTGCTCAGCATTCTTGACCATTGGCCATGCTGGATGGGGCTGATGGGAGGTGGCCTCGAGCACATCTGGAAGGTGCCAGACCGGGGAAGGTTGGGCTAGACAATAAAATGCCATTTATGGATAGACACCAAATCCAGTTTGACGGTTTCCTCTCTTCACAGCTGCTTTTCTCGGGACAGTGGATTAATGGCAGCAAAACATTCATGAAGCAGTGGTGAAACTGTGTCTCACACTGAAAAGATGCATGGTTACACTTGCTGCACTGGAGGCCCGAATATAAGGTGGCACATGGAAGAATTCAGCAGCCTTTGATTACTTTCTCCCTGGCAGATGATAATGCAGACAATGCTGCAGCTGCAGGGTTAAGGTTTCCAGTAGGCAAATAACAGTGTAGCCTGTTCCCTTTCCTGTGGACAGAGGCGGTGGCTCGTCATCTTTTGTCAGCAGCAGCAGATAAAAGGCAGCTGTCAGCTATTGTGCGGACTGTGGGTTCGGCACTGGGGGGCAGTGGTTGGCAGCCCAGCCTGCTCGAGGGAGGGCGGCTTCAGCCGCATTCTCCACGAGGGATGAATTCCATACATCGTCTGCATCATCTAAGGACCTGGGCAGACATGGCTTTAAATCTCTATGTTGCTATTTTTCATTCTTACTTGAGAGCAGGCGCAGAGCCTCCCCTTTGGGTCAGGATCCTAGTGTAGGAGAGAGAAGTGGAGTCTGAATCTAGACTCGGCGCTCTGCACCCACTCTAGAGGAGGAATGAAGAAGAGGCATAAGCGCAAGACACGCATTTACAGCAATGCTTGTTTTGGCCCTCAGATGACTCTTGAGAGCTCATGCAATAGAATGTTCTTCCTTATAAAACATTTCCTGCAGAAAGAAAAGCTGCAGGTCAGGGAGAAGGTTAAGCTAACAAGCTTCCTCTTTAGGACTTCATTCTTCAAGGGCAGAGAATGCTGTGTACCGATGGACATGCAGCAATATGTGATGAGTTTCCTGTAATCTGAAAAGGTGCACTCTGGGAACGGTGTGAATATGTCAGAGAACCAGAAAGGCCTACTAGCCTGCAGTGTGACTGCACCTGTGACTTTCTCCTTACCCCTCTTTTCCACCTGAACTGGTTCCTTGGATGGCCAGTATCCCGTTTGGAAGGCTGGACTGCCCCAGCCTTTTATTTGCACCCAACCTTTCTACCCAAAATGGCGCTCAGCACAGTTAGTCTCTGTGCCATGAGTTATGCATATCAAGCCCACTATTTTCTGAGTACTTGGAGATGCAGTCAAAGAAGATGAATAATGATTTTTTGTTTTCATTAGTATGTGTTTTCATTTGCTGAGTTATCTAGTGATAGGTGCTGGAAAAGGGGAGGGGTGTGAAATGGATAGGAAAAAACACAAAGGCAGGCCATCACTGTACTATAAATCAATGTGTGGTTCATTCCTAAAAAAATTGCATGGAGGCAGAGATTCAGCACTGATGTTTGCACTCTGCCATTGTTTTGCAAACAGCAGAAATATTATCGGTGCCTTGAAAGCTCTTGCAGTGATACTGGCTGAATATTTATTGGAATTTTTCAGTTTAGTCATTGGATTACCTTTGATCTCAGCTTGCTTTCTGGAATTAATGTGGCTTAAAGGTGCAACTCCAGTCATCTGCTGGATCAGAATAAAGGTCCGTCTATCCTGGCATCAGTTCTGCACACAATATGTGGCATCTCCTTTTTCCAGTGCTTTTTTGTCTCAGATTTTAGTGCCTGATTTGTCAGGGGCTTCCAAACACCCCCCCCCCCAGCCTATTTCTGAATTGTATTTTGTATTTGGAGTTCTCAGACATGCCCATAGTGAGTTTTTTCCTGTCTGTGAAAGGTGGAGAAGGCACTGAGGTTTTTAAACACCCATGTGCCATCTTCAGGGATTGTTAACCCAACTTGTACCCCTGAACTTTAAAAAAAAAACACCCCATTTTTTACTGAATGTTTTGCAATAAGCCTAACAACAACAGTGGGAGAAAGATGAACCAAATCAAATAGAATGTTAATTTTCATCCTTACAATTTTGTTTTATCCCTAACACTGCATGCAGATGCGTCATATACCCCTGTATATTTCATATGTAGCAAGCTATTGGGAAAGATGTTTATGCATAAACTTTAGCAACATCTGTTTATTTGTCCATGGACAAATTATGCCTAAAGACCACCCATTCACAAATAGGGAGTTTTATGTAATCTTCCATCTTTTGTGTTATTGCAGGAGGACAATCCTTCTAACATGGGGCATGTGAGGCTGAAGCCAAAACTGTGTATAGCCTAAAGCAAAAGGGGCCAGAAGTACCAGCAAATTTTAGCTTAACACCCCTATTGCCAACACTGAAGATGTAGAAGGGCCTTTGCAAGCTTTTAGAATGGGAAAATACCTGCACAACAACTAGAAATCTATAAAATAATCAATGGTTAAGGGCAAGGGAAATCAACCCTGACTGCTCTTTAGAAGGCCGGGTACTGAAGATGAGATTCAAATACTTTGGCCACCTAATGAGAAGGAAGGACTGCCTGGAGAAGAGCCTGATGCTGGGAACGATGGAAGGCAAAAGGAGAAGGGGAGGGCAGAGCTTGAGGGGGCTGGATGGGGTCACTGGGGAAGTTGGAGTGGGGTTGGGTGGACTCCAGGGGATGGTGGATGACAGGAGAACCTGGGGGAATGTTGCCCATGGGGTTGTGGAGAGCTGGGCATGCCTTTGCGACTGAACAGCAGCAGCAGCAAGGGCAAGGGGCGGATTTGTAGTACGTCTGTCTGGGAACCCTGAAGGACTAGATTGGGACACTACGTGGCACAGATTTTGCCCCCAGATTTGTACCTAGGTTTTGAGGAATATGGTGTTGCTTGGATACATTATCCCAGAACAATGCCAAAAGTTGCAGTTGGTAGAAGCAGCCCCATGTAGGTGCATCGTGTTCTTCTTGCAAGCCAGAAATAGCCTAAACGATGCTGCTGCTTATTTAACATACACTTTTTAGCAAATCCTGGTTCAAATCTGCGCGATGGGCAAAGCGCCTTTTATATAGATCTGGTTTCACTGTATTGTTTTGTATGAGACAATGTTATTTTCTTCCCTTTTCTTTCCCCTCGATGCTGTGAGGCATCCAGGCTTTTCCTGAAAGCCCTGTTGGTTAGCGCAATTGCCCTGTCACCTTGCTGAATGGAAGTAATTAATAGGTGGTGGGTTGATCGAGACTTGGCTTTTCCATTTTATACTCCCCATATTTTATCAGGACCAGATGGATTTTATTTCTTCAGATCATCAGCCAAGCACAAAACCAAGAAAGGTAGCAAACGATAAAAACGTTGGCTGCTCTCTGTGTGTGTGCGTGTGTGTGTGTGTGTGCGCGTGCGCGCATGCAGGCATGTTCAGAATGCATACATATAAGAAAATGCTGCAAAAGCAAAAATATTGTCAAAGTGATGAAAGGATCAAAGGAGTTTTGTGGTGGTTCGTTGGGATAATGACCTAATTAGCATTGGAGGGGATGATTGGGGATTTCTCCAGCTCAGCTTTGAGCCTGTTTCTCCAGTGTGTCTGCTCTGGGAAGGCAAAGGTGTTTTGGAATTCTGTTGCTTTTTTATGGCACACAAATCTCCCCACCCCAGTCAAAATGCCCATATGGGTTGTTCTGCTCCTCTTCTCCCCACACCCTGTTAGAATGATGTATGTTAACTTAGCCATCAGCAAATTTCTTACGAGAGTGAAGAAATTACACTATCTTCCAGTTTTCTTTTCTATGACCCATAATTTCCAATGTAGGATAAATTAGGGCCAGCCCGAGACAGTCAAATGCCCAAGGCAGTTCAACACACAGTGCCTCCCTCTAACCCCAGTTAACTGCGCAGAGTGCCCCAAACTGGTCATGTCGTATGGATCCTTGAGGCAGAAAGTGCCACACACAGCGCTTCCCCGCATTTCTGTTGTAAAACATGGTGCTCTCATAGTGTTTTGACGGCTAACGTGCAGAGGACGCAGTGCTCGTGGGGTTTTCTGCCATAAGCACCCAAACGACCGGTTTTGCGGCCTTCCACAACACGCAGAATCGGCTGCCTGAAGTGCGTGGGTCACTCTGCTTAATGATAGTGCTGGTTCCATACAGTGGAGCCTGCATCCCACTAACAGACTTCCAACTGAGCTGGTGTAGGTCCCAAGTGAATAGGTCCATGGCGAAACCCATGGTACCTACCCCTTCCTAGGACGCGTGTTGTGAAGGGCAGGGTATAAATCTTCCAGATGCAGGTCTGCAGCACTCCTCAGTCCCATCCTGAGAGATTTCGCAATCCGCAGCATTCATGATGTCCCGTCATGGCCCTTTCTCTTGTTCCTACCAGCCTGCCTTCCCTCAATCGTAGCCTCTCTTGATGGATGGCAAAAATAATTACAGTATACTTTTCTTCTTCATGAGAAAAAAATAAAACAACAAGCCTTTGATACGAGGTTTTTGTGTTTGCAGCATGATGCAGTACTCAAGTGGTAGAGGCATCTCTGGAAGGTTTTGTTTTGTTTGTGTTTTGGTGCAGCCTCCTTCTATGCTGTTCAGCTTTGATTTTTCTTCTCAGGTTGTGCCTTTCTTCTCAAACTGTGTGTTGTAACAGCTGCCTTTTCATTGTTTGTGAAAAAACCTACCAGGCTGAAACTGAAACATTGTTCAGTTTTATTTTTCACAATCAGGGGCCTGGGAGAGCTGGTTCTGCTGTCTTTTACTGATGGAGTGATTTTGTTTGGATTGGATTTGTACCATACCTTTGGATGCCCTTCTAGGAAAGCCACACCTCAGGGAGGTGAGGGGGTGGCAAATAGGTGAAGGGTCTTTTCTACTGCGGCTCCCCATCTCTGGAAGTCCCTCCCTAGGGAAATTCACCTGGCACCATCTTTATTTTCTTTCGGCGCCAGGTGAAGACATAACTCTATTTCTAAAAAATATTTAGTCCTTGTGAATGCTGGTGGCCTTTTTATATTGTTTGATGTATTGGTGTTTTATTCTTTTAACTGTTTAAATAGATTTTAATTTGTTGTTAGTTGTAAGCCACCAAGGAAGGCCTTTGGCACTTATAGGCGGAGTATAAATGTGTGAATAAATAATAAATAAAATAATAAAAATGAGAGGACCAAAATTGCCAGCATTATGTTATGCTTCACACTCTTATTAGCTGTAAGTCAACTTAGGAGGGGCATTTCAACTTTTCAGAGTGGAGCAAAGAGCATCCAAAAGACAAGGAACCCCCAAATAATTGGACTGAGAAGCGAGGGCGGGGCCAGGGAAAGGGGCGTGGCTTTCTGGGCAGCACTGAGGGCTCGATCCAGCTGGTGGGAGAGTTAGATTTGGTTTTGCACCCCTGCTCCAAATTGTGACTTGAACTGAGCTGAAGTGATCCCGTTCATTGTTTCTGTTGATAAAATACGTACACAACATGTTTGCTCATCTTTTGGGTCATTGTGTTTTAACAGGGAATTGTCACTTCCTCCCACCTCTCTGTAGTAATGTTAGTTAAAATGCTGCTACTTAAGCATCACATCAAAGTAACACACATCCATGTGTCTCATGATTATTCATTAACTCCTTGCAAGTAAACAGAGCAGGCAGAGACGCGGTGCACACATAGTAAATTCAGGATAAATGACAGTATTCGAAACCCTGTTCAAATTGTGATTTGGAATATGAAAATAAGACAGTAAATGGTCCTTCTTTTTAAAAATCAGAACAGAGGAAGAATTATGCACGCGACAGCATCAGCAGCATATCTGAGACGTCACGGTACCATGTGGAGGTAAGAGTGCTGCCCATGTATTTGTATACTTTATCTTATTAGCTCTTGGTTCCCTGAATGATCAGAAGGTTGAATAGTGGGCTTTAATTTACATGTTTATAGCATTTTTTATTTCCTGTCCAGCTATCAAGGTTCTCAGGGCAGCTGAGGATCAATAATAAAGTATCCCCTGCCATCGAGATTAAAATCTAAGAGACACAGCATGGAAGGAAAAGGAACTGGGAGGGAGGAGGAAAAAAGCAAATTTGGGGTCCAGTTCTTTGCTGCAATCTCCTTTCTGGCAGAGGAGGGCAAAGCGAGCTCCCTTTAGTTGTTCCTGGCTAATATATAGGTATGGGTTGGTGTCCGCCTTGCCATGACGCTCTTTGTTGGAGGCTGTGAGTGCCTTAGTCCTCTAACCTTAAAGTTTTCCGTCCTAAGTAGAGACAGGTTGGGACGGTTTGCTGGATGTGGACTGGGAGAGCTGGCTTCCATGCTCCATCAATCCCAACCTCATGATGTTGTTTCTAGAATAAAAGGGGTGGGAAGAATCGTGTGCAGCAAGCTGAGTTCCTTGGAAGAGGGGCAGGATAAGAAATGTGGTTAATAGATGTAAATGGATGGATGTTGCTTTTGTCGTATTGTTTTCTAAGTTGACTTAAGTCTATTTCAGAGAGAGAGACTGGTAAGAGGAGGGAAGAACAGTAGCTTGAACAATATTGGGGGAGCATCCAAGAGGCTATAGGATATGTTGGCATCCCAGATCAAAGAGTATGGCATCCAGCCTCTGAGCTGGGAATCGTAGTGCCCATTCCCCCACCCTTTCCCTTTGCAGCCAACATGGAAGCATCTGGTTGCTCCCCAAGGTGGGGAATACAACCTCAGAGAGTGGGGAAGGCGGCTACTTGAGATGAATGGAGAAGGGACTGGAGAGGCCGGGGCATGAGCTTTCCTGGAGCCTTTCCAGCCTTCTTCCCTCACACTCCAGAACGCTTCCCCTAGGTAGGGAAAAGTCCCATCTAGCGGGAAAATTAGGAGCTAGTGGTCACCTCTGGTGCTCCTCCTGCCCCGCATAGCCTGAACATAAGCCTCTGGGTTTGGGGACTTATTTGGAACTGGATGGTGCCCTGAGCCAAAGAGTGGGCTTCTACAACATACTCCATCAGCCCCAGTCAGCAAGACTAAACAGTCATGGTGGCAGCTGAAGTTCAAAACTTCTGGAGGAAACCAGGTTGGAAGAGGTAGCTGCACCCTGAGCCCTGAGCACAATTCCCTGTGGAATGCCTGCTTTCACATAAACGCCCCCGGCTCTTGGGGAGCCTTCGTCCTTTGGTTCTTAGGGCAAGGACAGGGCACCTTCTTTGTGGTGGTGCCGCAGGCCCTGAAAAGGAACTCTAGCCCAGTGTTGGGGCACTTACAAGAAAAGGGGGAACAGTGCTTCTGTCCCGCAAGTCGGCATGTAAGGGCACCATGGAATTCAGTGGAATTTACTCCCAAGTAAGCATGCCTAGAATCTGCACCCTTAATTGTTTTATGCTGTGACTTCACCACAGATTGCATTGTTTTAAGAATTGCTTGAGATGTGTCCGATTTTGTGTAACCCATCGTGATTTCTTTTTAAGAAGTAAGATGTGATACCTTATTTAAACATGTCCCCATGGTTTTTTTTTTCTATTTATAGCTTTCACCAAGTATGAATACCTTACTCATATACATTGTACTCTGGATAAGTGTGCAGTAGCAACCCCGATGGTTTTCATCTGATGTATTTTTTTTAACTTTAGTGCTTTGTGAAAGGAGTGGGGACTAGGTTGGGCTGAAAGCTAACTATAGCTCCATTCAGAAAGACTTCTAAGGGAAAAAATAGACCTGCTGTATTTAACACCTCCTATGACAGCCTTTGAAATAGCATCAAAGGTGGTATTGAGGGGGAAAAGACCCCCTCTCTGTGATTAGCTCTCAGTGCAATCAGGGAGCTCAGATTTCCACAGTGTTTTCAATCAGTCTGGCATGCTATTAATGTGGGCTTAGAGTTTCTTTGTGCAGTTACGGATTCCGAGATAACTTTCTCATCCTTCTGACGCGTTCACATGGTCAAGCAATCAAGTGCAGCCTAAAGTGGGATCAGAGAGCAACGCAAAGATGCGGCGGAAAGTGGATGAGGCGCTTTGGGGGTTAGGCCTGGTCTGGTTTGCCTTGGGCTGAGTGGCTGTACAAACATTAACGAATTCCCTTTTCAAATGCTCGTTTCCACACCCTTCAAATCAAACATGAGTACGATTCCAGGTGCAAGTTCAAGAGCTGCTTTTGCCCTTTGACATTCTGAATGGCCTGTGGGGTGGTTATTTGAAGGGATCGCTCTGTTGTGTTCTTTCCTGTCTAGTTCTCTACTTGTGCCTTAGAGGAACCCCTGTCGATGGTCTCTCCACCATCTAAAACATGGCGTCAGGGTTTGGATCCAAATGCTGTCCCACTCTGACCCACTGAAATTGATGAAACTTGAGTTAGTCAGTATTAGCATTCCTGCCATTAGTGTGAGTGGGCTACAGCCACACTGTGGCTTGGTAGGCCACAGGATCATTCAGATTCCCAGCTCTGGCTACAGTCTTGAAGTAGGCAATCGGTACTCTTACCTCTGTCCTCTTTGCCTTCAGCATGAAAAGAATGCTAGAATCCTGGAACAGTAGAGTTGGAAGGAGCCAGAGGGCCATCAGGTTTAACCCCCTGCTCAGGGCAAGACTGAGCAGTTTAACCATCCCTCTCAGAGGGCTGTCCAGTTGCATCTTGAATGCCTCTAGTGTGGAAGAGCCCACAACTTCCCTCGGCCATTGCTTCCATTGACCTAATGCCCTAACAGTCAGGAAGGTCTTCCTGATGTCCAGCCAGACTCTGGCTTCTTCTCGATGAATTGCTTTGAGTCCAATTCCGTAGCCAACTTTGGATCCACCTGATCGTTGTTCCATCTAGCCCACTTTCAACTAGTTTGCTAATCAGGATATCATAGTGCCCTTGTCAAAAGCTTTGCTAAAGTCAAGATAGATTCTGTCCACAGCATTCCCACAGTCCATTAAGAAGGCTACCCAATCAAAATAAATAAACAAGCTTCAAAGTCTGACATAATTTCTCCAAAGCTTTGCTTGGCAGTGAAATTTGTTTCCACAGGTATAAGAAGAAAGGGATACATGTCAGTGGGCTGTATGAGCCTTGCCAATCTTTCACTTACTTCACTAATTAGGGAGGCAGCATACCTGATGAGTCCATAGCTCTTCCTCACGTACATGTGTTTCCATCCCATGCAGCAGGGAGTCTCCCACAACTAACACCCTCCACTTCTTGTTCCTGTAAACCTTGGCATCATTGCCACTGCTTGGCTGACCTTTCGCCTCTTGTTAAGTGCCGCATGGGATTTCTTGCCGTTCTTCCACAGCAGGCTGCCCTCCAGCCTCATCCTCGAGTCACCTGAACCCTGTCCTGCACTCGTGGAGTGGGAGCACCCACAAACCTCCCGCTCATGCTTGCTGTTCCAACCTCAGCGCTGCAGCTGGGAGGACGCTCCAGGCTCACAGTGCTAGATTTAGCCTTGCGGGACGTGTTGGGGCCTCCACTCTTTGCTGTGGCTGGTTGGACTCGGAGGTGATTTAAATACATCAAATAACTGTTTTCATTCTAATAAATAAGACGCCTTTTTGTTGAGGAGTAGATTTTCGAAGTCCTCCTTCCCCAAAAGCAAAACACAAAACACCAAGTAAGTAGACTCCGAAATCCTTGTCAAAACAATGTCTCTCTAATTGGTTTTCTCTGCCTCAACCCCTGTTGTCCATCAGCACTTGACTACTTTTGTTTTGGATCGGAAAGAGGCCATGATCACAGTTGATGACGGAATAAGGAAGCTGAAACTGCTGGATGCCAAAGGCAAGGTGTGGACTCAAGATATGATTCTCCAAGTGGATGACAGAGCTGTCAGTCTGGTGGACTTAGAATCGAAGGTAAGAGCTCGCGAATGCGGCATTTTTATTTTCAAAATGGTGGGTAAGAGGGAAACTGTCTCAAAGGGAAGGAAGGAAACCATTTGCAGGGTTCTGTATCATTTTTTATCCCAGCTTTATAGTTTGCCCTATATGAATCATGACATTTAAGCCTCACAGAGCATCAGCGCCTTGGGGCTTTGATGCAGCGACTTTAACCGGTCATGTCACGGCTTTTCTTCACTCCGGCAGAATGAACTGGAGAACTTCCCCCTGAGTACCATCCAGCACTGCCAGGCTGTGCTGAACAGCTGCAACTACGACTCCATCCTTGCCTTAGTGTGCAAAGAGCCATCCCAAAGCAAAGCAGATCTTCATCTTTTCCAGTGTGATAAGATAAAGGTAAGCAGAGTTCGGACATTAATTGCCTGGGGCAGATGTGTTGACCTGCAGGCCTTTGGACCGAATCTGATCCACCCCTGGAGTTCTCTTGACAGCCACCTCCCTTCATCCTGAACATCGATTGTGTGGCAGTTTCATGGCTTTGGGGTGCTTCCCCACCTCATTTTAGAAAAGTGAAACGCCTCTCCAAAGGCTTAGCTACTGGCAGTGAGAATTTGGAGTGAAATTAGACTAGTATCTTTGGTATGCTGGCCCCATCCTGCTTTCCCCTAAGTGCAACTCCAAATTGAATTTGGCCCCTTGGACAGAACAAGTTTCAGCTCTTTGTTGCAGGCTCAAATGCCTTTTATCTTTAATTTGCTAACTTATATTCACATCAGTTGTATGCATCATTGAAACGCATGCCTTCTCTTCTGTTGATTCCAGTGTAATTGGGCATATTTTTTAGAAGTGTGCATTTTTTCATGATCTTTTCTCAACTGCACACATGCTGCCAAATGCATGCAGACGAATATTGGGCTGCTGCAGATCATATTACAAGCTTGGAAAGTCCATGTTCAGTCTGGAAGGTGCAAACTAGGTGAAACTTGATCAAAACCAAGCTGAAACAGTTTGTCATCTGCCCTTTATCAAAATACACTAAAAGCCTAGAGGCACAAAACTAGTTTTCATTCTGATGAATGATGTAATCAGACCTAGATCTTCATGTACGAATTGGGCCAAAGTGTGCATGTGATCCTTCAGCTATAAAGTTCAATTTTTGGAGTCAATCTTTTGCCTGCTTTGTATGTGGAAAGAGCTCAGCTGAACCACTGCCCTCAGGAATTTCAAGCAAGTTTTTAGGCTAGGCTTTTATGCAATACTAAATAAATTGGAGGGATATAAGAGGCGACATTCAGCTTCCTTCTGAAGAAGAAGCTCCTATAAAATGCTGAAGGGAGAAGACTTAATTAAAAAGCCATGGTGTGCCCCTTTCTCACTCCTTGTAATATATACAGCTCATAGCAAATGTTGGCAGTCTCATGTAACTTTCACAAATGTGCCCAAAATTGGAGGTAAACTGGTGAAACTGCCCTTCTACCTGCATTTGTCCACATTCATCTGTGTGTCTCTGAATTGTTGAAAATCCAGGGTTTGTCTGGAATTGTCAATGTTCATCAGATCTGGGGCATTTGCTGTGATAGTGGAAAAATGCATAATTTCTGCCTTCGGGTCCTAGCAAGCAAATTAATTGGGAGTTCATTTTCTCCTCCAGTAACTGCAGCCCCAATTATTATATCATCTTTCGAATGCATTGCACAGTACAATCTGTTGTGAAATGAAACTGTTGGAACTCTTCCAGTGATAGTAATAGCAAAATTGTCCCGTGTGACTGCCAAACAGAATCTGTTTTCCTGGGACAATGAAAGCAGAGGCCAAGAATATGTCAGAGTTACAATATGTTAGGAGATCATAATCTGAGTGCAAGCAGGCAACTTCCAGGCTGTCCTCTGCAGCGATTACATTCATATAAATTAGTCGTTCACTGCACCTCAGTTTCTGAGTGTGCTTAAGCGTAGCTTTCCTTGTTCAACAGGCTGTTTCGGTACCTCTGGGCACTGACCAGTAGAGCAATAAATGGGGTCTTCTATAGTTTTTTGCCCCAGCACCTAATACAGACAATCCCTGGGTTACAAATGAGTTGGAAATTCATCTTTAAGTTGAATTTGTATGTTAGTCGGATCTTGTGTAGTTGGTCCTCCACATTTGCAGAGGTTGAGGGCACAGGACCCCCATGAAAGCGGAAAAAACACTAATATTTCTAGTCTGCCGTCCCCTGTCCAACTCGTCAGTGCCTCCTCTTTGCAGCAAGGGGGAGATTTCCCTATCTGGACATGTAGGGTGGGAAGGCCTGCTTTGGAAGCCTCCCTTTCTCCCCTCTTGGTTCCTTTCTCTATGATGATGCTTCAGAGACCTCCCTCTCTCCCCATCCATGCCCTCTCTCTCTATGGTGATGCTTCAGAGAGCTCCCTCTCTCCCCATCCATGCCCTCTCTCTCTCTGGTGATGCTTCAGAGGCCTCCCTCTCTCCCCATCCATGCCCTCTCTCTCTCTGGTGATGCTTCAGAGGCTTCCTTCTCTCCCCTTCCACGCCCTCTCTCTCTATGGTGATGATGAATTTCCACTGTAATTTTTTAAAATCAACAGGCTTTATTTATGGCAGTTCATTCATAAGTACAAGTTGTTCATAACTCAGACATTTGTAACTGGGGGACTACCTGCACTTAAGGACAAGCTACCACTGGACATAAGATTTAGTCGTTACGTTCAACAGCTTTGTTTCACTTGTCTTCCATGAATTTTCCTGGTTTGTTTTTGTTTTGTTTTAATAGCTGGCTGTAGCTGGTGGTCATCAGTGCTGTAGCACAGCCTGGGCTCAGTGAGTCATTGCACCAGAGCAGGGAGAATGACTTCATCCAGCACCCTCTGAGCTTAGCTGGAATCCTGGATTATTGTGTGTGACAGCAATGTTGTGAGCTGTCATCATTAGGATGCAAAGTGTTGACTTGGGCTTGAAAATGGGTGACGCAGTCTGGCCTTGGTGACGTGGAAACTGCAAAACTGGTTCGCTGATAAAGATCAGCATCACTGCTTGAATATTTGGACTTTCCTTTGGGGTGTGACTGCAGGTATTGTCATGATGGGTACATGTGCTTTCAGTATATTACTACACCACTGGTAAGCATCACATTTCATGAACGAGGAAGAAGGGTTTTTTTAATGGAAACAAAATACAGTCCAAGTCCAAGTGCCATTTCTCATTCAGTGCATTCCAGGCGAACTGTGTCCGTGGTTAAGCATCGGAATTCCATGCAGAAGAGCCACAAATAGTGTTTCATCGCGTTAGGCTATGCACACATGCAGTTGACCTATTCAGGCTGCAGTAATCAAGTGCTGAACATGAATGTGTGAATAAGCCCCAAGTTGCCCCAGGATTCTGAGCTCACGTTCTAATGATACATATCCAGCAACTCTTCGAAAGGTGTGTCAAGACATTGGATAGTGGAATTCTAGCCAAGGCACAGAGGTAAACATATTGCCAGCCCTGGCTCTTCCTGGTTTTGATATTGTCCTTGCCAGCCCAGCAGATTGGCTGAGCAAATTATCAGTAGTAGTCCCGTAATCCGATGACATCCCATGGTTTAAATAGTTGGATGCCATACCAGTTGCTTTCTTGCTTACAGTTGCGAAGAACTAAATAGCAGCTTTCAGGAGCAATTTCCCCACTCCGCCATGCATGCAATCCTTTCTTTCAAGTTAATTGATTTCAGAACACTTTTAAGGAGTAAAACTTTGTGGTGGTAAATTAGAATCTGAATTCCCAAATGCAGCATTGCTGTTTTGACTTAACATTTGAAATGGGTTTTGCAATTTACCTTTCTTGTTTGTTGAGTGTAGAAGTGACCCTCAGGTTTGCCTGTGCACACTTTCCCAATTATATAGATAAGCCTTGGTTCACAGAACATATTCTATGTGCTCTTTGCAAGTAGAGCTGATTCAGTCAAATGATCTATGGGAAAAGGGGGCAAGCTACATAAAGCCTGGTTCACACTAGGGTGTCATGCAGATATAATGGCAAGCTGTGCTTTGTTTTATGACAGTTCGTGGTGAGTCACTAACTCTCCTTGTCGCCATTGCACGTAAGAGGAAAAAAATATCACTAACCTCTGCGTATGGTTTGCAGCAGTTACTTGCTGTGTTGTCTGGAGCTGGCAAATGTTGTTTTGTGCAAACCATCTCATGCTCCCAAATTAAGATCCCAAACCATGATTTATCAAAATGTCAGAACTGAGCTCTGTAAGCAGGACCTGTGTATGCATCCAGAATTATGCACCAGCTCAAGGCTTACTCTTACATTCCATGCTGTTTGGAACATAACATGACAGGGCCATGTATGAAGCAGACTCTTGGCAGGCCCACCTTTGAAAGTCACCTAGGCATCAGCATTGAGAAATCACCTTCCATCCCTGGAGAATTGCTCCTGAGTGTGGTTATTCATAGGGGCACTCCCTAAGCTGGCTAACAATGTAGCCCAGTGGGAATTTTGCTTTGGAAGCTTCTTAATGTGGGGCTTGGTCATGCTCTAACCAAAGGGAGCTTGCTCTCTCTTAGCAATTGCTGGCTATAACATGCAGCTGCAGGGAAGGATGGAGGTGTGCTGTGGTGCACTCATGTATCTTGCATGTGGGAAAGCAGAGAAACCAAGCAGGTTCACTCAAAGCCATAGGTCTGCCCCTGGGATGCTCAGGAATGCAGTGGAATCCCATGGCAGAAGCTCCGGGGTTCCTGTGTAGAGCAGCTGATGCAAGACCAAAGGTGGAAACCTTCACTAATCAACCTACTAATGAGTGGAAATCAGCATGATGTGATAGTGAGAGATGAATGTGTGTCTTGCTTTTACATGGCAGTGCAGAATGATAAGTTCTGACCTAGAAGTGCCTCTTAGATTATGACTTTCTTGTGAACCTGGTAAGAACTTGGATAAGAATCTGATGGCTTTGGCGTCTGAGGAGGTGTGAGAAGCATTGACCAATATTGGCAGGTTTTGCTCCTACATTTTTTAAAGAGCAGCTGTTCTGTATTTAATTGGAAGTGGACCATTTGCTCTGTGAGGAATACCTTTTTGCTGATGAGCCAATAATCCCAAACAGAGTTTGGCTTCTTGTCATCCAGCTTCCAGAAATATTTTCGACTGCCATTTTTAACAATCCTTCTGAGCTGGTTTATGTGTAAACAGGCTTGGGTGGTGAGTGGTATAGGTGCTGCATCAGTCAGCCATAGAAGGAGAAGCAATTCTGGGGAAGCAGTTGAGATTGTGGACAAAACAGGTTGAGTGCCTCCTTCAGGCCTTGCTCAGCAGCTGCTTTTTCTGGGAGGCCACCTTGAGATAGAAGTGGAACATGGTTCTGCAAGACATCTTGCTCCACTCCCCAAAATGGCCAGTACGGTATAGGGAATGGCTGGCTGTCTCTTCCAGGTAGAGCTGCTCAAGGGCCAGATTCCCTTTTGGAAAGGGGACCTGCTCCAGTGATGGGCAGAGCTGAGAGCAAAAGGGGGAAATGGTGATGGCAAAAGGGCAGGACCAGTGAAGCTCTTCCCACTCATAACTAAGCACCAATCCTTATCGGAGAAGGGTTCTGATCTTTTAGAATGTGGGGGTTTGGGAAAGCCACCAGTGAGCACTGGTTGGAGAAATGGGGTTGGCCTTCTGGCAAACTCCAGAGGCTCAGATTGGTATCCTGGGGAGGCTGGAATGAAGCCTCTCTGGGGCCAGAATGGGATCCCAGGAGTGCCTGGTTGGGACCATGCTCCTGAGGTTCTGCAACCATCCTTCCAGGGTCTCAGGCAGACAGCTGCTTGCCTGCCACCCATGGCCAGCCCTACCAGTAGGCAGAGCAAAGCAGCCACCTCGGGCAGCAGATGCCTGGAGTCCACTGCAAGATGTTGTAGGGGAGCCGGCTTCCCCTGAGCTCTCCTGCTGCCTTCAGGACTTCTGCAGAGCACTGTTCCACCACCAGTATTGAAGGAAGATGCCACAGCCAGTCCGTTCGGCTTTTGCACCTGCAGAGGGAGGCAGTGCCGTCTTGTTCTTTCCTTCAGGCAGCGAAATCCCTTCCTCTTAATGGGAAGCAGCAGAGCCAGAAGCTAAGAACCTAAAATCTCTGAACTACGTTGCTTCCTGCATGCTTCCTGGGACTGTGGGCTGGCATTTGCTTGCTTGCTTGCTTGCTTGCTTATTTTAATTTTTATATACTGCCCCATTCCCATAAGCCCTGGGCAGTTTGCAAGAAATTAAAACCAACTGTAATTAAAACTGACTAAAAACAACATATCAAATAAAACTGATACCTGGGGAGGCCTATTGGAGGAGCTACATCTTTAACTGCCTCTTAAAGCTGACAGTTTGGGATATCAGATTTTCCCCAGAGGATCTTAGCTGGCGAGGTGGAATATATGGACAAAGGTGCTCCTGAACATATGAGCAACGGCACGAGGGTGGGAGCAGAGGGTGCCTAGAAACAGAGACAAGCGGGGGCCAGACAGAGGTTTTTAAAAGGAAGGCTTTTCTCCATGTCTCAGGCCCAGGAGTGGAATTCCATCCCAAGGGAGAATAGGCGGCCCTCCTCCCTAGTGCCCTCATCATCACCGACAAAGATGTGACTGCTTTGCCAGACTTTTAATGCGGAATGACTTTCTCTGGATCTTTAATTATTATTAATCATCAGGTCTCAAACAGTTTCAGGAGGGTTTATTTAAATATTCTGATGCATTTTATTCTTCGTGTTGTCTTGATTGCCTGTTGCCTCAAACATTCACTGAGTGGAGGGGTGATGCAGGACCACTTCGAACGGACAGGAATGCATATTGCAGCCCAGGATCCCACTGTGAAAGAGATTGGCAGTAAATTCAGGAGAGCCAAAAGGAGAAAGAATTTCCCCCCACATAATGAATATATGGCCCCTGGTGGTGCGTGGGCTCAGATGGGCTTAACTGGGGATGCTGAACTCCCCTTAACCCAAGGGCCAACTTTCATTATGGAAAAGCTGCTGACGCTGCCTCCCCGTGGTGGGTCGGTTTGAAGGCCACAGAGGGCACAGGGCCAGATAGAAAGCGGGGGGGGGGGGGGCAAAATAGCAGCCATGCCAGAATGCACCACCTCAGATCTCTCACTGCCAGTATAAGCTTTAGGAGAGATTAGCAAAGGCATTTCAACCTTTCCGAATAGGGAAAAACTGTGCAAAAGCCACAACAAATTTAGGGAAAGGTGTGAAATGGAGTGGCCGTCCGGAGGGCCCAAGCGTACGGTGCAGCCTTCCTCAACTTGGTGTTTTCCAGATGTTTTGAGCCGCAGCTCCCATAATTAGCCATGCTGGTTGAGTTCTGGTCTAACACATCTGGAGGCACCAGATTGGGGAAGGCGGTTATGGACTCAAGGCTGTATCGGTGACTCCTTGTTGTGATGGTTCTCTGGAGCCTTAGCATTCAGAGGCAGCATGCTGTGGTTCCAGCTATGAGGAAGCTGCAGTGGGAGGAAGCTGCTGCCTTTATGTTTCCTTGTGGAATTCCAGGATGCATCTAATTAACTACCTCTGGAGAAAGGATGCTCCAGTAGGTGAGCTCTCGGGAGGGCGATTTGGACCTCTTTGGATTTCTCCTTGACATAAGGCCAATGCATTGCAGAACGTGGTATCTGAGTAAAATTTACATGGGTGTTTCCCACCACTGTGCTCCTCTCAGTGACAACAGCAATGCTGCAATAATATTGACAGTGCGCACAGATAATGCACCTTGGAGGATTTTGGCTTTTCTCGCTGTAAACTTTGTTTCCTTAGGGCAGAATTCCGACTTGCTTATCATGCAGCATTCACTCGGCTCTTCTTTTAAGATCTGAGGATGTTCCACGTCGGATGCATTCGTGTGTTTTGTTTTTGTGCTGACGAAATTATTTGTGCTTCTGAACAGGCGAACTTTATCCATGAAGACATTGAGAGTGCAATCAGTGACAACAAAGGGGGGAAACCAAAGCGAAGACTCGACACACTCAGGTAAAGCTTAAGTCTTGACTGGGGAAAGATGCCGTTGTTTTCCTTCAGACGTAGCTGATGAGCACCATCTGAGATGGAGCCAAAATGGGACCACTGGGAGATGACGAGAAGCATGCACTGACATGACCTGAGGTTTGTAAAAGTGCAGAGCACTTGGATGAAATCGCTGTGGTGGCAAAAAAAGCAGGCTCCTGCTTCCACAATGGCTTCAAGCAATTTAAAACTCCAAACAAAGCACCAAGCCTCCATCTGTGAAGCTGCCTGGGCTTCTGCTTTCCCCACCTATCTGCAAAATCTGAACTTCCCTGATAGCTACACATTAGTTTAATTTTCTGGTGAAAAGGTTCTTTTGACCAGAATTGTATACGAAAGCATACATTCATGTTCATCTGGTTTGTGTGATGCATCTCTTATATGGAGATGTGAATGCCACTCCAGTTTGGAAGAGTTTAGTATTCAGCCTCATTGAAGGGCTTATGTTTGTAAGCTACTGGTGATACTGCCACCCACAGGGACAGAGAGACAGAACTGACGGTGTATCCGAGATGTCAGGTTACAGGGTTTGTGCCTTTCCCCAGTGCTTTCAGAAACCATGGGAAACAAGTTTCATTTTCTGGGTGTTTTAGTTTTGATTTGTTATGTCCTCTGCCTAGGATGATCTCCAAAGCTGACAGCGCTATTCCTCCACCACCAAGAGCACCAGCCCCTGTACCCCCAGGTACCGTGACGCAGGTGGATGTCAGAAGCCGGGTAGCAGCTTGGTCCGCTTGGGCAGCTGAACAAGGAGATTGTGAGTGTTGCCGAAACTTTGTGAAAACCTTACACATGGAAGGCAGTCCTTTATTGCATGATAGCTGGACCTACACCCTGGCTTTTGATAAGCCTCTTGGTAGCATATAGGTAGACCTGAATGTATTCACACTCTGGTTTGCTCCAGATAATAACGCAGCAGCTAAAAGGTTGCTTTGGACCACATACTCAGGAAAGAATGTGCAAATTTATTTTCCTGCTTTACATAATTTAGGTTGTAACCTTTTGCCTATTCACCAGGGAGGAAGTGCTGTTAAATACAAAGGGGACTAATGTCCAATTAAACCTGAGTTTGTTTGTGTTTGTTTGCAAGTGGGTGGTTCATATTAAAGCTGGCACTCTGGTTTCAGTGGACCCCACAGCCTGCCCTCAAGTAGCCATGCTTGCGTTCCTTTTTCCTGGAACACAGTTGTGTTTTGATTTCCCAGCTTTTGCCCATTTTTCCTAGTTGTAGTCCCATGCTTTTTGTCTTTTTGCCCACCCACTGCTAGAATGCAGCACCTGGGGCTTCTCTGAAAGTCTTTAGGGTTAGGGTTAGGATTGCAGCTAGTTCCTGCTGTAGTGGAACACAAGCTTTACTGCACTGAAGGTGAGACCATCCTGGACCAGACAAACCGGTGGTGCCCTCTGGCCAGGTGTCCTGTTATAATCATACCGCTGACAAAAGGGATGGGAGCTTCATTCCAGAGAACATCTATTGAATATATTAGCATGTTGGTGATATTTATTAAATAGGGCAGAATCCAGCAGAGTTCTTCTGCCTCCTCTAGTTCACATCCATCCTGCCAACTATGTTGTAGAACTGGCCCTCACTGCCTGTGCAGGGACTATTTAGCACTTCCAGGATAGACCAAAGCAAGTGGAAATGCTTGATTCTGGAAGGAGCAGGTCGGCGGGGCTTCATGAGGCCTCCCTTCAGCTTCCCCCAAGAATTGCTACATCTGCCTTGCATAAGTGGTCAGTCTCACTTGCAACATAATTGGCAGGATCCACGGTCTGCAGAGGACAGAAATCTTCCAGGACAGAAAGAAATTGGCAGAACATCCAGTGGACAGATGCCCTTGGGGCAGTTTACAATCGTTTAAAAATCAATAATGACCAGAACAATAAATGCAACACTGAAAATGTCAAAACATGCATTAAAATATTAAAAATACAAGCAAGCAAAAATACAAGCAAGCAAAAATACAAGTAAGAGTTATAACCAAAGCAGCAAATTGAAGTCTAAATGCCTGTTGAAAAATGAAAGTCTCGTCTGCCATCTCGTCTCAGCAAAGATTCCAGGCTGGTCTCCTTCAGAAGGGCGTTCCGCAGATGGGGGCCACTACAGAGGGGCTCTTGCCCTGCTGGCCACTCATTGCAGATGACATTCAGAGAAGAGCCCTGGAAGGCTACGTCAGCAGTTAGACGTGAACTTCTAGTAGTCTGGTCCTAAACACTCAGGAATAACAAATACAGATGGATTTTTTAAAAACCAAATTTTATAATTGACAAAGACCAGACTTTTAAACTTATGTTTTACTGTGCCCTCTTATTTTTATGCAACTTTTATAGATTTGTTCTCTGGCTTGTGTTTTGTAGTAATTCATCTTCCCATTTTAATCCTCCCCGATAATGCAATTTAAGATTGTGAGCTTGAGTGGACTCCGGGGGATGCTGGAGGACAGGAAGGCTTGGGAGAATGTTGCCCATGGGTCGCGATGGGTCGGATGTGACTTTGCAACTAACAGCTGCATGCATTTTAACAGTAAACATAGAATTACTTTTCAAGAGTGGTCCAAAATCTTTGGAATTAACTTTGGGATTGGAGCATCTCTTAGATTATCCTTGTGACCCTTTTCACAACTTGCATGGAATATGCATTGTCACTGATGGATGCCAACTCTTTCCTTTCTCTTCTTGTCTTGTGGGTTCCTTGTCTGAAGCAGTCGATTTAAAGTCCCACTACATGTTTGCTCTCTTGGTGGTTCAGCCCATGTTTTTCCTTCCCTAGTTGAGAAAGCACGCCAGTTCCATGAGCATGAAGAAACAGCCGAAATGATGGCGACCAGGATCGACAGAGATGTTGTAAGTGGCTGTGTGAGGGTGTGTTGATTCCCTGTGTTGCTCAAGAGCTGGGCCGTAACTCTGGCTTCTGCTCATAACAACCATCTGTCTAATGCCAAGATCACATGATGGGAAAAGAGAACCAGTGGGTTAGGGTACTGAGCCACCTTGCATAAGAGGTGCCTCATCTGTGTATGTTCGCGAGAGAGCCCATTGGCCCCTGCAGTCTTCCCCTGGGCTCATCCCTCCTTGAGTATCTGGCCATGCCTCTGATACAGTGGGAAGTGAGGAGGCATACAAGATTTTAAAGGAAATGTCAAGCAAAGCAAAAATTCAAGCATCGGGAGTTCCCAAATGGATGCAGCCTGAGAGCCATGGGCAGCCCAGTGAGAACAGGTGAGACTTCAGAGTCTTCCTGAAGACCTGCAAGGAAAAGGTCTGAGGAATCCCTTGGAGGAGCCGATTCCAAGGGCTTGGGGTCACCACTGAAGAGGCCCGTCCCCTTGCACTCCCCAGCCTAGCTGTCCTCGGAAACGAGCAGGTGAGAAGGGCCTCTGCTGATGACTCCCAGCTCAGTCAGACTGATAGTGGAAGAAGCAGTTCTTCGAGGAAATTTTGCCCAGGCTAGTTGAGGCTAAGTTTAACTAGTCGCCTGCTTTCTCCAGCTTTTCTTTTGTGCCTGGCTGTGCTCAGCAGTGGGTTGCAAGGCTCGCTCACTCACAATTCAGCAAGGCTGTGCATGTCCTCTCCAGCTTTTCAGCCTCTCCAGAAGGGCCCATGTCCTCCTTTTGAAGTTGCCGCTGAGGCAACCCCACCAAAGAAACTCAGTAGGTTACAGTGTACTGGCACCTGTCCAGTTCATATCTGGGGATGTCCACCCACCATTTTGCCATGTTTAGTGGAGTATTTAGTTATTAACTGTCTATATCCTTATTTCTATATTGCCAAATCTCTCTGGACAGTTCACAGCAATTTATGAAAGCAGACATAGTAATAAAAATAGATGGCAGTGAAAGAGAGAGATCATAAAGACAGCTTAAAATTCCAGTATGCAAAATTTAAAACAGTTTAAACAACTAAAACAATAAAAACTTGACACGTTAAAACAGCTGACATGCCCCTTCATAGTTCATTAAACTCCTGGGCTCAGAGGGCAGTCCTAACTTGGCCCAAAGAGATGGCTGTGCTCTGGCGAGGCAGGCCTCAGTGGGCAGATCACTCCACCACTGGGGGCCCACCACCGAGAAGGCCCTCTTCCTTGTTGCCTCTTCCTTGGAGGTGGCAGTCAGAGGCCGCCAACGTAGATCTTAGGTCCTGTGCAGGTGGCGGTTAGAAGAGGCATTCTGTAAAGCACTGCTGTCCCAAGCATGTTGCGATGTATAGGTTCAAACCAGCCCCTGCCACTGTAGCTGCAAGTAGAACACAATGAGAAGGGTACCTACCCTTAGCATGATTGTTGACTGAAGTGCGAGACAACCCTCGAAGTGTCAAACCGTCACTCAGGCATTTGCCCATCTTCCTCTCAGGGCTACCATGCCGCTGAATTTGGGGTGGCTTTAGTAGAGATTAAAAAAGGAGATGCAAGACACACAGAGAGTCTTGAGCTCCGGAAGCGGAGCCCCTCGGCGTGTTCATGGAGGATTCATGGGGACGTGTGGCACTGGACCATGACCAGGCCTCTCTTGCCATTCCTCGTTCCAAAGGAAGCCCCGCTGGGGTAGGGCCCAGCGATTACAGATAGTCTCATCCAGGAATTTCTCAGACATTTCCAAGGAACCACAGGGTTGCACAGGATAGCACAATGTGATCATCGTTGTTGTGTAATTATTTAATGGTTTAGTATCCACAGTTTATTGTTACTCTATTTTATTAGGTGGTGCATTTATATCCCACCGTTCCCCCAGGGGGCTTAGACTGAGATGCGTCGCGCTCTCCTCCCTGCAGCTATTTTATCGTCACTGTGGCAGTTGCAAAGACAGCCAAGCTGAGCTTCCTGGGCTCTTCTGTCTAGCCTGACACTCCAGCTTAGGGGTGTTGAAGCTCATTCAGTTGGAGAGCTGCATTCTAGGGAAGCCCTCTGGGGCTGCACTCCACTGGTGAGTCCAGATGCAGGGAAAACAGGTGGAGCAAAAGTGGCAGGAGCAGATATGGCAGCATCTTTTAGCTTAGCACTGGCTAACCTTTAGGAGAGATGGGTGAGCATTTGGTTGTTTATAGCATTTATATAGCACCCACGTCTAAACATATATATCTCAGAGCAAACAAATGATAAGCAATAGCAAAGGTAAAAAGAATGGCGCACTGTATGAAACATAAAAAATGGGGGCTTCCTGAAATAAATACATTTTTGGAGATGCCAGAAAACAACACGGTTGGTGCTTGGCCAACCTCCTGTGGCAGGGAGTTCCACAGGAATGAAGGAGTGTTGCTGTGAAGGCTTCTCTCTGGGCAGACTGTAATGGGACTGTAGGTCCTAGAAAACCACCTGCAGCATCCCCTCTGGTCACCAAGCAGGTTGGCAAGGGAACAGAGCAATTGTCAAGCTTTTTTCCTTCAAGCTGTACGCATTTTCAGAAGTGCACACTTATACATAGGTGTACTTTCAAACGTGAAGTGGAGAATTGCATTCCTGTTTGTATTTGGGGTTGTGTATGGGGTGTGTTCTCATGATTTGCAGACAGGAACAACATTCTCAGAGGGGCATTTCTACTTTTTAGAATAGGAATAAATTGCACAAAAGCTGGGAAATTACCAATTGTTTATTTGGGGCCAAGGAGTGGCAATTTGGCTCTGAGGAGAGCCAGTTTTGACCCTCCCTGTTCTAGCTACCATTTTGAGCTGGCTGATCAAAAGTGAAGAGGAGTTTGTGACGGACGAGGACTGCATGCAAGTCCCGCAGGAAGTCCCAGTCTGGTGTGGACACGCAAAATTCATGCTTCAGAACTTTCTTTGGCCTTATCATAGACCTTTCCTCTACACGAGGCCCTCCTCTGCTTCTTTCACTGAGTGCTAAAAATACTGCATTCAAGCAGTTAAAATATGTTATTTCTTGCCGGAAGGCAAGAACCCCGACTGCCAACCAATAATAATTTAACAGCCTGCCATTTAAAGAATAAGTTGGATAACGGGGTGCGGGGGAATAGCTCTCCATACCACCCTAGAATAGAATGAAGTTACAACAATATGTTTGTGAGTGTGGGAGAACATGCAGAAAGAATTGGTCTTTGGCCCTAGGACTTAATGATCTCAAATCCTGCTGAAAGAGCTTTTAATGATGATGGGTTTGGAAAACGGTGGAAAATAGAACTGTATGGAAATGCTTGTGCTGCTTCCTGCAGATGTTCTCCTTGTCCCCTGAACGGTTTCTAATTTTGCTTTGTGACTAACTGTGCTACAGTTCGGGTGGAACTCCTGACATTTCTGAATTCTCTTTGTTGCTGCTGTTCCATAGCAAATTCTAAACCACATTTTGGACGATATTGAATATTTTGTCACCAAACTTCAAAAAGCAGCAGAAGCATTCGCAGAACTTTCCAAGAGGAAGAAAACCAAGAAGAATAAAAAGAAGGGACCTGGAGGTAAGGGGTTTCGTTCATCCGAACAGTGCTACAGTACATGTTCACACGCTGTTTGCTACTACCGCTTGCTCCGTTCACTTTAAGGAATTCGGGTCCAGGGTCAATCAGGTGCAGCCCAACAACCATCTGTGGTCAGTGATTTGCTTGCTGTGATTCTGAGATACTCAGATTAAAAAATTTTAGTGGCAAAGCTAGACTGACAATCACAGCACTGGGTCCCTTCTACTCCCATGTAAAATTGTGTAATATAAAGCACAAGATGTGAATAGGGCAGTGATGTTTAATGAGCTAGTAGTGAAATTAATCAGTTTAAAAGTCTTGTTAATCATCTGTTGCCCTGATTCATGCCCTAAAAAGTAAGTTACCATTTAAATAAGCTACGAAATTGCAGGCAGCATCTTCTGCTCCACATACACAGACAATGCTCTGAAATGGAGAGAAAAGGGAAAAAAGATGCGACATTAATGCAATACTAAGTACTTTAAAAAAAACCTGTTTTCTTTCTGCAAAACTGTTGTTATAATAATATGAACTTCTGTGCAAGTTAATTGATTAATCTATTAACTGATTCAGGGTGCAATCTTATGCATGTTCAGAAAGCTGGCTGGGCCATACTTTGTGAGCCGCCCCGAGGCTTCGGCGAATGGGGCGGCATAGACATGTTTTAAATAAATAAATAAATAAATAAATAAAATACTAGAAGTTTTAGGACTTTTGTTCTATCTAAATATGCATGGGATTAGACCTGAAACACATTTGGTTGCTCAGCTCAGATTTTATTTAAATGGGTGATGGTCCTAAATATGGCATTTCAGTGAGATGCGCTCCATTGTACTCATTAACCGTCCTTTCCAGGCGCAAGTCAATTTGTGCTGCGATTACATTCTTGCACTGGGTATTTCTGGGCCAGAGGGAAAGACCACGTCATGGAGCAGCCTTTTTGGCCAGTGGTGCTGCACCAGCATTTATGCTGGGCTGGCCATGGTCTTGTAACAACACTGTCATATCGGTTAGGATGGGAAACCCAACCCAGCCCAAATGTGATAGCCGCCTTCTCCGGGAATTCGTCCAGCCTGCCTTTAAAACCATCAAAATGGGAGGCCATCACTGCATCTTGGCAGTGCTTTCCATAGTTTTGCTACGTGTTGCATGAGGAAGTACTTCCCTGCTCACTCCAAATCCCAGATCATCTATGATTAAGTTTGTTTGGTTATTTATTACATTTGTATGCCGCTGCATAGCCAAAAGGCTGTCTGGGAGACTCATATCACAGACGTGGCACAGTGATACAGATAAGAAGAGATAAACAATAATAGCTAAAACCACAATACGTCATACAGTATAAAATACTATATAGCATGCAGATATAAACAACAAGACAACAAAACGATAAAAATTCAAAAGCATTCGTTCCAAATATATACCCCATGCATGGAAGAATGTGCTGTTTATTCCTGCTCTTTGCCTTCAGTTCCTTCACCAGTTACTGATCCAGAAAGAGGATCTCCCCTCTTACTCTGTGGCTGATAAGTTTGCTCAGGAGTCTTGGGTAAGGGACTTTGCCAAAAGCCTTTTGGAAGTTCAGGTCAGCAGTGTCTACCAGATCCCCCCTTTTTTGGGCCGAAAACCAACCCAGCCAGCAAAGGGCTAAGCCCTCCCTCCCTGATGTGCTACTTCTGCTTATACGGTAGAAGAATTTCAGAAGTGATGTTGAAAGCAGTACAGTCCCTTCAACCTCCTCCTTCTGTTATGTCTATAGATCCCAGGCATTTACCATTTACCATTTTACCATTTTTACCATTTACACCATTTACCAGTTTACCACTGATGCATCTCCCAAAGAGTCTTAGTGATTTTGTTTTTTTCTTTGATCACCAGAGGGTGTCTTAACGCTCCGTGCAAAACCGCCACCTCCAGATGAATTTGTGGACTGTTTGCAGAAATTTAAACATGGTTTCAACCTTCTGGTAAGTAGCTAGAAGCCAAATAGATCCAAAGCCATTCTCCTACCTTTTTCTCAAAAATCTGTGTAGTGGGACTCATTTCTTTTACCTGCTACTGCCACTGAAACACCTTTAGGGTATGAGTTGTACTTCCCTTCTGGGTCCTGTCTGCATGGCTGAATATAGGATCTCAGCAACATTCTCCAAACAGCCTCTCAAGAGTTTATTTAAGAATGATACTGGAGAACTGAACATGAGAAAATGATGCACTGCAGAGTTCATAGCTCATTTGGGATTTATTTTATTCATACATTAGGGCTACATTCATCTCTCCCAGCACAGCCATGGAGACTTTCTGAACTATGCTGGTTTTAGCTGGATTATTACTATTTTTCTCAAGTTTACTAGCTACTTACTAGCACAGTGCAGGCAATCCTACCAACTTGGGAGAAGAACATGTTCACACACACCCTTTGCCCCCTTTCCCCCTTCCCCTTTCATTGTCCAATTGTCTCCTCCATCCTTTGAATCTTTCATAGTCCCTCTTACCTCTGAATCAGGGATACTGTGAGGCCAACATCCTAACCACGGATTGAAGCTATTGCCTAAAGTGTCTTTGTGAATCCTAAGGCTTATTAGCAATAATTGAAATTGCAGTTTGGGACAGTGGTAAGAAGTGGAATGGATCCTGGCGCTGATCTCCTTCTGGGGCCCTTCCAAGAGGCACCATTCAGCCCTGGACCCCCACCCCCCTCTAAAGACTCCCCTTCCTCGCAACTTCATCTGCCTCCCTTTTTCATGCAGAGGGGAAACAGAGCATCCACTCCATCTTTCTCTCTGCACGAAGAAACTTCACATCCAGTGTTGTCCCTCCCTTGCCTTCCCCAGAGCGAAGTCAGCCAATGTATCAATAAGGCAGTTGTGTTTTGAATGGACTTGGTTCCCTTCTCTCTTTGCCCAAGCAGAGAAGGGGAGTGTGGAGCAAAGCTGCATCTCCTGAAGGCACCGGTTGAATCTGTGCTGATTTTGCTCCTCCCTCACCTTCCCCGATCCTTGAAGCCGCTTCATAGTTGTCCCTCCTTCTCCACTTCTCATAGGAGAAATTTCAGGAAGGGGGCAGCTCCTGACCTCCCAGTACACTTCTCCACAGTACAGATCAGGAAGTCTGGTAGGCTGGTTTTCCCCACAGAGTGGAGTTTTAATGATCCTGGTTCGGGGGAATTTCTGAGATCAAGACATTGCGCAGGTGTGGACAATATACAAAGCCATGGTGAAATCCCATGACTGAGGTATTGTTGTACCATCTGGACCCAGTTCCAGAGTTTCTGCAAGGTAGATTAGTTTTCTGAAACCATGGAGAGAATCAATGGTTTGTTCTAAGGGTTCTTTGCTTCATCATGGTTTCTCCAGTCCTCTAAACCCAGGATCACCATTGTTGATATGGAAGCACCATAGAGTCCCCTGACAAGAGTAGCCGCAGAAGTGACTGCTTCTAGCCTTCAGTCTCTACTGCCCTCAGCTCCCTAGCAACAGACACATCATTGGTCACGTTATTACATTGGCCAAATAATGTGTCCATTTCCCTGTCTACTTTTGGCAACGGGGAGGCAAGGCACAAATACACTGAAGGAGGAGAAGGGAAGTGTAGGAAACTGTTGATTTGCATTTGATGAAGATACCTCTGGGGGCTCTGGTGACTGTGCAACACTGCAACATGCAGGTGCACTCAGGATGGGAAGGTGGGAACCCCAGTCGGGAGGCGGTGAGGTCCATAAGCAAGAAAGGGTGGGGGATTTGCCTGGGGGAGCTGCAGGCGTGCTTGGTGAGGCCAGAAGGGCAGCGTGGGGAGTGAGGGGCCCATGCTGCCTGGGTGATCACCTGACCAGTAAATTCAGGCAAAAACCCCTGTGCTGTGCAAGCAGCACAAGGGGCTTTGCTGTGTTGTGTGAGCAATTGCGTGAGTCGTGCATACATAGTGCATGGCCTTTGTGTCTCACTGTGTATAAATAAGAAGCTTTCTGACTGCTGAGGTCTCAGCAGAGGCTTTCTTGTTACCTGAGAGTATTTTAACTAGTAATCAAGTCCTGAGTTTGAGTCCTTTTAAGCACAAGCTGCATATTTCGTTTCCTTATTTGGCCGCTCCCATTAACTGCTGTAAAGAGGATTATTTTTGCGCTCTTTTTCTCCTTCCTGCAGGCTAAATTAAGGTTGCATATCCAGAATCCCAGTGCACCTGAATTGATTCATTTTCTGTTTACTCCCTTAAATATGGTAAGACCATTCCTCCATTTAAAATGCAGCATAATTTGGAGTCGTTCCATTTATTCCTTTGAGCACTTCAGTTTCCAATCAAGTACACATAATCTATTCATATGTATAACATGTGACAGTGGTCAGAAGTAGAGGGGGCCTGCCATGAAAATGAGAAGCACTGCCTCCACTTGAACCTTCTGTGTTATGCAAACATCTTGCCCCTTCAGTTCCAAATGCTCAGTTTGGCTAAGGGAAGGTTAAAGGTTAAAGAACGAGAACTGGATTCTTGAACTTGAGCTCAGAATGCAAATGCTCACGTGAAGCTGTGGGGAATGCAAATCTGTCAAACTCAAATTTTTCCCTTTCAACGTACATGAAAGCAAAAAAAACCCCCAAAAACTGGGAAAGATGCAAGGCCCCATTTATATTTATTTTGAAAGAGAAAACAGTTATTCTACTGTGTGGCATGTGTGAAGGAGAGAGAAGCAATTGCAAGCTGCCAAGAATCCTCAGCCTTATGAAACCCAGGAAGCAGCCTTATCCCAAGGCAGACCTTGGGCGCACCTTAGCTGTGTGCTTCAACACGGCCGGCCGGTGGGGCCCCTGCTCGGAGCTGTTCCATGCATGCCCTCCAAGTCTGAGCTGCAGACCTTCCCCAGAGAAGCAGGCCCTTGATCTTCCTTGGCATTGCCTGTTCAACAACCGTTCCTTTACGTATAGCACCAGTTTTCTAGCATGTGCACAGCATATTTATAGAGCTATTGTCGTGTTGCAGAGTGGAACCTGGGAAATCTTAATGCTAGTTTCTGCTGCAGCATGGATCTCGCAGGGTAACTCTGGGCCAGTCACAGACTCTCAGTGCAGCCTCCCTCCCAGGGTGGTTGTTGTGTGGATAAAATGGAGGAGGAAGAGAAGCTTATAACCTACCTTGGGTTCCTTGCAAGAGGGAAAAAGGCAGGATATGAGTGCAATATTTTATTTATATTTTTGTATCTTTATATTCATAGGTGGTACAAGCAACAGGAGGGCCAGAGCTTGCTGGTACAGTCCTCAGCCCTCTCTTAACAAAAGATACAATAGAATTCTTGCGTTACACTGTCACAAGCGAAGAAGGACAGCTGTGGCTCTCTCTAGGTGACACATGGACCAAAGCCAGGTGAAAAATATATATTCTCACTTGCTTTTTGTACGTTTGCATTCTATCATTTTGAATTCTGTTAAGTTTCAAGGCCTGTTTTCCTGTGGTGGTTTTTCCCACTTCTCCGCCCATGCAGAGGTGAGCAAAAGGGTATTGTTTTGTTTTTTCTAGGTTTGAATTAACCCAGTATTGCCGTTTTCCTTGTTTGTTTGTATGGTCCCAGGATTAAGAATCTCCTTGATAATAAAGGACTCTTTCTACAGTCCCTCAGTGCAAAGAGGCCTCTCATTTTCCATTCCCGGTGAAGGGACCATATCACCATCCTAACTATTTTACAAAGTCTGGAAGAGGTTGGTAGATTTTAAAAATCAGTACAGGTCAGGATGGCCTATAAGTGACTCTGGAAGCATGGTTCTAAGAGGTTCTTCAAATGTAGGATAGCACTCATCAATACTTTTTAAAACGATTAAGGTATTCCAGAGAGTGCAGATAGGTCTCTTGGCATTGGTTGAGTAGGAAATATAGCTGGTGATGGTCTGTGTGAGATTTTGATTTAAGGCAGCCTTCTCCAACCTGGTATCTTCCAGTTGCTTGAATGTCAGCTCCCATCCACTGCAGCCAACATGGCAGGTTGCCAGGAATGCTGGGAGTTACACTTCAAAACATCTAGAGCAGCCTTCCCCGATCTAGTGGCTTCCAGACATGTTTGGGCTGCAGCACCCACAATTCCCAGTCAATGGCTCTGCTGGATGGGAATTCTGGGAACTGCCGTCCAGGTGCTTCTGCCGGCCACCAGGTAGGGGAAGGATAATCTAAGGGGTCTCTGGCTGGGGAAGACTGTTTGAAGGAATACAGGATGGAAGAAAGATGTTTGCTGAATGCCAACAGGATGCAAGACACTGTTCATAACACCCAGCATAGCCCCTGCCCAATCTGTATATACTTTCTGTAGAAAACATAGCAGGGAAGGTAAGAATGTGGTTGGGATATTTGTAGGGTCATAAAGCCAGCAAGGGCAAATAAAAAGTCTTTTGATATTAAGGGGTTCTTAGCTGAAGGGGCTTCTTAAACCTTGGATCATGCAAACAAAGAAAATGGCACAGGAATTGCTTAATTAAAAGGCTAGAGAAAAAAATTCCCTTTCATTCACCCGACCTTGGGGTGCATAAATAAGAGGTGGTGAAAAGAACAGTCCCCCAAAAAGATGGATAAATTGAGTCACTTCTTTTGGAAAAGGCAGCAATGCAAATCATGGGTTGATGTTTTTTATATCAATGACATGGGTGCTCAGATCATGGAAAGAAAATCCTGCTTTTGGTAAAGCAGCATCCAGTTGTGAGAACTGGTTGATCGTAATGAAATCTTTTCACGGATTCTATTGCAATTAGGAAGCAGTAGCAGGGAGTGTTAAGACATGTCTGTGTGTCACTCTGATCTGCCCTAGCAAGCTTCACCGGCATGGGGGTTCCCTTAACGCCACCAACCAATCAAGCCAAGGCTTCCCGTATTGCACGAAGGACACACTGCAGAGACAGCTCTGGCTGGCGAGGAAAAAATTGCTTGGTGGTGACAGGAGATCATCTTGCAGAAATGGCTTGCTGCAGAGCTGGCATCATGTGCAAATTTGCACTGAGGCGGTGGTGATGGTGGAGGCAGGTGGGATGCGAGAGGTGAAGTGTGCTTCAGACTCACTTGGGAATCAACGGAGATCTGCCTTGCAGTAAAAAGGAAGAGCTTTACTAATTTGGATGAGTCAGTCCAAGGCCGCACGAAGTCACCCTGCCTGTGTTTACCAGCGTCCTTTGTCTTGCAAGCTGACTTTCCTGAGTCAGGCCCAGCCTCTTCTAGAGATAGCAGGGGTGATGGCTGGAGAGGTCAGGAGAGGGAGGCATTTTCCTTCTGCGGGACATACATTTCTCCCAGGGACTGTCGCAGTTTTGACCTCAGCTGGAGAGGAAGCAGCAAAAACTTGCCAATGGGAAGCAGGCTTCCGTCCACCCTACAGTTCATTTCTGAGCCAGGCGTAGGAGGAGTTCCACTGCTGTCTCCACTGAAGACTGGATGCTTCAAGAGACTTTATAAGAGGCACAGCAATTGTGAGATATTGCAGGCTACAGAAAAGCTGGAGCGACCTGTGCCAACGGAAGCCTTGGCACAAAAAGGAACACGAGCACAACTTGAGAATGCATGCCTTTGTGAGGAGGAGCCTGAAGTTGGAAAGAAGGCTTTGTGAGAAGCAATTGCCTGTTCTTTTACAGGGCATCTTCCTGTGTTCTCGGGGTTGTTAAAAGGTGTCCATGAGCTGCTTGCCTGTTAGGAAAAATGATTTTTGCTTGGAAGACTGAGCTGTTCAATGACACAGACTAAGTATAAAGGGAGTTGCAAAGGTGATGGCAAGAATACCTTTGCCATTAGCAGGGGCCTCCTGCTATACGTTGGCATTGTGCTGGAGAGAATCCAGCTTCTAACACAGAGCAGGTATTTCTCCTATGAGATGTTAATGGTGGGGGGGCTCGCACAGGGTTAACCTGTTGCAATTCCTTGAAGATGGGTGGAAAGGACTGCGAATAAAGCCACAAAGCTGGCAGGCCACAGTACTCCTCCCTCGCACTCCATCCTCTGGAGTGGTTCAGAGGAACACTGTGCTTCTGCTACCAAATGAGACCATTATTTTTAAAATGCCAAATCACTTTCCCTCTGCTCATGCTTTTTTGTAAGCAAAGCCACTGCCCAATTAATTCTGCTGCCTCCTAGGACTGTTTGGATGGCATATCTGATTCATTTCTGACAATGCCCATAAATAAGAGATGGAAAAGGGAAAAAAAAAAACAACCCAGAAGAACCCATAAAGTGTCTCGTGGAGAGTCGTATACTTTGGAAGTGGCAGTAATTCAAATCATGGGGTGATGCTTTTTATGTGTGGTTCATTGCGCCTCAGATCATGGGAACAAAGTCCTACTTGTGATAAGCAGATTCAGGTACTGAGAACAAGTTGATCTCGGTAAAATACTTTCAGATTCCAGAAATATCCCTCTACTTAGACACTGTTGAAATCTCTATCTCAAGCGTTTCTTGCACGATCTCAAGTGCAAGAAATAGGACCGTGGTGGTATGACAGGATGGCCTGCCCTTTCGCTCACGATTCCAGCCAAGCAATGGCATGCATTCTCAAGTCGCGCTCGTGTTCCTTTTTGCGCCAAGGCTTCCGTTGGCACAGGTCGCCCCATCTTTTCTGTAGCCTGCAATAGCTCGGGGTTGCTGGACGCACCAGAGGAAGCAAAATGACCAAAGGAATAGCCCAGAGCTCTGTGGTTGAGAATGTGCACCAGTTCCCCCTCCTGTCATCCAGGGCTCCTTGCCAAGAGAGCGGGGAGATCCCCTGATGAGCACCGGCTCTCTCCCTGTCTGCTGTTGCTCCTTCTTGTCTGCTCACCTTTCCTCCCTTCCACTAGAAGGCAGCGTGGCCCCTTGTGAGTGAATTTGGGCTCCATGCTGCACACACTCTTCCACCTGGCAGCATGATAAGCCACAAGTTGACTCACATCTACTGGTTCTTCCCCCACTTCTGGCAGTACCTAGGGGACAGCTGTTGGTGTCCGCGTGTGCATGCACGTGCAAGAGTCTGGATTTGCCCTGGGGACCTCAGGTTGCCAAGCCCATTGCTCCATCATTAAGCTGTATGAAGGAGAAGGGCAGGGAGAAGGCATGTTAGTCGCTTGTGTTCGTCCAACGGGGGGGGGGGGGGCTTGTGTGATGGGTAAAGTAGGGCTGCCCCCTGGAGGTGTTGAGAGGAAGGGACCCACCTCTATATCTAGCCTGGGGCACATTGCTCTGAGTCCATTCATAGCACTGGCGATTGGGCTTCTTTTTGATAACTGGGAGGGTGCATAGCAAGAGTGGCTCCCCCCTCCCGGTGGTTTCTCCCTGGGCTGCTTTCCTGAAGAGCTCAGGCCATGTAACAGGATTGTAGCATGGCCTCCTCTCAGCAGAGGATGCAGAGTTTGGCTTTCCAGCCCAGACCTGCTTGTATCTCTACAATCATCTCCTTATGCTGGAGCTTTAAGGATTATTTCCTTAAATGATGCAACAACACCTGTTTCTGCAAGATCAGAAGTCTTCCATCACATCAGTGGCACCTTCACTGTGATTTTCTGCCTTGTCAGTGTTACTTTGGTTTCCAAGGGAATGGAAAGGAGGCTGGTGGAAGGTTGTTGTTTGAGTTATCTGAAAAAGACCAGTTATCTGGGGAACTTGTATGTGTTGGATCCAGTTTTGCCATTCTTGCTTCTCCATAGCAATTCAGGGCTAGGCACTGGCTGAAAGTCAATGCTTTCTACTCCTTCCCAAGAGTTCTTCAGTGTTTGAATTCCCTTCCTTCCTGGTTGGGGATCCCTGCCAGTATATAAGATGAGTGACAGAGTTGTTGCGCTGCATAATATGGTCAATTCCCCCACCTTCCATGCATTCACATGCCTTGTGTGCCATAAGGAGGAAAGTGCAGATAGGAATGCTCAATCTAGTTTCCTCCTGCACTGTAGTCAGTATAAAATGCTCAAAATCTGTCCCTGGCTTTCTCTTTAATGCAGAGCGGAGTGGCCGAAGGAGCAGTTCATCCCACCCTACGTGCCACGGTTCAGAAATGGCTGGGAGCCCCCGTTGCTGAACTTCATGGGAACCCCAAAGGAGCAAGAGCTCAACCAGTTAGCCGAGTCTGTGGCGAACGTGGCTGAGCAGCAGCGGAAGCAAGAGATGAAGCGGTTGTCCTCTGAGGTAGGGAAAGAGCCACCAGGTGTCACATCAAGGGGAAGGATCTGTGTTCGTTTGACTCAGGTGGCCTCAGAGCTTCATCCATAAATTGCTTGCGCAGTGGTTTAAGACTATATTCCAAAATATAAATGGTAATAATTATTGTCCTTCTCCACATCTTTATAAGGATCCTGGCATCCATAGGCCACCCCATTCCTTTCAAATGCACCAAACAGATCTGCATGTGTAAATGGAGGGGGAACTTGCTTGTGGAAATTGGTTTCCTCTTTCAAAGGAATGGAGAAGGAATTCTGGGCAGGATTGGAAGGGGAACTTATGTCCTGTTTGATAATGACTTGAGGCTAGTAGCGTCTGATGGTGACTGATCAAGCAGAAAAGTCCTGTCCAGTAAGAGAATTAAACTGTAATAGGCATGGTCATGTTAAACTGGTAGAGTCAAAGCAGATGGACCAGGAAATGTCAAAGGCAGAGAAAAATAGGACCTTGGATAGCTCCTGCTGGCTGGAACTCTCTCTCACGAGGACAATAGGGGGATGTTGTCCCAGCAGGAAGATGTTGTCACACCTGAAACAGCTGAAGCCTTATGGGAGCTGATAATAACTGCAGGATTATCTGCTCCATCCCTCCTGGAGTTGCTGACTGTGCTAACGGCAGCTGCCTGTTTTTGTGGCCTGAGATTTCTGCAATATCGAGGAGGTGAAGGTTTGGCTGGGATGGAGACAGGGCTGCCTGTTCTGGATGGGGGGACCCTAATTAAAGCTACCCCCATTAAAGCTACCCCTAATTAAAGCTACCCCTAATTAAAGCTGTGTGTACCTCATCCTCATCAGAATGTCCTGCTACATACTTGAAGCAGGATCTGGGAGCCAGGACACCCAGAACTCAGGAAGGAAAAGTCACATTCTCTCTCCTCTGTGGCCATCTCTTCATTTTCGGGGGCGGGGGGGAGGGGAACAGAAGTAGAAACACACAAAGCTTTTCCAGCACAAGCTTGGCACCTGCAGGTATCTCAAAGAACCCTTTTAGTAAGGGTGGGGCCAGGGCATGCATCATCTCAGCTATGAATTCTTCCTTTAAATACATCCGCACAAGACTGTTTTCTCTGTGATGGTTTTATTTAAAGAATGAGAGTTTATTAGGCAATGTATGTTTAAAAGAACTAGTTCCTCTCACACACCATGGATGGTACTGAGCTGTTCTCCCTCTCTCCAACTCACCTTGTTCAGCCCATCCACAATTCCTCCCAGGGGACTTTTCAAGTTCACTTATCCCCATTATACTCAAATGAACCTGCAAAGTTCCATCTTTGGCTCCAGTAGAAGTGAACATGGCAGGGTGCCTAAAGGTAACAGAGAAGTAATTTAAAGATACTATTTATTTAAGAAGGGTGATCTTTATAAGTAGATAAAAGCTTTTGAACTTAAAATAACTGTTCTCATTCATGGTACAGTTTCTGGTGCAAACAATTCACAGACAGTAAAAACAGACAGAGACATGTGAGTTTTGCGAGAGGATTCCAGACTTTCTGATGAAAAGCGATGCCTCTTGTTCCAGTCATTTGTGAGCAGCTCCAGGGGGCAAAGAAGTCTGACTACTCCCCCCCCCCCGCCGCCATTCATTCATCTTTAAGAGGGAGAAAACAGGCAGCCCCTTAATTTTGATCACAACATGGAGCAAACTCTTGTAAACCATGACATTGCTAGTGCAAAAGAGGAAGGTTGAAGAGGAACAGAGAAACTTAGAAACAGCGAGTCAGAAGGGGTCTCCCAGGCCATCTAGTCTGACCCCCGGCTCCAGCTGGCTCCGCTCACGACACACCCACCGTGTGCATGTCCAGCCTATCCCTGAACACCCTCACCGATGGGGCCTCAAAGTGGAGAGATGTTTTATGGCTAACCTGCTTGACATGCTGTTATCGGAGAATACAGTCACAGTGCAGGGATGGAAGAGGCTGGCCCTGGAGTTCAGGAGGGCTGCAGCAGGCTTTTTCTGGAGATGACACATCTTTCAGAAGTTTGCAAAGTTTCACAGCATCTGTTGAGAGAGAACTTGTGCGGGAACAGCATTGGCTCTTGGTGTGCCGACTAGATTGGGGTGGGCTCTCCACGTGTTTCGGCTGGCAGTGCCCATCAGCCCTAACTGGCATAGCCATGAGCCTCACTGGGTGACTTTGGGCCAGCCACCGACTGTCAGCCCCATCTTCCCCACAGGGTGGCTGTTGTGAGGACCAAGTGTGGCTATGTAGGTCATCTTGGGTTCCTCCCAAGAGGGGAAAAGGTGGGATGTGAGCACAAAGTGAAAACGGTAATGACAGATCAGAACATCTGACGTGGCAGAAGCAGCGTACCCATTTTAAATACAAATACAAATTCTGCCCTGATTCCTGATAGTAAGGCTGTGACCAGCTCCTTTTATCTGAAAGTGTGTGTAATTATCAACCCGAAAACGACTGCTCTTTTTTTCTTGTTCTTAAGCAGAGTTTTATGCACACAGTGATTCAGTGGCATGAAAATATCAGTGCACGGTACCTTGGCGCTCTCCCGCACAAAATCATTTCTTTCCAACAGGGCATCCTTTTTAATACAGAAAAATGCACCCTAGTGTGAGTTAACAGCATACTTGCTGCTGCCATGGTTACAGGGCCTAACCTGGAGTAGAAAGCTTTGATCTGACATCTAGGAAAGCGCATCAGAAGTTCTGATTCTGGAAAATTATTCCTAGCTTAAGCTACAGTGACATCCGCTGTGGTTTTTCCCCTGCCACTTCAATAGATTTCCTGCTTGGGCATCATTACTGTAATGAAAGACAAGCTGGAGTTGCTTGTTTCCACTGCAGCTGCTTAGGGCCATTTTATGCCTTCGCAGGCATGGGAGTCACACCCTGCCTGCATTCACCCACATCGCTGCACATGCCAGCTGCAAGTTTGCGTGTCGTGGATGCAGCAGCAGCCCCTGCGATCTCACGGGCATCTGTGGCCTCGAGACCAATGTGCTTGCTGATATTTGTGTCCCAGTGCAGTGCAGGGAAGCATGACTTGATGCTGGATCATGTCCTTTCCACACTTCTAGGCTTCAGCACTGGCTGGCATCTCCAGTCCAAAGCCATCACAGAATGGGTTGCCTGCGGCCCAAGATTGCTTTTTAGCCTGCGGAAGCAACACTGAGCTAAAATCACCCCTGGTCCAACTCAGCATAGGACAGCATCTTGCCTTTATCTAGCTGTTCTAAAACAGCCCTCCCCAATTGGGTGCCCTCCAGTTGGCCTGGCCTGAATTCCCATCAGCCCAGGCCAGCATGATCAGTGGTGAGATACCCTGGGAGATGTAGTCCAGAAGGATCTAGAAGGCAACTTTAGAACCCCCCACAAGGAATGTCCCCATGTATACAGCTGCATGGGAAGTGGAAATTATACCTGAACCAGCGCAAGCACACTGACAGGTAACCCTGGTCACAAAGGTATTCAGATGCAGTGAACTGTGGGCGTTTTTACCTGCAGAGCTTGCATGAGTCACCATCAGGGAAAGCTACCAGGTATCCTGGCCATGCTAGGTTAGGTGTCACTTCCTCTGTTCAGTAACTATGGGAACACTCTAGGAAATCTTTTAGTGCAACTGAATTAGCTCCTATAGGAGAATTTGCATGCCCGTGTCTGCAAAGTACAAAGCAGTCTCTCTTTTGTCTGTCTTCTGGGCAATGGGGATACATTTGCTTGCAAGTGGAGTAATATAAAGGAAGGGGAAAACTTGGGCTGACATGAATCTTGAAGAGATCATGCACAGCTTTCTATATGAGGAGGAACTTCCAGCTGGTTTTCCTCAAATGTCTTTATGCTCTCTGAAGTGGGAAGCAGGACAAACAGACTCCTTTCGTTCCGGTTAGAAGTAAGACATTGCAAAGTGTCCAGAAGTTGAAGGTTCTGATGTGGCACTGCAGACTTGTGAACATGGTGGCATGCATAGCAATCACAGCAGTGAAAGAGCCAGGAGAGACTTCATGTGAATTACAACAAATCTTTCTTGTTTTCTCTCTTTCAGCATCCCAGTATCTCAGATTATCCTCCGTCTGAAGGGTATGCATTCAGTAACACAGCTTACAAAAGAGGGCCTCTGCCGGACCAGGGGGCAGCGGTTGCTGCATTTAAGCAAACTGTTAGCCGACATGTAGATAGGTAACATTTTCGTGGATGTTGTGTGTTACTGCTATGGAGAACTGTCCCAACAGGTTGCTTTTTGGGTGGAGGTGCCTTTCTCTTGTGCTGGCCTGCTACTATTTAATAGATTCTGGAAGTAGACAATCCTCTCTGTTAGAGCTAAAATCTGAAACCTTAAAAAATGCTGCTTTCATAAGTGTCTCCAACAAGTCCCTTTCAGACTTGCTGCTATCAATGTGGGCTTTCCAAAAAGGGTGAAAAATTGAATTGTAATCTCTGCACTTTGTGCCCAAGCAGTTCCCTTGTTTAAGGCCAGCGCCAGCACTGGAATGTTCATTCGCTGGGTGGGCGTGTACCAAAAGAGATGCAGAAGAGAGATGCATCCCATGCCTCTCTGGGGTCTTGTTAGGAGGAGCAGCTTCCAGTGAGCTGACGCCAAGCACAGTGAGGATCTGGCTCTGGATTTTCCGGGTCTTCTTTATTAAATTATTACATTGCCCAAAGCCAAAGCTCTCTGAGTGATTCACAAGGGCAGAGAACCTGCTTGGGATGGGGTAGGGGGTGCATATTGTCTTTCCTGACCCCTTCTGTGGGCCAAATGATAAGTCGGGGACAGAGGCCTGTTTGTGATGTCAGAGTTGGGGTCCCATCTCTCAACATCTTCAGGTCTAAAGTTGGGGTCCCACCCCCTGGCTAAAGTGCTGTTGGGAGCTCCTTCAGCCGACCCCACCCACTTACCCTTCCTTCCCAGGGACAGAGATTGCGGGGAGGCGGGAGGTGTCAGCTTCTCTTGATACTTCTGGCTCCAGATGGGCAAAGGGTCTTCAACTCTGTGCTGGTCCTGTCAGTCATGCTGAAAGAAAGAAGCAGCGCTTTGTTTTCTTTCCGCTCCTCCTGAGTACCAAGTGTCCTATCAGTCCCTTAGCATCTTCCCCTGCCTGCTGTATGAGGATTTGTCTGCGTGGCTCTGGTGCACCCACTCATGGGTCCTAAGTTAAGCAAGGGTTCCATGTACTGGTCCAACAAACCTCCAGATTAGGCTTATAAGCCCCTTGCTTCTCCTCTTCATGGACCAACAACCTCCAGACAGCTACCTCTTCCACTTGGCATGTCCTTGGTGCCCAAGTGATCTCATAATTCCATGCTGCTTCCTCAGTATTCTTAGAATTCTTCAATTCACAAAGCAGCTGCGGGCATCTCTCCTCCGGAGAACCTGGAGAGTAGCTCCTCTGTTGTAGCTCTGTTTCCTGCAACCTGTAAACAGCCAAGGGCTGGTGCGTGGCACGCACATTATTGCATGTTCTGCATGGCGGTGCAGCTTGTTGTGAGCTGGCTGCAGGTGACATCAGAGCCATGAAACCAAAGGTGTCCTCCCCGCACTTTGCCTCCATTGCTGCCAGAGCTCTCTCTCTCTGTGCCTCTCAGGGCTAATCCTCCATCCTTTCCTCTCCCAGCATGCTAGACACATGTCACAACACCGAAGGAGAAAAGCCAGCTACTGGCCGCTAGAGACGAACAAGCACTTTCCTTTCTCTAGCACTCCCTGCCTGCTGAAATAGTTTCTGGAGGGGGAACTTCAGTTTCTCAAGCAGCAGAATGACCTGAAAGTTAACAAATTTGCTGCCTGGTGAACAGAAACGGGGCAAGGAATTGCAATCATTGAGCTGCCTCTAGTGAGAATGCCCCATTTCTGGTAGCTGTCCACCTCACCTTAGAAGGTTGAGCAGAGCTGGGCCTCTTGAAATCACAGTAACCAACCTGGCTGACATGAGAATAGCATTTCTACTCCAGACTCTTAATATTGTGGGAGGATACTCTCCTGGGTTGTTTCCAGTAGGTATTAATTTTTTATACAAATACTTACATGTGTACAATTATGTCCCACATTTCTTCCATGAGGGAGCTCCATGATGGAACAGGACAGCACATCCAAGGTTCCCAGGTAGTCTCCCATCCAGGCACTGACCAGACCCAGGCATCCTTAGCTACAACAGCCTTGGTGCACCAGGAGCCTGAGATCAACCTGAACTCCCAGGCTCACATGCTTCCTACTTAGCAATGCCAATCGATGCCTCTGAAAGCTGTGATTGATGCAGTGTTTTTGTTAGGTATGACATGATATGTTGCCACAGGACCCAGCCCAACAAGGACAATGGGTGATCCAATGGGAGCACAAAAGTGAAGTGGTCATTTTCCAGGACTGCTGATTTTTTAAGCTGTACTTCATCACACTTTGCATTCTTGCTGTCTTGTTAAAGTATGCTTTTTACTCTCAGCGTGCAAACTTTCAAGCACAACACTTCAAATCTCAACACTGGGAACCTCATTTATCCAAATGGATTGGGATCTAGAAGGGGGGAATACAGAGTGTATAAATTGCCCATAGTTTGGAAAAATGAAAAAGCTGCTTCTATCAGCTCATGTCCCCATGGGGTTATATTGGCCATTTAAAGGAGTCAGACTCTAATCTTTTTGGATAACTGAGAGCTAGCCAGTGGAAATTCTGTGGTGTCCTTCTCTTCCCTTCCTTCAAGGGCATTGTGACAGTTCTCCACAGCTAGCCAGAGACTACGTAGCTCCTGGAGCACCCAAAAGCGGGTTCAGGATCAGTAGTTCACACTGGATTGGCACCAAAAATCATCTTCCATTCCTGTCTATGTAATGTGATATGGTATTGATGTTTATAGTCTTACACAGTCATATATTCCATCTTCCATCATATTTTGACCTCTGAAGTTCTCCTTACATTTGTCTTCTGTCATATTTTAGATGTGTAATCCTCCCTGTTGCCATGGCTCAGGAAAGATGACTTTTAGAAACTATAAAATATTAATCAAAATGTAAATCACTAAACTTTAAGATAAAAGTATACTGGCTCCAATCTTTTAAAAACTTGCCACAGCAAGCCTGAGGAAACTGCAGCTTTCCAGATGTTCCCTCCAATCTTGGCTTAATTTGGTGAGCTGGCTTAGTCAACATAGCAAAAACAGGGGTGCCGTCCAACCTTTTAAGCGCAGCACTTGTGGCCACTGAATTTCTGATCATGGCGGCAGCAAAACGAGGAATGATTTGCTGCCAGATTTCTGTTTCAAGCCATGACAATAATGTGGAAAGCTCCAGTCTAGTTTTAAACCGAGGCTTCAAAGCTACATTCTGCCTTTTAGGCCACTTAGCCATTTGCCAGAGAAATTTGGCAGCAGACAGCCATTTTTTGATGCCTTTTCCATTGGTACACAATAGTAGAGATACAACCTTGAGGGAGGGGGTTGAAATTGTCCCCCACAACCCCCAACGTTGCCCACCCTTGAGCTCAGTGTATGAAGAGCCTGAGCACATTCTGTGTTACGTTCTAACCTGGTGAATTTTTGGCATCCATTTTGACTTCGTCTGATCTTTATATGGGTATTTCATGATGGCCTTTCACAATAATAATGCCTCTTCCCCCAGTTTTGTGTGTGTTTGTGCTGGGATTAGGATGATCAGGCTAAAAATAACAATAATACAAAATTAAACCAAACCTCTGGAAGGTGCAACTTCTGGCTTACAGAATCCTTTGGTAAATCACATTGCAAATTGTTGCACCTTTCTCATGGATGCTCGTTTATTTAGTAGCACAGGACTGCTAATGCAGTACAGTTTCCCACATGTACAGCGATATAAAACTCAAACAGCCATCTGCACAGGGTTTTTTCCACCGCCCCCACCTCCCCAGCCCATAGATTTCCTCATCTTGTAAATTCTTCCACTCTCCACTGCAGAGAAAGTGTGAACACATCTGTGTGTGCACATGAGAGCCCACGCTGGTGGAACATTCGCAGCCGCTTCAGAGGTTAATCATGCTGCTGCCTGTTGCCAGTGTTTTGCTGTTGTGATGGATGGCTGATAGCTTTCCACAGTAGTAAATTCTGGGCAAATCACTGCCCCTAATTGTATTTGCTGGCAGGCAGGACTCGCTGCTCCACTCTCCTCGGCAATGCTTTGCTGCAAGGGGAACGAAATAATGTTTGCTTGTTTGCTTTGTAGGAATTATGAAGCACATAAAACCCCATCCAAGAAATATGCCAAAACCAAGTATGACTTTGTGGGAAGAAACCAGAGTGAACTTTCTGTCATGAAAGATGACATTTTAGAGGTAACGCCATCCCTTTTTTTAACCTTTCCCCTGCCACCAGACCCAATTACTTTTCCAGTGTGCATGCCACATCGATTCCAATGGACTCACCTATCATTTTTCTGCATCGCTTGGGAAAGTTCTTGTTGGCTGTGGTTACTTTAGCTGTGAGCATTCACCTAGGAGAAGTGAATGAATGGGAATAGAGAGAGCTGGGTCACACCAGGCCAGCTCTTCCTGGGGTCTGCAGTGCGGGGCCTATGAACACCAGTAAGACACACTCTTGCCATTGCTAAGCTCTCTCCTGCTCCTGACATTTAAAAAGCTGTGAAACCCCATGCTTTCTTCCAGATTCTCGATGACAGGAAGCAGTGGTGGAAAGTCCAGAATGCAAGCGGAGTCACAGGATTTGTGCCAAACAACATCTTGGAGCCTCTCAGATCCCAGGAAGGTGGCTCCACCGAACCACCTTACACACACACCATCCAGGTAACCCCTGGTCCTCCAGAGGGCTTGTGCCGGGCCAGCTTAGCGCGATGCTGCCCCAGAACCCTGAACCAGAGAGTTCCTGGGGACAAGTCTTGCAGGACAGCAACCCTTGCAGGGCAATAACTCTCCAGGCAGACCATCCCGAGATGCTAGTAATTGGACGGTATATAAAATCTTTGAATAAGTGAGCAAAGATTGCCAATCAGCAATTGCTCGCCTAAAACATCCAGCCAAAGGATGCAATTTGATGGCTTCTCTAATCTCTCTATCAGATGCCATTTTGTATCTATGGTTCAGAGCACAGTAGATAGTCTTACCCATGCAAACCAGATTAATTTTATTGTGCTGAATAGATTTTTCTCTATAACATTGAACAGGTTCCTGTTTTGATTGTGTGTGTGTGTGTGTGTGTGTGTGTGTGTGTGTGTGTGTAGGGTCTGTTTCCTGCCATCCATTCAACCACTGCCTTTGCCATTTTTCAGACTGTATTTCTGCTTGTGCACTTACTTTATTTTCATGTTTATCCTGTGTTGATAGCTGTTGATGCCAAAGAGGGAATTTGAATTATTTAAGGTAGGGTGTTTCTCCTCTCCATAAGGACTCCATACTCTGCATGTGTGTGGATTGGTAATTTTCCAGTTGGCTTGGGGTTTAGATATGTAGGAACACCCTTCCCCAACCTGGTGCCCCTTGGATATTTTGACCATTGGCCGTGCTGGCTGGGGCTAAATCCAAAACATCAAGAAGGCACCAAGTTGGCAAAGGCTGGTATAGAATATTTCTCTTGCCAATGTGTGCTTACCTTGAGTGGTATCAAATAACTTTGATGTTTTAAGATTTTGCCATTGATTGGTGTGTTGAAGTACGATGAAGTACAAGCAGTCCCCAGGTTATGAACATTCGAGTTATGAACAAACTGCCATAAAGTCTATTAATTTTTCAAAATTATTGTGGAAAATTGTAATGGCCATGGAGAGAGAGGAAGCAAGAGGGGAGAGAGGGAAGCCTCCAAAGCAAGCCTTCCTGCCCCATCCATCCAGAGAAGAAAACCTCTCCAGCATCTCCTTGCTGCAAAAAGGGGGCAGTGGTGAGTTGGGGGCAGGGGGAAGCCTAGAGATAGCCAATGTTTTTCCCCCGTCCTGCGCTCCTAACCCTCACAAATGTGGAGGGCCGACTATATGTGGTCTGTACAAATTCAACTGAAAGACAAATTTCCATTTTCTCAGGAATGGAACTCGTTTGTAACCCGGGACTGCCTGGATTAGTGGGAAGCATGCAAGTTTGTAAATAAATAAATAAATAAATAAATAAATAAATAAATAAATAAAGAGTGTGCAAAGTTTCAGCAGTGCTTTGCATCAGCATGGTTCCTTTGTCCAAACTGCTCTGGTTAAAAAAGACAAAACATGAACATTAAAAAAATGAATGAAGGAATGTCTGGTTTGGGCTCTAGGTACCCTGGTCCCCGAGTGTTCTGAGATTTAAAGGATAATACTTGCTCTTCAAATGGCATCTGAGGAGATATTTTTTATTTTTATTTTGGCTTGAATGGTATGGTGCAGAGGTAATTGCAGACTCACGGGCAGAAAGTTAGATAAAAGGGGTTATGGAGGTCCACAGATACCTAACCGATGTGTGTGTGTGTGTGTGTGTGTGTGTGTGTGAGAGAGAGAGAGAGAGAGAGAGAGAGAGAGAGAGAGAGAGAGAGCAAGCAAGCAAGCAAGCAAGCAACTAACTCACTTTTGTGATCCTATACAACCATGGTAGTCTGGAGGGAAAGTTGGTGGGATTGGGATACAAATTCTGTTCCGAGCCCACGAAATCCTCTTAGCTTCCCTGAATAATGGACCATCTCCAGCAAGAAAACATGTTTTTTAGAGAGAGCAGAGAAGCTACACCTAGGAGATGCATGATTGAAAACGGAGCCAAAGACCTTTACGTTTCAATCTATAAGCCAGCGGGAATTGCCAAGTCGTAACTGGCAAGAAACAGCAGGCCCGGGTGTTCCTTTTTCCATTTGCACTGTTTGCACTGTGTGAAGTGTGGCACGCCTTTGGAGTGTTCTTCGAGGTATTGATCTGCTTATGGCCGCTGCTTGCCTCTTTCCTGGGGTGAGTCACACTTTGGCCATCTCTTCACAGTCTTGTCACAACTACAGTTATGAACTGTACTTTGGGTTTATGTCAGCCTTTCACACCAGGTAAGACTCCCAGGTGGCGTCCCACAGAAGTCGTGGCGGACGCTCTGTACCTCGGCATATTGACTTGTCAGGCAACCTGCTCCAAGTTTTCCTGCCAGTTATATTTTTGGCTCTGCTCATTGGTGCTCCAAGCCAGAACAGCTCCAGATTACCTGTTCCTAATTTTCACAGCCTGTTCTGAAGCAGCAAAGGATGGTTAAAATCTGCTAATCTGAAAGCGTTTCATGGAGACATTTAAAAATATATTTTAACGAACTAGGTTGCACAAGTTCAGCCCCTTCCTCCAAACGAGCATTTGAGTAAGAATTGCTGAAAGAACTCCACCCCTGATGCACTAAGCAGATCTGGGTCTGGCTAGGGGGGCACCCATGCATGCCTCCCCATCCCCACCCCAATCTGTCTTCCCCTTAGTGAGGGATGCGAGCTGGAGCGGAGGAAGCGCCATCCTGCCAGCGATCCAGCAGGACGTATGCTCAGTCCTTCCTCCTCTCTCCACGAATCCAAGATGCGCAGAAGGAAATGAGTGCCAGGATCACAATCTAATCTTGTGCTCATGCTCTTCCTGGACAGGAGATGATGCAAGGTCGCGGGGAAGGCAAACACAGAAGCTGTGCCATGCTTGTCTTCAGAATGCCATGCAGCTCCAAAAGCTCCCATTCTGCTTTTGGGGGGGGGGGGGGAAGCAAGATGCGGGACTGGCATTCCAGGCTACATTTTTGGAGCCCTGGGAAGCCCCACAACGAATATAAGAAAAGTGCTTGCTACATCACTGCAGGTGGTAAATGCAAGGGAGGTCGGTCACTTCCTTGACAGTCTGGCTTCCTATCCACTGCAGCTTTTATTCTGAGCCTTACAGGAGCTATCCATGGGACCAAACCCCATCCTCAAAAGGCTCACTGCCCTGGAGCAGCATGGATACCAAAAGTGACATAGAGTAGGAAACAGAATTCTAGTTAGGTCTTCGTTTGGCCCTTTGCCCCATTTCCATTTAATACTGGCACGGATTAAATTAGCTATTTTTTAAATTAAACTGTTTCTTCCTCGTTTTCCATTATTGTTCTTGTTTTCCAAAAGGCTTTTGCTATTAGTGCTCACACAGAGAGTCAATTCCAAGTTTGGCTTCTAAGCTCTGGCGCACCAAACGCTCTTTGCATCCTCCGGAATCCGCCACAAAGCCTTCCCCAAGTCCGTGGCAAATGTCGCTCTGTGGGGGTGCAGCTTCTCTTTCACACGCATTTCTCATGCCCAGACCCCCTGCCAGCAAGCTTAGATCTATCCCAGCTCTGTCCTTCCAGCCCCTTTCTTTCCCTCACCCTGCACCTTTCCCGCTTTCTTCTCAGCTGCCTGGGAAATCTGCTCCAAGGAAGGGGTGCGCGCGGCAGGTGCTCATTCTCCCGTGCCAGAATTGCCACCACTTCTCTGCCAGTTATCCATGCAATGCCACTGCATGTGCGGAGAAAAGCTAATCACTGTTTTATTGATTGGATTATTGGCAGCCCCGCAGCTTGGAGCTTTATGTGCTAGTGAGAGGCGCCCTTTGTCCCTTCGCTGCCTATCAAACTTTACAGAGCTATATTTAATTTATTTAACTTGGTTCATTATTTATCCCCCATTCTTCTCTTAAAAGAACTACCAAAATGGCGTATCATACAGAAATCCAATATTATAATAAAAATTGCATTATTAACCAGGAACAATATCAGAAACCTTTGGTAATATAAGGGTGCAGCAGTGTCCATTGACAGTGTCGGAAAAAGAGCAGGTTAGTCACCAACCCAAATCATCCATTTCTTAATTTCACAGTTCCTTTGTTTTTAATATGTTTCTAGCTCTCATGAGTACATTTTAATGAGGCTAAGGGTGCCGTCAGGATGCATGCATTTTAATGAGGCTAAGGATACATGCACTTTATTACTCCAGAAGTTTGCAGTTGGATTATAATAAGCCATTGTGTAATCTTTTGCTACAGGATTTTGTTACGCAATGGGCAGGATCTATCAGGAGAGCTTCTGTCCCTGCTGATTCTTTTCCTGCCTGCCAATTCTGTTCTGCTGGGGGAGCTCCCCACTTATGCAAGGGAAATTTTGTACTTCCTACAGGAAGCTCTAAAATGCATGGAAACGTTTGTTTCTGGAAGGAGGCAAGTCAGTGTAAGCTCCCTTTATGTCAGCTCCACTGACCTGCCTCCTTGATGCAAACTCCTTCATGTGTATTTTATCATGTTGTAAGCCGCCCCGAGGTTTCGGCAAGGGGCGGCATAGAAATGTTAATAATAATAATAATAATAATAATAATAATAATAATAATAATAATAATGTGAGCTCTGCTTGCAGAAATGCCTCCTTCCAGAAATGAACATGTTTGCTCGTTTGAGGCTTTCCCTAGAAAGCATTGAATCTCCCCTGCATAAGCGGTGGGCCTGCTTACACAGTGGAATTGGCAAGACCCATTGCTTGCAGAAGAGAAGCAAGTGCCTTCTTGATTCCGCCCCACATATTGCATTGCCTAATTGCACCCTGAGTTAATATAGTATATGCCATGTTTTTTTGTTTTGGCTCACGTCTGCACGACAGGGTCACCAGCAATTGTAAGAATGCCAGTATATAAAAATTGGCGAGTAATTGCCATTATCAAGAGCAAATGAATGTCATTAAATGCTGGAAGGCTGTTGATTTATGGCTGATGTTCCAGAGTTGTTTTAACAGTCTAATTTGCTTTGATTTACTTTGTTTTTCTCATAGCAATTACTGGGAGAACTCTCAGAGGTAACTCAGATTGCTTTTGTGCAAAATGTTGTGTGGAAAATATTTGAGGAAGTGATCCATAAAATGCATTGTGCTCCTAAAAACCATTCCCCACCTCCAGTTGTATAACAAACTCATGCTTACAACCTCGGAGAGCCTCAGCTGAGATGAACCTATGAACTTGCTTCATATCCAAACAATGCTGTCTTCTTCAGGGACGAGACGAAGGTTGTTCTCCTGGTGTTTAGGCTCCAACTCTCAGCAACCCTGACTGTTGGTCATTGCTGCAGGAGACCCTGGTAGTTGAAGCCCAAAACATCTGGAGCTCTACCTTCTGCCCATGAATATTCAGGCTCCTGAAGGTATTGAGCAGAGAATCATCTTCCTTAACACCAATCATTTATTTTAATTGGTGGGACCGATTCAGGATTACCTGCATGGCATAGCGGTGGTCATGCCATGCAGCCAGGAGATCTTTAAGTTGCTGATCTCACAGCATCTTCTGGTCAGATGTGTAGACTCAGAGGCTTCCTTTCACCCTCTGCCCATTCTCTGGACCCTTTGGAGAAGCTTTCTGTGAAGCATGAACAATGTCATCAGAGAGAGAAATCTGGAGAACCATGATCTGTTTCACTACAGATGGGCCACCAGAAGATTAAGGCAAAATCTCGGCCCAGGACCTTCCTGCTGGTTAGAGTCTTGAGCTAGAATCTGGAAGATACAGGTTGTCATTCCTGCTCAGCTGTGAAGCTTGTGGGGTGTTCATGGGCACATGACTGTCCCTCACCTAACCATCTTCCCTGAGTTGTCATAATGAATCGGTTTGGGAGTGAGCTGGTTGCACACATGATATCTTGAGTCCCTTTGGAGTAGAGTTACCTTTAAAAAATGTCCTGTTGGAGAGTGGATTCTTAAGAGTATCTTCCTTCATATTGTTGGTTCTTAATGTTGTTATGATTAATACCACTATTATAGTTGTGGGAGTGGTGAGGATGTTAAGGAGATGCAGCCTAAGAAAAACTAATGTTAGAAAGTTTACTGGAGAAATGTTTTCTATCCTGTCCTTCTCATGTTGGATTTGTCCAAAAGCTTTGCAAGAAGGTCAGGGGCCGTCCTGAGCAATGTGTGATAAGACAGAGGATATAGGAGCAATAGCCCAGAATTGTCCATTCAATTTTGGGTTAACTCGCCCTTCTTCCAGCAATCTGCCCATGTCCAGGAGAATCTGCTGACCCACCAGAAAAGATTTGAATGTGCAGATGGCTCTGTGGGGAGGAAAGGACAGGAGAAACCCTAATCCTAAGCCTTATATGACCTTTCTTAAGCAGACCAATAGTGCCACTACCATCGCTGCAGGATCAAGCCATAGCAGCAGCCTGAATTGCATTGCTGGTGCAGCTTTCTGTCTGTATATCCCGAGCAGTGGGGCCAGCCCTGGCCCGTGGCCCACAAGAACCTCCAGCCTTGTGTGTGTGTGAAGTACAAAACTCACCCTGCCACTCATCCCCCTGAAATTTGGCAGCAAGATGATGGCAAAAAGAGCCATGTTTTAATGAAGCTCAACTGGGGTACACACCTTGTTTTCAAGGAAAATCGCACTGGGACCAAGGCAGCACCACTGAATGTGGGGGGCAAATTCAGCAATGGGAGGCACTGCAGACCCCCGACCCATGGATGTTCCCTGTCCCTTCTCTAAAGAGTGCGCGTGTTCAGATTTTCCCATTGATTAAAAGCATATGCTCAAAACTTGGGATAGATGAGGAGGAATTGGAAGATGAAAAAGGCAAGAGGTGTCTTTTCTGATGCACAAAGACACAAAGGCGTTTTCCCTGTAGCAAATTTTGTATAGCCCTGATGAGTTCACCTAAAATGCCATGAGACACAGATTACTAAACTTTGATGAAATAGATGTTGAACTGAAGATGAGACAGAGAAAGGTGATGGTGGGGAAAAGCTGTCAGCTTAATGAAAGAAGCCGTTTACAAACCTTTGTCAGTGAGCCAATCCTTTGGGGAGGGTTAGATGAATTCCGTACATCTTCTAGCCTTTTGCCAAATAGGGGTTCAGCCAGATGTGGCCCATGCTTAACCAGGGGACTCATGCTTGGACACTTTCATGATTTGAAACATATTCATTCTACAGTTGCCGTTGAAGGAGGGCAAATGGATTGAGGATATGCTGTTGGTGGCAGGGGGAGGAATTGAACTGTTTGCACTGCATTGTTCTTCCAAATCAAATTATCTTTTCTCTCCTGCCCGAGATACCCAGTGAGATACTATTTGCCCAGTGGGGGAAAACTTGGTCACCCCTCCTATCCAACTTAGCCCACAGTCTGGCCACAGCTTGTGTGGGTCCATCAGGGATGCTGGAGAAACCCACAAGGAATTAAACGATTTCTATGATTTTAACCTCTGGATTCCACAGTAGACTGGCTTTTTTTTAAGTTGTGCGTTCTGGGTTTTGTTACTTTTGGGGAAGCTTGCAGAAATGCACATCTGTGCTAATACATGCCTATTTCTGCATTTGCTTCTAAGTAAGCACTGAAATATATTACTTTTCCTCCTCTTCAACAGGGAAAGAGGCCAAGAAACAGTAATCATGTAACAGTTTGGGTTTCACGCTTTCTTTTTTTCATCTCACCTGCAGTGTGTGGAAGTGTACGTGTTAGCCTGTTGTGCCTCCCTGGAGTTACACAGGTTTGATGTGTGGGGGGAAAAACCAAAACAAGTACTTTCTTGCAGAGAACTTGTCTTTTTTTCCAAAACCCTTGAAAGGAAAATGAAAGCTCCTTCTTTTCATACCGACAGAAGCAAAGGACAGACTTTGTTCTGAAGCAGCCTGACCCCGCACCTGCTGCTCCGTCTCCACCCCAGACGCCACTTCCCGTCCCAGTTCCAGTGCCGCTCCCTCCAAGTATTCCTGCACCTGTCCCAGTTCCTGTGCCAAAGGTACCCGGAGCCATCAGCCGCCAAAGCAGCACATCAAGTGACAGCGGGCGAGACAGTCAGAGGCAGAAGCCTCCCCCTGTAGATCGTGAGTTTTTATTTGGCATCTGTTTTTCCAAGCAGGGAAACGGTGTGCATTCAAAAGGATGCTGTCTCTACAAAACGGGTGAAAAGTGTTATGTACACACAACTGGAAGACTTGACGTTAAAAAGGGCTTGAGATAAGGCAATTTTTTGGGTTTCTATCATGTCAGACTCTTTGCTACACAACTCAAAAACATCAAAAAAGCCCTGCTGGAACACACCAAGAATCTGGTGAGTCACAGCCAGCTGCCCCCATGATCCCTCAAAGCAGGATGTGGGTAGAACAGCTTCCTCCTGCCCAAGTTCCCCAGCAGGTGGTGTACACAGGCCTCCTGCCCTTGATGTGAGAGGGACAAGTCTAGTAGCAACTGATGGGCTTCTCCTTCACGAATTGGTCCCATCTCCTGCCCAAATTGGTAGCCATCTCTACATCTTCTGAACTGAATCCCACAGCTTAACTATGCATGGTGTGATAGAGGACTTTCAGGACAGATCAAGGAACCTCCCACCGGTCAGCTTCATGAGATATGACCCCTTTTGGGTTCTAGTATGATGGAAGAACGAGAACAGTATCTCCCTCTCCACTTTCCCCATATCATGTCTCATTCTGAACATCTCTGTCTTGGCTCTCCTTACTTGCTTTTCCCCCCAGCGCTCAACAGTTCCAGCTTTCATAGCCATACTGAGTTCAGCAGAGCTCGCTCCCAAGGAAATGTGTGCAGGATTGCACATTTACCATTTGCACAGCTTTTCCTTTCTGCAAGTCCACGGAAGGTGGCTGAGGCCCCCTCGGTGAGGGTGTTCAAGGATAGGCTAGACACGCACATGGTAGGCGTGTCATGAGCAGAGCTGGCTGGAGCCGGGGGTCAGACTAGATGGCCCGGGAGGCCCCTTCTGACTCACTCTGTTTTTATGTTTATATGTTTCTAAATCACACTTGCTTAGTGACCAAGACTAGGCCAAGTCAGACGTGTGTGTTTTTTTCTGACCACATCACAGTGCTTGCTTGCACTGAAACATTTTGCCCTGATAAGGTAAGAAGGATGGATGAATTCGTGTGGGAGAAGCATAGCTTTGGCAGTTAGCCAGATTAGATCTTGCCTGCTCCTGAACCAGGAAGAATTCAGGTGAGAATGAATTTGAAACAATGGCTTCCTCTTGCTTGCACTGTGGCCAGTGTCGGAGACTACTTGGAGTAACCAAACCCTGATGAGGAAGTGATTGTTGGTTGTTACCGAATTGCCTTGTTAATTTATTAAGCTCAGTGTTGGCTTTCAGACTCTGCCTAGGACACAAACATTTTGAGTTTATTATGCTTTGTCAGTCTTCCTCTCACCTAAAATTTTGGATGAAATGGAAACCAAAGAATTATATTGTTTTGGAAGAGTTTTAGAACCGGTGCTGAGAAACCAAGGATAAAACTGTGGCTGCATTCTTGTGCACATTTCTTTGGAAGTCATCCCCAGTGAACTTAGTCCATCTTTCTTCTAGCACACATAGGACTGAAATCTGGATGAAGCAAATAAAGAAGCAGGAAAATCAGTGTTTGCTTTTATGAATCACTTCTTCAAGCATGTTTTAAAAGCAGTCTTTTTTTCATTCAGGAAGAAAATCTCAGATGGAGGAAGTCCAGGATGAACTCATCCACCGGCTCACGATCGGCCGGAGTGCTGCCCAAAAGAAGTTCCATGTGCCACGCCCTAATGTCCCAGTAGTCAACATCAACTATGACTCCTCACCGGAAGATGTGAAAAATTGGCTGCAAGCAAAAGGATTCAACCCAGTGTAAGTCTGGGGTGCAGTATATACTGTGGTTAAGCGGATTCTGAGTGGAACAGCACCCTCTTGCCCATGTTCCCCAGCAGCTGATCTATACAGACGTACTGTTTCTAATGCTGGAGGCAGCGTAGAGCCATCTGGCCTAAAGGCCATGGATAGCCTTCCCGGATAGCCAGCTTCAGTCCCCATTTCAAACTTGCCCAAACTGGTCGCCATCATTAGGTCTTCTCGAAGAGAACTTCACAGTTTTAACTCTGTGCCATTTAAATAAGTCTTTCCTTTTATCTGTCATGGATCTCTCATCATTCAGCTTCGCTCAACATAGCAGTTCAACAGGCAACATTTAAAACCATTTAAATGGTTGTTGTTGTTGTTGTTTTCATTTCTGTACTACCTCAAAGCCAAAGCCCTCTGGGTGGTTTGCAGCAATGTATAGAACAAAATAATAAAATGCAATGCAGTACCATTAAAAGAAAGCATCATTAACATTAATTTTAAATGATTTAAGGCCTTGGCAGTTACAGGTGGTCTGTAAATATGTGTAAATAAATTTTGAAAATAGCTAAAAACATACAGTGAAAAAGACCTGCAAAGGAAAAGAATCACCTGAGAATCAATTAAAGCAATATGGATGTGAGCCGCCCCAAGGCTTCGGTGAATGGGGCGGCATAGACGTCTCCTAAATAAATAAATAAAATAAATAAATATCAATAAAAACTAGGCCTGTTGAAGATAGCTGGCATCCATGACCCAGAAGATGCATGAAAGGTCTGGGATTATGGAGCAATTTTAACCAGGTGCCAAAAAGATGACAGCATTGCTCCAGGCCAGCCTCGGTGGAATAGCTTTCTATATTTTTTATTTGGGGGGGGGGGGGAATCAGTGAGAAAGCCCACCATTAAGAAGGGCCACCACTAAGAAGTCTTGCTCTCTGGTTGCTCCCTCCTGAGCTTCCTTTGCAGGAAGTCCTGTGATTCTGCCCAGGGTTCTGTACGTTTCATAAATGAGCCAGATAGTTCAACCAAATCAGGAAGGAACAGTGTGGTGCCTCCCAGATGCTTTGGCTTACCTTAAGCCCAAGCAACATGACCAAAAGTAAGGCATTATGGGAATTGTAGTCCAAGATAGCTGAAGACTGCCATGCCACCTATCTCTGTCTTAAGTTACGGATCATAGCTTTAAGTGGCTACAGGTATTTAAGTGGGTATTAATAGAAGATATGTCAACTGCCACGTTGCAGCTAATGAGAGTACTATAGGTCTGAGTTAAACTCTCTCGAGTTAGGATGCCTAATTATTTTTTTTCCAATAGGGTTAAAGCACAGGGAATTATTTGGCTAGATTGTGCTGTATATTTTGCCATGCTTGTCTTAAGTTGCCTGTTAAAATATGCAACATGATCATGTTCAGTTCCCCGTTCCCTTTCGAATAACTTAAAACCCCACATTGCAAAAACAGGAGCAAATTAAAAGACTACATTTTACTCTTTCCCCTGTTTAAGTTCAGCTCAGAATGAGACAAATGCATCTGGATTTTTGAGTTTCAAGAGTCTAATAATACGATCTAATATATATACGTAGTGATCATATAGATACCTACTTAGAACCAAGTGCTGTTAAGATCCAGTGATGTGAATTAGGCAGGCAACTGGTTTCCTCTACCAGAGGACTGGGAAACCTTTAGCCATCCAGTTGCTGGACTCTACTTCCCCTTAGCTCCAGTTAGGTAAGTGTGATGATAGGAAATGCATTTCACTTGAGCTCAACTGACTTCCAGTGTTGAAGTGCAGAGCCCAACATTTGCACAAATTTCTTGAGATGTTGATAGATATAATGGACTTGCTCATAATACTGTGGGGAAGAAGGTAGGGGAAAGAGAAGGAAATATGTAAGCCGATTTGCACAAGTTTTAGGGAGCTGAAAAATGATAACTGAAATAAGTAATTAAAAATGTGTCTGTTGAATGTGTGCAAACCCCGCAACTGGCCCTAGTGGAAAACCATAATGCCCGTGCTGAATCGGGCAAATGTGGCAATGGCAAGTTCTATGCAAAAATGTCTTGGTGTACAGTTTGCGCAAATTTCGTGATTTTTAAAGCCAACTTGTGCAAAGTACAGCCTGTTTGAGAAGCAGAACCCCACACGCTGGTTCAACTCTTGTCTAATTGAGTCAGTGCCAATGTGGGGAAGACAAGAGAATCCAAAGAGCCAGGTTGGGAAAACCCATTTGATTTGAACCCCCCCAACATATTTCCTGTGCATCCCTAGCCCCAGCCAGCAGTCCAACAACACGAGGAGGGCCACCATCCCTGACGCCTGCATCACCACTGCATCTGTTTTCTGTTTTCTTAAATGCGCATCAGAACTTCATTGTTGATATTTTGCTGCTAAACATCTAGGACTGTCAACAGCCTTGGGGTTTTGACTGGTGCTCAGCTGTTCTCCCTCAACAAAGATGAACTGAAGTCTGTATGCCCCGAAGGGGCTCGCGTATACAGCCAAATTACTGTTCAGAAAGCGGCATTGGAGGTATGTGTGCACTGAATTACTCTTACCCTGAATACGCTAACTTGCTGTTGAAAGTGTGTTGTCCAAACCCTGAACTGAAGGAGGGGCACAGCTTGCTTGCTTTGTATGCGAAGACCCCCAAATACAATCCTTGGCAACTTCAGGTAGGGCTGTAAAAATTCTTGCCTGTATCTCTGGAGAATTCCTGCCAGTTGGTGTTGACAATACAGGCTTGGATGGACCCATGTGACTCACTTTCTCTGGTCTGAATGGGGTTGCCATGTTTTGTGCAAAAAATGCAATCTGCAAAGTACGTGCTTGATGAGTTTCAGTGAAACTCCAGTTCTTGCCTATAACTACACAATGATGTGGTGTGTTTGCGAATCTGGGAATCTGACTTCACTGGATGCATTCAGGTGTCATGCTAAAGTATAGCTGAGTGCAGGAATAGGCAACCCGGTGCTCCCCAGATGGTTTGAACTATAACTCCCATCTGCCCAGGTGGCATAACCAGTGGTCAGAGTTCTGGGGTCTGTAGTCTAAAATGTTAGAAGGACAGACCCCAGAACTCTGACCACTGGATGCCATTTTGTGTGTTGTCCAAACCCTGAACGATGGTTGCTGGACACAAGTCAGCTTCGCAAAGGAGGGTGCAGGCTCGTGGGAGAAAGAACTCATTCCTGTTGCTCTGACCTGTGGCCCAGAGTTAGTCTGAACTGGCTGGTGGTCCTCCAGCATCATGGCTTCTCCTGTGGCTGATTTTGGGCTGTGGGAGTTGAGGACCTGCTGTTGACTCCATCAGCAGCTATTTCCTTTACCTCAAGAAACATTCAGATGAGCTTTTGGGCTTTCCACTAGTGCCAATGGAGCAAAGTTCAGGGAACAAGGATTCAAGGTGGATGCCAGGAAGTACTTCCTGGCGGTTAAGACCCCGAGGGTGTGGAATGGGCTTCCACGAGAGGTTGTAGAAGGCAGTGGAAGCCCGTTTCCCACTTTGGACACCAAGTGGCAAATGTGGATTAATAAAGCAGCAAGCAGGACGGAGGGGCTTGTGGATGTGGTGGGGGAGAGCTCGATTTTTAGTTCTTGCTCCTGCCCCAGGAAACCCTAAGTGGATGGATGGAGAATGTTATGAAGAATGTGAAGAAAGTAAAGGCCCAGAGAAGTTGGCTGAGCCTCTGTCTGTCTCTCAGTCTCTTTCTTTCTCTTTCTCTGTCAGTCTGTCTGTCTCTCTGCCTGTCTCTCTGCCTATCTGTCTTTCTGTCCCTGTCTGTCTGTGTCTGTCTGTCTGTCTGTCTCTCTCTCTCTCTCTCTCTCTCTGTCTTTCTCTCTGTCTCTGTCTGTCTGTCTGTCTGTCTGTCTGTCTCTATCCCTGTCTCTCTCTCTCTCTGTGCTGGACATGCACATGGTGGGCATGTCGTGAGCGGAGCCGGCTGGTGCCGGAGGTCAAACTAGATGGCCCGGGAGGCCCCTTTTGACTCGCTCCACTTCTATGTTTCTATGAGTGCGAAAAAGAAAAGGCTTAAGAGCTCACGGCTCTTTCTGAGAGTGGCATGCAGCACATTTCAAGGGATGGATTGTGCCAGGATATAAGCACGGTTCGTTTGAGACTGTATTTGGCCGGCCTCGACGTGCTGCGCTTGTCATTCTTCCAGTCCATGTCTCTCTTCTTCCTCTGGAATCTGTTCCTTTGCCACTCTATATCTTTCCCCATGAAAATGTCCTTTCATCCATCCTGAAGATCAGAGCTATCCAATGCGTTAGCACAATTCCAATACTGAAACGTGCAGAAACCAGACTAGATTCTAGTTCCATAACGAGGAAAGAAGTACAATGGTGAATCCTCATCAGTGCAGCTTATTGGGTAATGCTCGTTAATCAGATTATACCAGAACAAATCATACCTAATTCTATGGTCAAATATAGACTGGTTTTCCTTCCCCACAATGAACCTGGATTTCATGTGACTTTTAAGTAGGACTTTAAGATTCATGGAGTGTTAAAACAAAAGTGGACACAAAACTCCTGGGATGTTTTTGGTGAAAAAGTGCTCTGCAGTTCAGGAAAGTTTGGTTTTGAAGTCATGTGGCACTATAGAGCAGGGATGGGGAATTCTTTGGCCTGGATCCCAAGCTGACCCCCCTCTGGAGACTAGATGACCTCAGGGATCAGGCATATAAAGCCCTGCCTTGAACCTCACCTGCTTCATTGCTGCAAGGAAAGAGAAAATGAATGGAAGGATCAGCGACAAGGGTAGACCATCCTTGTTCAGGACTGGGGAGGTTGCTCTGCTAAGCACCGAGCATTTGGCAGGAGAGACGCTGGCAGGCTAAACAGAGGAACCTATCCCTGGTCTCCCATCAAGGCCAAGTTCCTGTGTTTACAGGCTCCCTCTGTATCAGCCAGAAATGGAAGGAACGGGTCTTGAACCTGGCTTGGAAGGAGGGCTGCAGCCTCCCAACATGTGAATGCTCAATTGTGCCTTCATACTGAGTACCTTGCCGTTCATATTGTCTGGCGGCAGGTCCTTAAGACGGGGGGGGGGGGGGGTTGGACTCTTGACGGATGGCCCAAATCTCCCAGGTCCCCAAGGTTTCCACACCCCATTTGCCCAGGAGCTCAGCCGCAAGCTCAGCAGAACTGCACCGTGCTCTTACTGCTCTCCCACACCGAAGCAAGCAACCAAGTGTGTTGCACACCGAGCGTGACAAAATATAGCCAGGGTGCTTCCTAAGGACACCTGGAGTAGTGGGATATTAATTTTTTAGAAGCTGTTGCATTAGGATTCTTGAGGGATAGAATCACCTCCAGCGCTGGCCCAGAAAAGCCTGCAGGTGCGAAAGGGAGCTGGCGTGCATCTCTCCCCAACCCAACCCTCGTCCTGTTTCCACAGGCTACCAGTGGAAGTTCAGAACTGCAGGAGATCATGAGACGGCGACAGGAGAAACTCAGCGCGGCCGCCACGGACTCGGGAGTGGAGTCCTTTGACGAGAGCAGTAGTCATTGAAACTCCTTTCAGTTATTATTATTTTTTTTGTTATTGTTTAATACTAAAGAGGGAGTGAGCAATCCTGCTGGCCTTGGCATTGTTCCATCTTGCTTTGTTCTAGGAAGCTGTAACGGGGGAGATGTCTGCTGAATAACGACTATTTATGTAGATACGACATGATGCCATAAGGAAAGCATGCAATGGGGAGGTAAGGAGGGGGGAGCAATTTCCGTTCCCCCCCTCCCTTGATTTAAATGTATATTTAAGTGAAAATTCTCCTGTGGGGGTCCTTCACCAGCCTGTCCAGGGCTGGTTTCTTGAAAACCAATCATTTCATGCTTTTCTTCTTTGTATTTTTAGTGGGCAGGCAAAATCCCATTACTGTTTTGAGTCATTCGTAGACGCTGAGCCAACCAAGAAAATGTGTTGAAATCCTTGGTCCGGTGTCAGCCCAAAGGGCCCTGATCCAGCCAGGGACTTTAGTGTTCCATCGACTACAGTGGGAAAGTTAAGCACATGCTCCTCTCTGCCATTCAAGTCAGTGAGATGTCGAAGGACTTGAGACTTCACTGTAGCAAGACCCTTTTTCCCACTAACATGGCCGCCTTGTCTTTAGATTCCATGTTTGAGCACCAGGTTGCCCAATGGATCCAAAAGTTCCTGAACACCAATGGCCAGAGGCTAGGTGTTTTTGATCTCAGTTGCAGCCCTTTTCTTGCCATCCTGATAGTATCAGGATGGGCTCCTAATGGAAGTGGAGAGAACAAAGTAATTTATTCTGGATTTCAGTTTTGTTGCTGTTCTAGCGGGAATAAGCACAAATAAATAAAGACTCCAATGAAGGAAACAATAGCACAAATGTCGATTTTTTAAAAAATGGGGGAAATGGGACCTTCTTTCAGAATCCATGCGTTTATTCACAGTATTATTCTTAAAGAGTATTGCATTTAAGAATGCAAAGGGAAGGTAATGTCAAAAGGGAAGGAAACGTTGGTTTTGCAGTAGCAAACATGGAAAGTGTTTCTAATGTTTAAAAGAAAATTTAAAAGAATGAAATTATCATTTCCGACGTAAATATTTTAAAATAAGGTCACTATAAGTATAGAAAAATACTAAAATCAATGTTGTGGGATCTTGGAGCCCCAAGGACTTTTAAAAAAACTCTCCATACAAAGCATTCTGTTCTGTCACTTGTATATAAAGGGCATCAAAAATCATGTCATTTAGAAGAAATTAATCATCTAGTTTTATTAATTTTCATGGTGCCTTTTTCACATGATTCAGCTGAAAGTCTGAAATAAACAATATTTGACGTATGTTGAATGGTTTGCATTATCTGTCGCAGTGACGGGGGCTGATGCAAAAGTGGATAGGTTTTTCTTATGCATCCGGAGAACGGATTCAAGCAATCGTAAAAGCCAGGTGGTACAGTCCCAGCATAGCCATACCAGTTCAGGGACAGATGCATGTTCGGATGGGGCACCTACCCGTTGGAAAGCCTTCCTGCTCCACATTGATCCTCCCCGGCATCTGGGAAAAGCGTCGTTCTCCAGCCCAGTGCGCCTGTTTTCCAGCCAACAGGGGGCTTTGGAAACCAAGCGCCTAGAAGTGCTCTTCCTCAACACCCCAGACCTTACCGTCCACGGCAGGACTAAACAGTGATCTCTTCAGAACAGCCCCTTGGGGGAAGAATGCTCAGACTCCATTATGAGAGGCTTCCAAGTGTCAAGAAGCGACTGCAAAGCAGGGTATCTGCCAGCGGGGGGATCCCCATGTATTGTCATTATGCGGAGGGCCAGGAAGGATCCCCGGCATTGATGGTGAGGTCAGGCTGCATTCAGCACCCCAAGAACCCAGGAGCAGCCCTGCTGGATCCGGCCGGCGCCCATCTCATCCCTCATTCTGTTTGCACAGTTACAAGCCAGCCGCACACACGATCCCACAGGTAGAGCACGAGTGCCGCAGCGCCTTCCCGCCTCGCTTCCCCAGCAACGGGTGTACGCAGAGGTCCTGGCCTTGCTCTTGGAGGCAGCATAGGGCTGACAGGACGGGGCAAATTCTCTAGCCCATTTTGCGCTGTGGGAAGAGGTACTCGCTTCTATCTGCTTGCTGCTCCTGGGGGTACAGCTCCCATGCGTCTTGGCCACTGGCAGTGCTGGCTGGGGTAGATGGGAGTTGCATTCTGAAACAGCTGAAGACGGGGAGTTCTGGGCTGGGCTGACTTCTGGAGGAAATCGGCTGCCTGGGGACAGCAGGGTGAGAAGAGGCTGCCTACGGATCTCAACGCACAGGGCCTGCAATGTAGCTCAGTATGGTGGCCCCACGTCAGTTTTTGGAGCCACTTCGTGGCCCCAGCCAGGAGGACAGTAGCCCAGTTGTGGTGAACTATGTTGTCCCATGCCTGAAGTTTCTTGTGCCATGTTGGAATTTGTAGGGACGTTGGTTTTCAGCCAAAGGACCCCAATTTAACGACAGGTTCAAATCACCATCATCCGAGCTACAGCCGTATCAGTTGCCAGCTTCGTGCCAGGTGAAAAGTCATTCAGAAAACCAAAAGCACCTTGGCAGAAAGGATGCATTACTGTCTCTTGGGAAAGGAAGTGAGAAGAAGCACAGCCCAGACCCGCTTCACGTGAGAGCGGCTTTTGGAGCCGAGTGCTCCCCACCCCTACCAGCCGAGGCTCAGACGATGGTGGGAAGAAAGCACACTGTCTGCAAAGATCACTGCAAGCTGGTAGAACCGTGTGGGGCTGACCATCCCTCACTTGACAGGGCCTCGCAGGCATCCGGCTGAAGGAGAGGACTCACTCCCGAGGTGGCCCAACCGCTGTTCCTGGGGGTGGGGGGGGGGAGCACTGAACCGAGTGCCTTCAGGAGACTTGTGAGAGCAGCCCTGCAGGGTCGGGCCAGTGGTCCATCCAGTTCAGCACTCTGTCCGCAGGCTGGCGAGCCAAGTCTGCAGGATCACTCAAGCGGGATGGGTGCAAGGAGTTCCACCTGGCTGGACTCCTCAGTAAGTGGAGTATGCAGGTATGCTGCCTCTGGTAATGGAGGCAGCACACAGCCAACACGGCTTCCAGCCATTGATAGCCTTCTCCTCCATGAATTTGTAGAAGTAGCAGTGTTTCCCCTCTCCACAGCATCCTCCCTCCCTCCCTCCCTCCCTCTCTCTCTCTCTCTCACACACACATACACCCCGTACTTTCCGTTGTCACACCTTACAGTTTTTGCACCTTAGTTTTTAAAAGGTGCAACCCCCATGGATGCATGCGCACACCCAGTTCTTCAGAAAAGAACAATAATTTTTATAAAGTGTTTGAGCTACTTTTGGCAGTTCTAGTGAGTTGGATTTGTCTCCCTTTCTCTGTGTCCAGAAATAGTTGTGGGGGTGGGGAGGTGCCAGACAGGGGCCCACTGTCTGCACCCCTGCCTGTGTGTTTCACTTTCTCCCCACCCTGCAAGCTGATTTCCAGCATTCTCTCTCAGCACACTGAGTGCAACAAAGAACGAAACTGTTAAGTATCTGCTGCTTTAGAAAGGTACCAGTTTTTCCTTTGCGTTGCTTCATGCGAGGCTTTGCCGATGGTTGGACAATGACGAAACAAAAAACGAGAAGCAAACAGCCATTTTGCTTTGATCAGTGTTATTTTTGCCATTCATGTTCACACAGCTCTGGCCCCAAGTTCAGATTCTAAACTCTACAACCTCAAATAAGCTAAGCCTAACACAGATATATTTTAATACACATTGCTGCAAAACTCAGAACAGTTCCAACAGAATGAAATCGACGCATTGGGTAGGGTTCCCTCCACCATCCTTCCATGGATTGCAAAGCAACACAACATTGGAAAACCCATTTACTACCCCAAACCATTGCCCTGATGAAGCTATGCGTTTGGTCTCTAGAACAGAAGGATATTTGGTTTCAGTGAACAAGTTTGGCGCCTTGAGGAAAGACGTGTAAGAATCTGAATCAGACTTTCACTCGATCTGATTTCTGCTGTCAGTTCAGGCATGCGGCTGTTTCTCTCAGATGGTCAAGTATCTTTTGTTCGATCATCAATTCATTCCTTTCTTTTACCACAATGCTGTTCTATTCTTGCTAATCTGCCTTTGCATTAATGCAGAGTTGTGCAAATCCACATTAGTTACTGCACATCAACCAGCACATTTGTGAGGTGGGCAAGGGCACATGAGCACTGATGCGCATTAGTGCTGATGGAATTAGCACAAAGCTCTCCAAAAGTGAAAAAGCCAGTCCATTTGTCTTGGGGGTGGTGCAGGAGGGAGTTCCCTGTGGAATCCACAGATCAGAATCACCGAAGTTTGAACTCATTGGAGTCCATTGAAAATTTCTGCAACATGCAGCCCATGAATTCTTAATACTTCTGAGCATGTATGGAGCCTCCGCCCAAAACACCAGCTGCTTCTGAGCTTCAAAGAAAGAACATCAAGCTCAGATGATGGGAGTTGTCAACAATTTTGCACCGCATCACTGCTTAGCAGAAAATTAAACATAATTCAACCTATGGGTTTTATCCAAAGTTAGTCCTACTCAGAGCAATGCCATTAAAATTAATGGAATGTAAGTCAGTCATATCTAATTTGTCTTGTTCATTCCATTTCATCTAAGTACAACTAACATTAGATAGCTGCACATGTATGAGAGAGATGAAATGCAGATATGCTTTCCTGTTTTGGAAAAACCTCTGATGGCAGCAAGAGTGATTAAAACCTTGACCTAAGGATGATGCAGGTGATCTGTTTTCAGACTGGATTCCGGCACACTGTTTGCCTTAATTTGCAGGTGCTTGCCCAGACAGCTAGGTCTGCAGCCAAGGGGTGGGATGATGTGAAGGACCATGCTACCTGATAAGGTGCAGGCCATTCTGTGCTCTTGGGGCATGGTTGAAGTGTTGTTCTCATGTCCAATGAGAACCTGTTGCCTTAGTTGTCCTAAGTCGATTTGTGTGCAGAATCCAAACTATGACTGTCACAGCTTGCAAAAAGCCCAGCCTGTGCTCCTTCTCACTCTCTCTCTGGGGGAAGGGGCGTTCAGTCTGGCTTGCATTTTATTTTGTTCCCTTGATAACTGAAAAGGAAACTTCCAAAGTGAAGCCAGTGTTTGCCTTGTGGGAAATCTGTTCATAGTTTGAACAGCCACACTGTACAATCTCACTTTTTCAGAGGTATGCTAGAGGCATGCTGGTTGGAAGAGTTGTCACACAACCTCACAAAGGGTTGTTTGTTGGTTTTGCCCAGCTGGGTGGGACAGAGTCATTCTACCAGCAAAACTGAAATGCTCAGCCAGCTGCAGTCCTGCTCACAATTCATTTTCATTCCATGGGATTTTTTTTCATAGGATTTCTCTCAGTGCAACTAACCAAATATAACCCTATCATTCTAGTGCAACTGCAGCAGTGCTAATGAAAGATATTTATGCATGTCTAGTTGTGCCAAAGTGGGGATGCATCTTGAATACACTTATTTTGAAAGGGATGCCATAAAGATGAGCACCATCCTGTTCACACCCGTGTTTTCTAATAAGGCTGTGGAGAGCCATTTGCACAAACAGCTGACCTTAGTGGGATCTGTTCAAAGGACACGGGAGTTGCAAGTCCTTGGAGGCCAGCCCAGAGGTCTGGCCTCTGGTGGTCTTGCGACATTTGGAATTCTGACCTTGGGAGTTCCTGCAAGCCAAGGAGAAAAACCTGGTCAGACGTCTCCAAAAGTTGCAGACACACATGAGCTCAGCTAGGCATGGCTCACGAGAACGATGCAGACTGCGTGAGTGGGTGGTGTTAGAGCAGTCAGGCATGTGGGTTTGACACAGTCTTCAAGGGTGCTTCCAAGACAAACACTCTACATTTGGCCCTTTGCTGTGAGTCATAGATCGAATTAAGGCTGGAGATGTTTTGAAGATGTCTTGCTTTCTCCAGTGGCTGCCTCAGCCTCTTCACACTGAGAATCTCAGGTCTGCAGTAATTCTGAATGGTGATGGCTCTTTTCATACATTCAGTTAACATAATCTTGATCGACCGGATTTGCACCCTACCTTTCTATCAAGAAAAGTGGCATCCCAGGCTGCCTACAATTATAAATAAGACTTGATGAAAACAACAGAAAGGAATGCCTCAGAACACAATTAAAAACATGCAGCCAATGGTGGGGTATGAAGGGAGTTGTAGGCCAAGACATCTGGGGAAGGGTTTGGTCCAGAGGATTTCCGTGTGTGTGAAGGTGCTGTGGCAGGAACTCCACTTGATCAACATGGAATGGTTCTTGCACGGGCTTGCTGCCCAGTCCTACTGGCACAGCTTGTGCACAAGGAGAGGAGCAACATCAGTGGTATCCCATGCACATCCTTCCTGGACAGGCTGCAACTTCAAGCACCAAGATATCCTAAAAATGATGTGTGTCAGGAAGGCTTGAAGGACAGAGACTAAAAACAAAAATGGTGTGTGTCATGCCAATCAGTTTTGGCACAAGTATCGTATGGAGAGAGAGGCTTTGAAATGCTTCCACCATGTTGCTGGGGTTACTGGAGATGGTGTAACGTGGTGGCCTGCAACAGCAGGGGCTTGGACCCGATGGCCTTCATGGCCCCTTCCGGCTCTGCTATTCTGGGATTCTACCTGCATGGCATGACCTGTGTGTCCACTTCTGCGACCCATGCTGAGGGCCAGTTTAAGTGGGACACCTCTTGTGGCGACTGACCCAGTAAGCTCGCTCTCACACACACCCCCCCTTGCTCATATGCTTCTAAAAAGTCTTACGCCATGTGCCAATGTATAAATGAGCAGCATGGGATTCCCAGCTCAGTGGCCAAATAGGCAATTCAGTGCTGGGATGTGGGTGTGATGTGTCTATTGGAGCATGTCGTAAAGACCCTTTCAGAAGTGGTGGTCACTGCATGGAGGTAGCTGTGGCCCCTTCTAGTGATGCACTGAGAGTTCCTGCAAGGAGTTGAGAAGGGGCAGCCCCTCAACAGCTCCATATCCTGGGAAGTGATGTGGAGAACAGAGGAATTTCATGGCCAGGCCTCCCAACCAAGTTCAACCATCTGCCCCCCAAACTAGTCTCCTGACTATTCTCCATTCTCAAGTGCCCTTTCAGCCTTTAACTGGAATCCTGGGCCTTGGCTGTAATCAAAAGACATCAGCAACCCCAAGATGCTGCCTCCCTGATGTGTTGGACTACACCTCCTAGCATCCACTAGCCAGCCTTAGGAAGGCACAAGGTTGGGGACAGCTGATCAACATTCTCAACCTGAGATGCCCTGCTTGCTCCCATCAGCTCTCTTCAAAATGCAACTAGGTAACCTCAGGGCTTCTCTTTCACTGCATGTAAGAGGCAGCCTAGAATCTCCTGAGTCTTCCTAGCTTGAACAGCCTTGTCTGCAAAAGGCTTCTGTTAATTGCGCAATTCCAGTCCCATCCCACCCACCGTCTAAGCAGCTCTGGCTGTACATGCAGTCAGGGCTAGACCAAGACATTTTGCTGCCTGAAACAGAAAAAATGGTGCTTCCTCCTATTCCATATCCAGAAGTTGACCAGACTGGCAGATGAATCTGCTTTCAACACCAGTGACGGGACCGCGTCCTCCACAGCAGCTGAAGTCAGCAAGCCAACTCTGAGGATGCAGAGCAAGCTGCAAGGTCCACAGCTGAGAATTCTCCAGCCTCTTGCTCTCACCTGCCAGCATCACTGGCCTGGTGAGTCTGCTTCATTCTCTCTAACCGCACGGTTAGTCTCACTTGCTCCTTTGACCCTTCCCCACCACCCCATGACCTCAGTAACACTGAGATGTCGTGACTGGCCCGGGAATCTTCGATGGCCAAGATCACTCCAGGCTTAGTTCAGCCCTCTAACCACTGCCATACTCTGTCGTGCTCACAGAAGCAGGAAGTGCCTTGTTTTCGCCACGCTGACCATAGATTGAACATGCCGACTTTCCTCTTCCCGTGTTTCCTGTTGCTTTGTGTATATCAAGTGCTGCTTCCTTTGGGAGTTTTCAGTGCAGTGGAAGTCAAATTAAAGGGCAGAAAAAGGTGGACATTAAAAATGCCAGTAATGCCAGCGCTGACTATATCTGTGTCACAGCATGACAACACGCATAAAACAAAACAAGATGAGGCAAAGGAAAAACAGCAAGTTATGCTAACCGTTCCAAGAGAAATACCCTGCAGTAAAAGAAGACTGACACTTGGGTCCCATTGCTGGAGAATGAAGTCATTTCGATGCTCTTAACATGCCCAAAGAAACCCTCAGTTCTGCAGCTTGCATTTCCCAGCTTGTCAAAGCCATGAATTTGCATCTGCCACTGCCCCAGATACCCCTTGTCCCCCACAACATGGACAAAGCTTCCTTTTGTTTGCTTTTTAAACACAGTGTAAATGCACAGGAATGTATAAAACAAGCAACTGGAAGCAGTATTGGCAGCAAAGACGGACTCGGACAACTCCGCAGGTACGGCGATGCTGCTGCTCTTCCCAAGCGATTGTCCACAGATGGCACATGCCGTGTCCATTCGTAGTTGTGCTCCATATCCAGGTACATGGGGTGCTTTTGCTTCCTGGCAAAGGCTGGTTAAACAGACAAAAGGGCATTTTTGCCCTGAAACTTGAATGTCCTAAACTACCTTAACCTCTGAAATTTCAGCATGAATCTCTGAGCCAATCAACCATTGACCTCAAATGCTGGACTTGAGGTTGAAGCCTAAGAATCCTCCAACTTTTAGCTTGGTCAGTCCATTTCTGGAGAGCAAAGGCATCGCTTGAAGCTCTACATGAGAGCTTTCCCATGAGGATCAGAGGGTCAAGTCAGTGTGGCCCTTCTTTGCTCAGCCTTCCTAGGCTTCTCATGCCTTACTGCATGCTAATGACGTACCCTGCTGGTTCCTACCTTTCACAGACTTCACCAGAGGAACCTGGGAACGCTTGATAATGCTCAGACGGACCCTTGAATATTGCACTTTCTGTAACCTTTAAGTTCAAGCTGCATGCTGAAAATGAACCATTAAGGAGACTTGAAAATATAAACAAAACGATGGCAGAAAACCTTCCTGGAACACTGTACAGCTGTATGCACCATCACACCCTTCCTTTTAATGTCCCTGTGTTGAATTTGGTCCAGAGTTACTAACTTTAAATGGAAAAGAAGTCCAGAAAGTTCAAACAAGACACTGCAGGTTCCTTAAGGCTATGTCTCCCCAGAGCTTCTGGATGTAAAGTATCGTCTTTTTCATGTGTCCACGTACTGCAAAACAGCTGCTGTCCATGGCAAACCAACAAGGGGTTAACAAAACAAAAAGACAAGGGAAGAGAGAGAGACAGAGGCAGAGAATTAAAAGCTGAAGCAAGAGAAGATGAACGCATTTCATTTTTCCTAACCTGCAAAGCAGAAAGCAAAGCAAAGCAAAGCTGTCATTATTAAACAGGGTAGTCAGATAAGGAAATAGTTTTGAGTGGATTCCTTTACAATTTCACTGATTCGCTTGGAAAATAAATAGGAGTGTGGCCAAAGCAATGGGACAGGGGCCTTTTTAAAGATGCTGTTGAAACCATACAGGTGCAATCCAGTGCTCTCAGTTGCACATCCGAGTCTCCTGACTTGGAGGTTCGTGCACAAGAGACCTTGGTCAACCTGGCCCTTCGCATTGTGATTGTCATCTTGCTCGGGAGGGGGAGGGAAGGAGGCTGAGGAGCTGATAGGAAGCTGCAAAAGCAGCTGCCCTCCTCCAGCCTTCTCTCCTCCTTCATTGCATTCCTTTTAATAAACAAATGCTAAGTCCTTTCTGAAAATGAAAAGCTATCATAGCTTTTCTGTTCCTTATAGCAGTAACATTCCATGCCCAAAACATCCCTCAAATGGTGAAGGTGTCTCTAACTTGCAATTCTGCTTACGCAAATTGGCCTCCACTGACAGACTAATGAGAGTAACAATTACGAGATATGCATACAATAGGGACAGTTAGCATTTGAAAACTCATCTTGCTCTTGTGTGCATTCCAGGCTTACAAGGACTTGGAATGGAGACCACAAGCTGTTTGGACCAATGTTTCCCCTGTCTCACTGTCAGAAAGAGAGACCATTCCAATGTATGTCCAGCAAACCATAACCAGCATGCAAGGGCCTCTGAGCATGCACAGAGCAGTTTGCTTGAACCCAAACTAGAAGCTATTTTCAAGAACCCGCCATTTGAGCAGCCCTGGGCCCCACCCTTCTGGGGGGGGGCCCTTCTGGAAGTGGGCAGGACCCCTGGCTCCCCACAGGCCCTCCAGTTGGCCAGCCCTCCTGTCCGAGAGCCACGCCATTACAAGGCTTGGCCTAGAGGGCCATCTTAACCTGGCCAAAGGATGACAAGGTTGGCACCAGCCAGGCTTCAGTGGGGTCACCACTGGGGAAGTGTCACCTCCGTATATGAGGGAGTTAGCAGTAGTCTTGGAGGGCCCCAAGGTTTGCAAAAGCACAATCAATGCCTTGTTGTTTCAAAGGTATCCAAAAGACAGCTCAGTGAGGACACAATATGGACATGCAATGCGGGAGAAAAAACTTTCCAAAAACCCCTGTAAATAATCGATTGGAATGGAGTGGCTGGAACCATCCCATCATTTTCCTGCTGGCCCCACGTCTATTAGGTCTATATGGATTGCAGCATTGATGTTTGTGCATTGATTGCTTTTGTTTTTATTGCCAGCCACTTTGGTTTCATGCTAGAAAAGAAAAGTCAGAAATAAATATGAAATGCAATTAACTAGAGAGCCCACAGTTCACAACAATGAACTGGACACTAGGAAAAATTCAGTGACTGGCTTTTCTCAACTCAAAAAGCAATGGTGGCTTGTTACTGTCGACCATCGTCTTCCAGAGCTGCAGACTGAGCATTGTGGCTCACCATGGCTGGGAACCACAGCGAGAACACTGATCTCTTCTGGGCTTTCTTCCTGCCATGATGGCTTCCCCATCATGAGGAAAGCTCTAGCGCAAGTGAGCTGCTTGCCAAGTGTGGCTCTTGTCAAGCAGCTACCCAAACAGCACACCTGACAGCTGCCCCAGTTTGGAGCGATTGCCGGAGGCGTCCCTCCCACGGCCTGCTCTCCCCAGCCTGTGCAAGTGAGCACACAGGGGGGAGTCAGGAGAAGAGGCTGTCCGGCCACACCGTGGCCGTTGTGAGCTCGGCCCTTCCCTCCTTCCTCTTAGGGTCCAAACATCAGATGGTCTCTTTGTAATGCACATCTTTATTGGCACTTCGCAGTTACCAGACAAAGTAACTCTAAAAACCCTCTAGTAGCTGAAAGGTAACCCTCAGCTCAATACCTTCAAAGAGTGTTGAACCCAACTGGGAACGTCTCCCCAAAATCCTTCCCTTTCAGGAGCACACTGCGTTCCCCCACTCTCGTTGGTGAATGACCAGCCAGGGAGGCCTGCACAGATGCTCTAACTGGGCTGCCCATCCCTCCCAGCGCTTTGTCAAGGAGTCAGGGACGAGGCAATGCAACAGGTCTCCTGCCTCCCCTTCCTGGACCCTCCCGTCTCCTCCAACACATCTCTGCTCTCCTGGGTGGCCTGGGAACCTGTGGACAGTGGCCTTGAGGGTGCTCCAAAGGTCTCTGCCTCCCCCTGGGTTCCCAAAACTCCCACCGCCGAGTCTTCAAGGTCTTCTTCAGAATCTAAGTCTGAAGGATGATGCTGGGATGCCCATCGAGAGTGGCAGTCTAGCTGGCTCACCACATCGGCCACATCCCCGGCCTGCTCTTGGGCAGGAGCAGAGAGCTGGCAGCCAGGGAGCTGACGCTTCCCACCCCTTTGGGTCTGAGGGGCGCACACGTAGGGCCAAGCAGGGGGCAGCGGGTCCCTGGATTTCACTGTGTGGGTCAGCCCTTCTCTTGGAGTAGCCTTGATGAGGGGGCTGCCAACTCCCGACACAGGCTCATGGCGGGGGCAACCAGCTGGAAAGCCCCCTTAGAACCATGTAGAGAGACAGCCCGTCACTTGCTCACTGCAAGCTGTTCAGACAGTTTTGTCTGAAGGCTGGGAAGGGCGAGCGCTTTCAAGTTTCTCAGGCCGAGTGTGAAAATCGGCTTGCTTTGGAAGGGTGGAAGGGTGTTCAGGAGGGGAGAGCGAGCAGATGGGAGACACCGTCCCAACGGCAGAGTTAGAGGGCCTTTGCTATTCCTGGGGGTGGCGTCAGAGGCCTTCCTGAAAGCAAGAAATGCTGGCTCCCAGCCCGTGTGAGTGCCTTACCCCCCCCCCCCCCCGGCTGGAACGGGGAGCTGCTGTCCCAGGATACTGAGCGCGGAGGAGCCAAGGGGACGGGACAACGCGACAGTGATGACCCTCACCAATGTGCTCATCAGCGGTGCCTGGCTCTGAATGGGAACCCCTCATGGTGATTCACCACGCCGTGTGGCTGCCATGTGTAAACGTGCCCGTGCGGCAAGAGCCTGAGGCCGTGAAATCTTCAGGTTGCTTTTCACGCCCAGCGCAACACCGCTGAAGTCAGGACAGGCTCGAGACACCAGGGGCCTCCCCAGTCACGGCTCCCGCCAGGGCGGGGATGAGCCCTTCGGAACCGTCCCCCCGGAACCCACAACCTTCCTCTCGCGCTCCGCCTGCTCCTGCAGAGCAAGCCGGGACAAGGGGGGGGCGCAAACACAGTGGCCCCTCTGGTTGCAGAACTCCTTCGCAGCAGCCCAACCTCTTCCCCGCTTGCCACGGCTGGCCCGGTTCCTGCCAAGCCCCACGGCCCCTTGGTGCAGGGACCTGGGCCCTGGGCTGCTGCAAAGCCGACCTCAGTCCAGGAAGCCAGAGCAAGGGACCCGGCAGATTTTCTGCCGAAGACGGACTCCTCACTCCTCCCCTGCACCCACTCTCTGGAACGTACCCATTGCCATGATCGGTGGGGTGCGAAGCAGCCATGGGGGCAGCTTCTAATTGCCTCTTGAAAACACGCCTGTTTTCACAGTCTTACTCCGATGTGTTACCACCCTATTTAATTGCTAAGATAGTGTAATGTTTTTCGAGTGTGATTTTATGATGGTGCTCAGAGCCTCCACATTCCGAGGACTATGAGCATCGCTATGTGGGGTGGGAGGAGGGCAGAGGCAAAGGCCCTGCCCCACAAAGCGGCCAGTTCCAGCTGATTGCAGGCTCCCTCTTTGCAAGCACACGTGGGCTTCCTCCAGCCAGGTAAGCCTCTGTGAGCTCAGTCCTCCTGCTGCCTCCCAGCTGGCCTCGTGCATCTGCCTACAGGCACATCACAACAAGCAGAAGTCTCCACATTAATATTTATGTCAGCAGCTGCTCCTGTGTGCGTCGATATAGTGAATTCCAGCGCGGCTGCCAAGGAAGGCTTCCCCAAACTTACCGCCTGTGACTTGGCATTATGACTTGCTGACATTCTCGTATATGACATCACTGATGCAGAACTGCTGCTTCTTCTTTAGCCACATTAATTGCACACACTGGTGAATAAAAATGAATTGTTCCTGGGGAAAGAGAACAACAGGAAGTATATGATGTCCCCTGGTATCCAGTGCGTTGGGAGCGTTCATCCTCATCCCAGCTGATCCCAGCATTTGCATCTGCTTTCCTAAAGCTGTTGCAGCCAAAAAAATGAAACTCCTCAGCCTCCGTTAAATAAGACGGAAATGGGAACCATTTTTTTCTGATTGTGTGGATATGTTTTTTTCTGTGAACCATTCTTCCATTAGTTATTAAAGGCGCGATCCTGTGGCCTCCCAGTGCTGTCTGGGAGGCCATAGGATTCTTTGGAGTTCCAGTTCCAAAGTCCTACCATCTCAGGACCAGGACTCTTGTTGCAGAGCCCAGCCCCGTCGCATCTGGCATGTGAAGGACTGGGCCAGCTGCCCCTCTGGGGTGGCAAATGGGCCTTGGAGGGGCATGCCAGGGGCAGGAAGGAGAGGGAGCTATGCCTATTCCAGTTCCAAGTTAAACAGCTTACAAGAATCTGTTGCTGGGGTGAAAGGACAGTGCCCTTACAGTCAAAAGAATAAATACTAACCATCCTTCCCATGTTATATGAAAACAATTATTTGCTTTGTTTGTTTATTGATTTATGTTAATCATGTATCTCCCACCTTTCAGCATACAAGGCCTTCCAAACCAGGCTTGCAAGTAACATCCACCATTATATATACTAATAAAAGGATGTCAGTAGCATAAGGGGTGTAATTTTTTTAAATAAATAAGTGTCTGTCCGTGCCACAATGCCATGAAACACAGACACCCAAATCTTGGCATGGATCTCCATACCTCAGAGTTATTTTAACCATCTTCTGGGAGGCTGAATGGGGACCCCTGGTGGGCTGGATCTGGCCCAATGACCTGCCCCCAGATTTAGGGCAAAGCGACCTAACTGACAGAAGCACAAGCTGAAATACTCTCCTTAGAAGATGAGCTCTGCTGTAAACTTGCTCAGCGGCCTCCGGTCAGCAGAATATAGGCATAATGCTACTGGGCCACCTTTCAGGACTGCTGAAACCATGTATGTGAACTGCTCTGAGCTTTCTCGAGTCAAACCATCGTGCTGGCTGGGGAGGATGGGAGCTGTGCAGGTAGCTGGTGGGCAACAGCCCAGGGAAGGCTGCACCATGTCATGACTGGGCTGTTCAGTCAAGATTTGCCTCGAGTTCCAAATGGAAAGTTTGGGCTAGTAGGTGATTCATCCCTTCTGCAGACGGGGGAGGTTTGAGATGAGAGCTGTATCGAAACCCAGGCACCAGACTTGTTTGGATGCCGAAGACTCCTTTGCCCTGCAAGCTTCCATCGCATTTCCAACTGCACGCAGCGTTCGCCTCCCTGCCTGATGTATTTTCCACTTCGTGAGGAAACCTGAGACCAGGTGAAGGGTGAGTGGAGCCCGGTTTCAGGTTTACTGCCGGTTACACGACATGGCTCAGAGGACTGCTTGCGTCCTGTCCCTTGGCGCGCACTGACATCTAGTGGCCAAGAAGACAAAAGGAGAATTTCCTTGGCACAACCTGCTTGTAAAAATGGTCGGAGTCAGGGAGCAGGGGGAGAGGGCCTGATTTACCCTTCACAAACCTCATTTGATTTATTATATTTATATCCCTGTTTTTGGGGTTTTTTTTTCCTTTCAAGGACCTCAAGGAAGCTTACATCATTCTCCTCCTCTTTGCAGCTGTAACTCACAACAACAACCCTGTGAGGTAGGCTGGGTGGACAGTCTGAGACTGGCTCAAAGTCACCCAGTGGCCTCCATGGCTGAGCAGGGACTGGAACCCAGACCTCCTGGGTCCCAGTCCCACACTCTTAAGCGCTACACCACACTGGCTCTCTTCAGGAAAATCACATATAATACAGCGAACCTGTATTATATGTGGAGAAACTGCTTGCAGGATGCATATCTCAGAAGCAATGTGCATGAAAATGTGTTCCGATTCATTGCAGACTTAAAACCACAACACCAACTGGCAAATGAACAGGATGAAATGAATATAATGTTGGAGAAACAGAGCATCTATTATTTCCAATCCCTCCAGTGCTAACATCTTATATTTGTAAGAGTGGCACTTGCAATTCTTTGGCTGAGATTCTGGATTGCTTTACCCGAGTTGCATTATCATTTTTAAAAAGTGGATTCAAGTGGTGGTTTCTCCTTCTCTCCAGTTCCATTCACCTTCCTCTCCTGTCCTCCCCTGCCCAGCATCTTCAGAAGCTCGCACCCGGGCAGCCTGCACACTGCATCCTGCTCCAGAGTGTGAAATACCAGCACACCTCCCAGTGCCTGATAATCCTGATCTGGTTTGCTGAAGCATTGCAAAGACCTGCTTTCTGTTGCTCTTGTGTGAACGAGGTGTGTGTGTGTGTGTGTGTGTGTGTGTGTGTGTGTGTGTGTGTGAGAGAGAGAGAGAGAGAGAGAGGGAGGGAGGGAGGGAGGGAGGGAGGGAGGGAGGGGTGGTGGGGGATGGTTGTGCTGTGCCAAAGGAGCAGGAAAACAGGCCAGATGGCACACAGCCGGGCCTTGGAAAGCAGCGAAGGAGCTGGCAGGGGCACTTTGGAGAAGAAGCGAGCGAGCGCTCTTGGGCAAACCGGAAGAACAAGGACAGCATGGACCTGGTACCCAGGCTGGTGCAGCATGTGAAACAAGGGGCTGGCCAACGGCGACCAGCGACTATTCCCAGCACCTGGTCGTTTCAGGAGGCTTATGACTCTGGGAGGGGCTGCATGCTTAGATGCCTCCCTGTGCTTTTTTTTTTCTTAATCTATACATTAAAAAAAAAGCATGCAAAGGATATGGCCAGGTTTGATCATTTCTCCTGGTGGCACAGAAATTATTCCTACAGGTAAGCATTCAGGAGTGGGATTCCCCACTGTGAAGTGGTACAGTCCAGCCATGGGCTAACCACATAGCCTGCCATTTGTGTAGATGAGGCCACAGCAGGGGAGCAGCACAGCGAGGGGATGCCAAGTCTTCCCTACCAATAAACACCCAGACAGACCCTCCCTCGGTGGGTGAAACGCTGCTACAACTTGCCCATGTCACTTCCTCATCTTTCCCAACACCACATGCAATTCCCATTAGGCAAAGAACCACCTAAGTAGCAGGACGGTTCAGAATCCGAGGACTTCCCTACATGAGCCGTTCTCGGCTTTACTTGAGGCTTCTTCCATTTTCTTTGCAGGGTCCCTACCTCCCCCGCTGGGGTGGCTGGCATTCTCTGCTTTTCTACCTATTGCATTATACAACCACAAGGTGGCGCTTTGGTATAACCTCAGGAGCATGGACTAACAAGCCTTCTATCCCAATTTGTTCTGCAATGGAAATGTAATAGCTGCCCTTCCTTGCTTTTTTAAAAAAGCCATGCTTGGAAAACATGGGAGAGACCCTGGAGGATGCAAGTGACTGCACTAACCACCTGGTATTCAGAGGGAGCCATAGGACCCTTCACAACAGTAGCTTGTAATCCATTTGGTAAGTCATTTATTTATCCCTCCAATAAACGCATCAGTGCCACCCACGCCTTCAAAGCAGAACTGAAAGCCATACCTCTGTCTGAACCATGGACATCCGGTAAGCCCTCATGTCAGACACCAGCCCCAGTATATCTACAAACTCATGATCCCGAATGTGCTGTAAAAGCCGGTCCAAGGCGATGAACGTCCCCGTCCGTCCCACGCCGGCGCTGCAAAACATGCGTAGCATTACAGATCTGCGAGGGGGGGAGTGTTCGGTTTCCATGCCGGGAACTCATATTAATTTTGCAAATATCCATCCTGATCGTGGACTATCATTGATCCTGCACGGCTCCCCTTCGACAGCTTCGTGCATTTCTGAAGTGCAGTGTGAGCTTAACAGGGGCCCACTGGCAAAACAGTGGCTGTTGCTCCAACCCGCACGTGGCTGCAAGTTTGGGAGGCTTTATGCACCATTCGAAAGGCTGGCACACGCCAGAACTGATCTGCATGTTTTTATTAACACGACCCATCAAGTGCACAGCATGTGCGTGATGAACCTTGCTGGCAAATGCCTGTCCTTAGCATTGACTGAGTATTGGAAGTGGGAGACAGTGGCTTCCAGGCACCCCTTCCAAGTTGCCAGAGACAGTTCCAGCTGAGAGCCGGACGGCCTTCCTGCTACCAAGTGGGGGAAATGGCAGTCCACTTCCACCCAGCTGCATTGCCTGCTGAGCTTTGAAATAAAGCATCTAGTCCTGCTTGCTCCCTGCTCCCTCCTAATTCCATTTCCATTTATGTAGGCTCAGAAACATTGCAAGCCCAAGGGCAGGGATTGCCTTATTCCGAGCTTTGTTAAGATGCTCTGGAAGCCTCTAGAGTGGAAAAGCTAAAATGAGGAAGAGGAAGAAGAGGATAATGATAATACTACGTAATGACACCATCTCTTTCCAGTGCAAACTTGGTGGCTGCCCTTGTTTGTACCCTAATCCTAGTTAGCACCTTGCCGATTTGGAGGAGATGGCTAGGTCTCGGCACGTGCATTCTTGTATCAGGTCGTTCTTATGTTGTGTGGATGCTGGACATGAGAATGATGCAAAGGATGGAGCTGCCCCCCGGCCCTGTTGACATGGGATGCCCTGTTGACATGGGATGCTTTCAGACCGGGCTTTTCTTATGAATTCACCTGCTTAATCCATCACATTTTATGGGGGGTCCAGACACTGTTGCCTTCCCCTTGTAACCCTGCTGTAACTTTCTCACCGCTTCTTCCATCTTTTCTCTTACTCCTGAAAAGCCATTGCAGAGTAGAAGACGGAATAGCCCGACACTGTCTTTTGACCAGCGTCTGGCTGGGAACGTCCACAGTTTAGATCCATGTGTCCCACAGGACACTTTCATAGCCTAGCGCCTCAAATCAGGGCAGACCGCCCACCTAGCTCAATGTTGTCCACTTCATAGACCTATTTATTTACTCAGACATGCATCAGGTATCCAGGCTTCCGGGCAAAGTTCTATCATAGTCCGCCGCCAGATCCTTTTTACCTGTAGATGCCAGGAAATCAACCTCTCGCCTTCTACATGCAAGGCAATAAGCCATGGCCCTGCTGTGCTTTGCTCTGCTGGCCCCCAGCAGTCACACTGGAGCAATCTCCTAGCTGCTTCACGGTGCTGAGAAAGGATCCATGAGGCTGCACAGCTGCTGAGCCAAATCTTTGCTCAACTTGCACAGTTAAACATGTTAGGTAAATATGAAAGCAGAATCTCTCTTCCTGGTCCTCTTTGCAATACACTTCATGCTGGATTGCAGCCACCAAGCATTCAATGAACAAAAGACATGATCAAGACAAACGTATCGGCCCAGGTGCCCCACGCAGTTCAGTTGCAGAGCTAAACATCTGCTTAATTCAACAAGACAAGCAAGTTCGGCTGACTCATCCTGAGATATTGTTTCTGATATGAATAGGCATCTTTCCTACTTCTTTTTTTCTACATTTGTGCACAGTCCCAAATTTCCCTATTTCCAAAAAAAGGAAGGTTCAGAAATCTATTTGAATTTTCTGTCCAGTTCCTGTGGATATCTGCAGGTAACTCACACAAATATTTAGATGTTTACATGTAAAAGAAAGTGGTGGTTGGGAATATTTCTAAATTTGAGTGCAGAAAAGTGGCACTGTGTTCATATTTCCTGTAGAATTGTACTTAGGAGTCCCGTCTTATATGGGTGGTCACCTGGTGGGAGGTGGCGAAAAGGACACAGCAGAGGTCCCAGTGCACGATGGGGAGGGCACAGGAGAAGGAGGTGTGGCAGGTGGATCTCAGAAGCGCATCGAAGGCAAAAGATGAGTGGGGCAAAAGACCGAAGACGGCAGCTCATTTTGGCAGACTGTCTCACTACCAGGAACCAAGCCAAAGAAGATGTATTTCTTTCAAAGCAGGGGAACATAGTACCAAAACCAGGGAACTGCCAAATGATGAGTGATTGAGGAAGCAGGGTTGGCCCTCTGGGATTGGGGCCCCAGGAGGGCTGGGCTTGGTCCCCAGACTGAAGAATTTATTTATTTATTTATTTATTTATTTATTTATAGATTTATATCCTGCCTTCTTCCTACAAAGGGCTCAAGGCAGCTTACATCTCCTCCTCCATCTTATCCCCACAACAACAACCCTGTGAGGTAGGTTGGGCTGAGAGTCTGTGACTGGCCCAAAGCCACCCAGTTGGCTCCATGGCCGAGCGGGGACTCGAACCCAGATCTTCTGAGTCCCAGTCCTGTGCTCTTAACCACTACACCACACTGGCTGTCCTGACACCAAAGCTATCATTCTATCACATCACACTTCCACCCCACTTTTCTTCCTCTTGCAAGGAATCCACAGTAGCTTATATGATGCTCCTGCTCCTCCTCTCCATGTGATCCTCACAACAACAACCCTGTGAGGTAAGTTAGGCTGAGAGTCCGTGACTGGCCCAAAGCGACTCAATGAGACTTAAGGCCAAGGGGGACTAGAACCCGGACCCCCAGGGTCCCCAGGCCAACGCTGTAACCACCACACCACACCACCGGTTCTCATACTGCCACCCTTGCTGACAAGAGGAAAGGCATGCGGCCCACGTTGCGCTGGCAGGGCCCAAAGCCCAAGGGGGGGGTGAGCTGAGGGGCCTACCTGCAGTGTATGACCATGGGCCCTTTACTCTTTGCCGCCTGCTGCCTGACCGTCTGCACGAACTGCAAGATGCTCTCTGCTGCGTTCGTGGGAGGGACTCCATGGTCGGGCCAAGCGGTGTAATTAAAATGCATCACGTCCTGCACCTCGTCTGCCTAGGAGGAGAAAGAAAGGAGCCCATTACGAGCTTCCCTGTGCATTTACGAAAAACTGGGGACGGTTAACACAGGCTAGCCATATGGGACCGCTGAATGCTGCCCATGGGAGCTCCTGCCCCAATTCAGAGAGGAGCCCCTGGCGGCAAAGGGTCCACATCTCCAATCTGGGGCAGCGTCCACCATGGCTGCTCTTAAAAGCAAGGCAGGGTGGATGCAATGTAAGAAGTTTCTCTTACAAGCTCCCTTAATATTTTTAAAACTCTGTAAAGGCAAAAGAAGATAAGCACATGAGAGATACAACAACCCTTCTTATATTCATTGAGACTTGTAACATGATGCTCATGAAAAGTCAGCCGAAATGAACAAAGATCTGGATTGTTAAGAACATTTGCAATATTAAGCCTAAATTAAGCTTAAAGCCAGGATTCCCAACTGGGGGGGGGGGGCAGCCCCAGGGGGTGCAAGCCGGTATTTCAGGAGGTATGACCAAGAGGAAGGCTTTGCTGCAAAAATTGACATTTTTGCCAAAAAAGATTGATGTTTTTGCTAAAAATTATCCCAATAATAAATTATCTGTTATTATTTTGTTTGCATTTGGATTCACTTCTCTTTTGTCAATTAAGGCAAAATCTGGGAATCTCCTGAATCCACAGGTAGACTTGTGGATCATAATCGGCAAGAAAATTTTCATAAAATGGTGAATGAGAAGCAGGAACAGAGAAGTCCTTGAATTTATGTTCACGGTTGGGATTGATTTTACTGTTTACAATGCTTTCTAATCACCCAATTTATATTTGAATTTTATTTAAAAGTTTTATTTTATTTATTTTAGTTCAATTTCTTCACTTGCAATGATGATTGTGGTTCAGTTTGTGGTTCCAGAATGAGAAATGGGACTTCTTCATCTTCAACTATATTATTTTGTAGGGCTGCGAACATAAATCAAACATTTTCTAGGGATCCAGAGCATAGAAAAAGTTGGGAGCCACTGGCTTAAATTTACAAAATGCATTATCAGTACTAAAACAAAGACCAAAGCCCCCATGTAAGAGTGTGTTCACATCAACCCACATAGCTGATCCTGAAATTCCTAAACACCCAATCGGATTGCTCCTCTTCAGTCAGCATTTCCACCGTGATGTCTCCGTAAGTAACTGGCTCTTCTGTGAAAGGCCAGTAATGATCACATTTTACCTGGAAAGAAAAAGCACCGTCAAACATTCCCATGAAGAACCAGTCAAGAAGAAACAAGCCTTTATCCTCACTTTTGTTTCCCCTTTGGTGGAAAAGTGGTTTGGCTTTTCAGGACAAATACTGAGAAAGAAACACAAAAGGTCGAAATGTGTGTGTCAGTGCAGTTCTCTGTGTCACTTCCCTTTTTTGGATTCTCCCCTTAATCATAACTGTAAACACACAAGGAAGCTACCATTAGGGCTACATGCAAACCAAAAAACTAAAAATTCCGCCTCCAGGCAAATGCTTACATCCAGGCACAGTACCAGGTTCTGGTTAGGTGGACCTCCATTTCCCAAGAGGGCAGAGGGAGCATAAAACATACCCTTCTCTTCTCATTGCACTGCGTAAGCATAACAATGATCTGCGACTTCTGCTGCAGGACCATCTTCCAAAACTCGTTCCTCGTCTCGGGAAGCGGCCCCTGGGTTGCAATGTACTCTTGTGGAGAATTGTAGCCCTGTATGAAAAGGCAGGTGACAACTGCTTTAGGACACCCTTTAGAGTGGGAGATCCCCCCCACCAAACATTGGGAGACCGACCTCTATTTTGCTAGCTGGATGGACAAAATTTGAGTCCACTCACTCGGGTTCTGATTCCCCCCCCCCACTAAATTCATTCTGATCCATTTGTGCATCAGATTGCAATCTGAGTTCATGCAAAATTTCATACTTATTTTTAAATGTGTTTTCAGAATATAGGCAAGGTTTTTCAATGGACATATTCTGGGCCATACTAATTTATTTATTGTTTTTCTGTTCTGCCAAACAGTTAAAACGTCCTGGGCAGTCCACAGCGTTTCCAAATGTATGCATTTCTTTTACACTGAGTGTGTGGTGGAGGTGTGAGTGCTGGACTGGGACGTGGAAGATCCCAGTTCTGGTCTGCACTTGGCCATGAAGCGCACCGGGTGGCTTGGGCCAGTTACAGAGTCTCACCCTGACCTACCTCAAAGGGTCATGGTGGGCATGTCATGAGCGGAGCTGGCTGGTGCCGGAGGTCAGACTAGATGGCCCAGGAGGCCCCTTCTGACTCGCTCTGTTTCTATGTTTCTATGTCATTGTTGTGAGGATACAATGGAGCTATTTGAGCCATCTTGGGTTCCTCACAAGAGGAAAAAAAGGGGAATATAAATATAATGTGATAATAGTAATAATTACACTTATAGATTTTTCCATTGTATAATGCATTTATTGCATGCATTCCCAAATACATACCTGCATTTTCCCAAATGTGTTTGCTTATGGTATGCTCTTCTAGAGGGCTACTTTCACTGCCAACTTAGAGCAAGTACATATATTGATGGCTAGCTGCATTCCAGCACATGCTTCCATCTCCTTGGACTCAGGTTCCCTCAGCCCCCTTCTTTGCTCTGTTTAAGAGTTCCTCTGCTTGCAGCCTTATGTTACTCCTGCGTCTAAACAGACACTGGCTGGGCCATTTGGGATTCCCCCCCTCCCACATAATGTCCTTTGGCTCTTACTTCCCAAACATATTTCTGTCTGTCCCCAGGGAGTCCCTCAAATATGAGGAGACTGCTCCCTCGTTTCGAGGGGGCTCTCTTCATTTTGACAGTCTCTCCCCCCCACAGCTGGGAGGGAAGGTTTTGCAGATAGGTTTGGTTCTTGGGCACAGACTGCCTGCTATTTCATAAACCAGGAAGGCGCTATCATCCCCATGGGTGGTAGGAGTCCAGTTCACTCACAGGGATGTAGTTGGCATTAATGTAATCAGATCCTTCTTCTTCATTCATTGAAACCAGTCGGACACGGCTGAAATCATCTGCAAAAGCGAAAACATCCAAAGGTGGATGGAGCTTAGAGGCTTGTCACCCATCGATGAGATAATTCCAATTAAGCCTCTGAAAGCTTAACATAAATTTGCATGTCTTCTTGGAAAACCTGCAGTCTTTTGCTCAACTGAGTGAATTTGCAAGACTACATGGCATGGAGATCCCTCATTACTTTCACCTACAAAAATCCTTCGCTGGGTCTCTGGCAGCTCATTAAAATCTGAGAGACTGCTTGAGCATCGTAGATATATTGATTGCTAACAAATATGATCCCTGGTGAATGGAAGGAAGGAAGGAAGGAAGGAAATCTTTCTTATTTTGGAATACATTTCAGTGTAGGAAAAGCAGGTAACATGATTAGAATCCATGTGGTTCATGTGCTTATGCACTCAGAACTGATTATACACACCTTCACTCACTCCAGCTCCCCCTCTAGGTTGAAGAAGCGGGCTGACAACACACAAAATCCAGGAAAGCAGCAGCAGGTGGGCCCAGACTGAGGTTTGGGTCTAGGCAGCTGCCCAACGAACACCAGCCCTGACCGCGCCACCCCATCGCTGCAAACCAGCAGGACGCCACCGAATACTGGAAGGGGCACCGCATGCAAACAGGCCTGCCATGCAAAAGCACGGAGCAGGCAGATCCTCTGGAGTGAGTCACTTACACGGTAAGATATTTGTGTAGCGATTTTTACTTCGATTCATGGGGAGATCAGCTGCAAAGTGCGGGATATCCAGCCCAATCATCTTCAGTTCCTGTGCAAGAGACATGAAATAAAGTGCCCCAGTTAAGTGGGGCCCATATCTTTTCTTTTCCAGGGGTAGGTGATGACTCACAGCTGGGCAACACCCGGCTGATACCTGCTTGCCCAGTGTCCACCGTGGCATTAATTCCCAGCACATACACAGTGAAGTCATGGTGCAGCATTAGCCAATCAGCAGGGTGGGCAATATGTAACCGTGGGGGCCACTGTGGAGGAGCGTGGCTGAAAAACTCAGCTAGATTTGTCCTTAGCAAGCTCTGCAGCGGGTTGCTGTCCAGGGCTGATGCTTGTCCTGCTTTTCTCCCTTCCGCTTTCTCACACTTTTGGGACCCTGTGGGGGCAACGGAGGCTGAACTAGGGGGTGGCAGGGGCACATGCATCTTGCAGGTTGCCCACCCCTGCTAAGCGCAAAGAGCCAAGCCCTTTCTCCGGGTGCAAATCCTCATGCAGCCATTCCTACAACATCCACACATGAGGCCTGGAGGAATCCTTTGATGTGCTGAAGCATGACCCAAGGTTGAAAGAAAAACCCTCAAGGGGTGGATGGGAAAGCAGCCTGAAGAGGGCAGAAGTGGGCTCAGCAGCCGCAGGATGCAAGCCAGTTTTTAGAGCAGGGTTCGGAAGTGGAGAAACAAGAGCTGGGAGTAGGTAATGGAGTATCCGGGAAAGGGTATGGCTGGCGACCTGAATGAATGGCAGCATTCCATGCTGCAATGTTTGGTGCAGGTCATTCTTAGAGACCCCAGTCCTTCCTTGCAGCTCCAGCTCTCCCAGTACTTTCTACTCGTGAGCTGAGCGACACTGCAGGAATGGAGGAACGAAAGATGAGCAAGACCTGCCACCAGCACATGAGAAACCAACCAGGACGCCACTGCAACGGATGGAGGGCGGCTGGCACGCCAGACAGCACCATCTTCAGGGCCAAGGGCTGATGGTGGGCCACTTGCCACATGGTCTGAAGTGGCTCTTACGAAAAAAAAACACCTTTAGGTATTGGGTGGCATAGAAATACCATTAATAATCAATAATAATAATAATAGTCACATATTTTTCCATATACATGTAGAGACAAAGGGATCAAAGGGTTACATTAAAGATGCAGCAAACAACTAAATCTTTCTGCCTGTCTGTCTGTCTGTTTGTCTGTCTTTCTTTCCAGTTTGGAGGGGTCCTCTTTCAATTGGGATCCGTAAATGCATTGATTCCCTTCCCAGCCACAATTGTAGCAGCAGACTATGTAGCCCAGTCCCATCCCCCCCCCCCCCATCCTGCCCATGCCCTGTTATGGGAGCAAGCAGGATCAGGATTACTGACTGCCTTCCTTCTCCACACAGAGATGGCCCCCAATAAAAATGGGGGCACCTCCTTCCCCAACTGTAAAAAATGGTGAAGAAAGAGTCCTGGGTTCCTCACAAGAGGAAAGGGGCGGGATATAAGTGCCATGCAATTGCAATGATGATATGAATAACAACACAACAACAACAACATCTCCTAATACTTCTTCAACATAACATATAATTGAGTCTCGAAGCAGCTTGTATGCAAAGTAAGATGGCAGAATCCCAGATTGTACGACTTTAGACTGTGGTGCCACCTCCCCCTCTGTGTGTGTGTGTGTGTGTTATGCAAGTGTACTGTATTTTTAAAGCCATCCAATATATTTTTAAAAATCTCTTTCTCATCTGTAGAAAATTAGCACACCAGGAAGAGGGCCTATATAACTGTTTCTCTCCCTGATGTACTAGATTTCTGCAGCAACAGAGATTAAAAAGAAAAAAGAGGTGAGGCATTTAAAAAGTAGGAATCTCCACCACCAATCCAAAGTGGTAAAGCCCAAGGAGGCAGTTCATTGTTCTGCTGCCTCGTTCCACAGCATCATCACAGGATGGCTAGCAAGCTAACATCTGTGTTGGAACTTACCTCAAACTGCAGAGAAAACTTGTAATCAGAATCTTTTGCCATATCCTTGATGTAGCTGTCAAAGTCATCCAGCTGGACCGGACTTAAATACAGAGAGAGAGAGAGAGAGAGAGAGAGAGAGAGAGAGAGAGAGAGAGAGAAAATAAAGGAAAACATCTGTCATTCCCAGATGTCACTAACTGGTATCAAGCTGTGTTGTCCAACACCTTGTAAAGAGCTTCAGGTTTGGATTCAGAGGACCTGGATGTGGATCAGAGAAGCCCTACAGAAGCTGTCAGATACAGAAGCAAAGCCAGAATGGCTTCCCCCCCACCCCCCCATCATTCCTTCTGCTTTCCCCCCAGTGAGTTCCCGGGAAGACATTCCATCTGTCCCCAGCAGCTCTTCACAACCAACCCATGGATGATGGTAATAGGCCGCAGTTTCCAGAAAGTTCCGTGACCAAGTATTATTGTATTTATGTTAAGTAAAACATCAATATGCTGCCCTTCGTTAAACTTGATTCCAGGATGGTTTAGAATTTATCTATGCAAAATAAAGGTACAACATCTGATTCAAAAAACTCGTATGACAACAAAGCTCGCAATAGACAGAGGAATAAAATGTTGGACTTTTGCCAGGCATCTGTTGGAAAGCAGTGCTGGAGCCTTGAGAAGCTCAGTCTAAAGCTGGAGTCTGATTTGCAAAATACAACAGCCAAGCAAACCCAGGTCCCCTATTCCTTAATTTTCTCTGCTACAGAAGCATTCATATCTTTTCCAAACCCAGGTAGCCACCCAGCAAACACAATGGCACCAATCCAACTAAAGTTAGGGGCTCCATCCTAGAAGGAGCAGGTAAAGAATCAAGACTGTGTTTGGACAGAAGCACTTCTCACTGCTGCAGAGGATCGGGGTGGAGCTGACGTGACTGAACGCTGCTCCATACAACCTGCCCCCGCCCCAATCCTGCCATATTACGGAGTGGGAGAGGTGTGAATCCTTCTCCTAGACAGTTTGCACTCCTGTGACGTCCCATCCGATCATACAAACAGACATATGTGCAAATTCACAGTGGTTAATCCTGAAACAGGTTTACCGCCTCCTCTGTCCTTCCATAATCCAGTGCAGTCTGATGGGAGTTGAATTCCAGATCATCTGGACAGCACCCAGCTATGGGAGGACAGGAGAGGTGATAAAATGTGTCGTCCAAAACATCTGGTGAGCACCAGATTGGGGAAGACTGCCTTAATTCCATGTGTAGCTTAGGACTGCTGGGAATTGTCAGGACTTTTGTCTGTCCAAACATGCATAAGATTGCAGCCTTAGTCCTTATTTTCAGTAGAGCTCAGTCAGGATTAACTTTAGCTGGATTAGGGACATGGTGGAAACTTGCTCTAGTTTGCTAAATATATATACTGTTTAATGAAGAGGCAAATAGTTTCTTTTGCCTAATTATCATGTTCTAATATGCAAATACTGATGCATACACAGACCTTCCTCCCATTTCCTCAAAGAAGCATACCCCAAGGAACTTGTCTCTTATCAACAGTTAATTACTCCTGTTTACCTGTTAGCATTAATGATCCAGTGTATAATTAGCAACTGTGCAGAGAGAGGGAGATGGCACAGATAACAGAGAGGTTCTGAGGTTTTTCACACTTCGCAGTTGTTAACTAACAGAGAGCCCTGTTGGAATTGTTAACTAGAGATAATTGATTTCTCCCCAGTGGCTAATTTTCTGCCAGTCAGGAACATTTTTATCATGTAATATCTGCTGGGAAGATTAAACAGAAATGTACCGTTTGACTTGCTTCAATGTCATTGTCTGTGGCAGGAACATGGCAGGCAAACAGGGCCAAGCCCAGGGTGGAAGGGGCTCTTGGCAGGGTGCTTCTCAATATGCCCCCAGTGGCGGCAACCTCCGTTCATGGCCTTAGTTTTCCCAGAATGCAATGCTCTGGATGTTCCCTGCCAATGTGGCATTGTGGGTCAAAGGCAGGAGGTCTGCATGGATAGTGCCAGCAGGTGGGCACATCACAGGCCTGGTGGGTGAGTGAGCAACCCCAGCAGTTGCCTGAAAGTGCTGGCTGGCGACTCCACACCCGAGGACAACCGTACTGGGCTTCTCTCCTTGCCTGCCACGGCCTCCATGCGCAGCTCTTTCCCCCTTGCAGGACCACTGCCAGAAAGAGAGGGCTTGGCAGCCGGTCAGTGAAGGCGTGGGCAGGACGGCAGCTTCTCCGCTTCCTTGCTTCACTGCCTGCCCACTTCAGGCCAGAGCGAGAGGCTGAGCAGGCAGTGCTGAGGAGCAGCAGGGGCTGTGGGGCTCCCAGCAGTGGGTCCCCACACCATGGCAGTCCCACGGCATTTGCCAGATTGTACCAGCTTCTGCAGCCAGCTCAATGTCAGCTGCTGTGCATTTCATGCAGAAAAGGGCAGGATACCAGTATAATGAGCACCACCACCACCAACCAGGATGTGAAACTCAGGAGAGCATCCCTGCTTTTAGGGATTCCTGGGCAACAGCTGTTTTTCCTTGTTTTCCTTTCCTTTCCCTTTTTTCCTTTCTCTTCCTCAGAAATAATGGCACTGAACAGCAGTCTCAGCAGGTAACTGTGCCTTTCTCCCTCTCCCTCCCTCCCTCCCTCCCTCCCTCTCCCTTTCAATGGGGCACCTGAGGCTTGAGACCAGTAGTAGTTGCAATAGGAGCCACGGGTGCCATGGAAAAGAACAGCCCTGGTTCTCTCATTCCCTGCCCCTTGCTAATGGCTCGAACTCTGCAGCATGTCAGAAGATGCAGTGCTCCCCCGCTTGCACTCGCCGCAGCCAGCGAAGGACAGCTGGGGGGCAGGGCATTCTGGGACGTGGCAGCGCCCGCTCACCTCTGAAAAAGCTGGCTGTGAGCTCACCAAACCAACTGGGTTGGAAACAGCTGAGGGTTCTGACCGCAATGGGAGATACACGTGACCCATCAACAGGTGCTTTGCTTCCAAGATGCAGATCCCACTTCTCAAGTGGGAGAAGAATTCTCCGTGGAACTGCGGCACATGGGCAAAGGGTCAGTCTCGCCCTTCTCTGTGCTGGGGCTCTTCTGGGACAGACTCTTGCCACCAACGCTTAAATGATTTTCAAAGGGCATGATAAGGACGTGCATGCAATGAACTTCAGGGGTAGCGGTTAGTAAGAAGGCACAGGTATTTTCCTGTATCTTAACCCGTGTTGCTGGAACCCTAATGATAAAAGGGGCATAACCTGTCCCTTCAGGTGAAGGGGAGGACATAATGGGAGGGATCCTCTGGAGGCAGGTGGGCCTTCTGGCTCCACCAGGCCCTCTTGCTGGCGAGCCCTTCTCTCCTGATGCCACACCATGGGTCAAGGATCAGGCCAGGCTCCTCTCCCATGTCCCCTTCTGGCCCTTCCCAGTTCCCAGGGTCTGCCTGAACACCTGGAGATGGCAGCCTTGAGAAAAGCTCTCCCTCCTCAGCCATCTCCATGTCAGCAGCCCTCTTTTCTCAGGCCTCTCCATCCTCCTCTGAGAGTTGCTGCCATCCCAGCCCTGAAAAGTGTGCCAAGAATAACAGCCTATTTCATTCCCAACACCATCCATCCATAGTGGCAATACTATTATCTTCAGCTTAAATGTTTGCAGGCCAAAACCCACATTGCTTTACTTCTGTATCTAACAGCTGCACAGGGATCCATATTTTAAGAGCCTTCCATTCCCTGTGCAAGTTCCCAATCTGGATAGGGTCTCTGCACCTATTTATTTATTTAGCAGACTTATATGCCACCCCATTCACCTAAGCCTCAGGGCGGCTTACAGATAAATAAATAAATATCATTAATACAATAAAATACAGTTGGAGACATCCTGGCCAAAGTTGTTAAAATCAATAAATAAAATCAACAATTAAAATGATGTTTAAATAAAAAGGTCTTGCCCTGGCACCAAGCATAAAAGCAGAAGGAAAAATAGCTAGACTTAAAGTAATGAAAATTAGTCAATTTTATGGCATGTAACCACAGGCTCTTACAGCTTTGCCACCATCACCACCACCACAAAAAACAGTCACAGCAAGACAAAGATTGAACAAGCCACTGGAAGAAGTTCGTTTTGCGCATGATCCACTGCAACAGTTTTAGGACCTTTGCTCTCATTTTTCTAGCAGCCACTATGGATAAGTTGCAATTGGCAGTATTTGTGCAAATGGAAAGCCAGAAACTCCATAGTTCTAGCATGATTTGCACACCTTTCCTTAGTGTTAAAAAGTGCAAACTGAGGTCTGTCTTACAGATGGAAGCCTGCCTGTCACGGCCCCACTGCTCCACCTGGCCCTTTTCTGTTCATTGGCGTGGAAGTGGGTGGAAGTCCATCACGCCCAAACAAGCCAGACTTCCCAGGATCCGCAGATCCCCACCGCAAGAGAACTTTTCCTGGCACTGGCATGCAGTTTACAACAAATGCAGCTAGTGGAAAATATCCTCTGTTTGTGGAGCCCCACCTATGCAAAGACACTGAAATGGAGGAATAGTTAGGTCTCTCCCATGAAGATATGCAAAAGGCACCGCCTGGAAGCATAACTCTGTAAGTGCTTTCCTTAGCTTCAAGACAGTCGAGGAATTAAGATAATTAGGGAAAGATGGCTCAGCCTGGTAAAGATTGCACCACCTGCTAAGTCTTGTTTTGCTGAATGATTCCAACATCTTTATTAGCATCCGGTGAGTATCACCCATCTCTCATTTCAACAGCCTCGCTCAAATGAAAGCAAGCCAATGCAAGAGGAGAGATGGTCCCAGTTTGCCTGCGGCACTTTTTCGTACAGGCGTTTCAGCCTCAGCCTCGCTGGGAGAGAAAGGAGGGGGCTGTTACAGAAGAGGCACAGTTTCCTTCGCTGCACCTTGAGGGTGTTTGTCTGCTCCGCACTTCTGCACAGGTCATTAAAATGGTGTCTGCCTTGGTCTTCAGGAGGTGAGGATGCAGAAAACCTCTGCATGGGATGCTGCAGTGCTACCATGAGTCAGACAAAACTAGGGTGGATGCATTCATGGATGGCCTGGTTCAGTCTAGAGTGCCCAGATATGCCATAGCACCCACATAGGCAGGGCAGGGGTGAGCATCACAGAATAACAGAAATGGAAGAGACCCACAAGGCCGCTGCGTCTGCTGCCCGCTCAGTGCAAGACTGCAGGTGAAAGCATCCCTGATGGATGGCAGTCAACTGGCTCTCGAAAGGGCAGCCCATGTGGCTCCCATCGCCACACTGTTCCATCTGTCTGGAATTCTCTCTGTTAGTTATCCTAGAGATAACCTTCCTTAGCGGGAAGCACGTCCCTCAGCAGTGACATTTCCATTAAGTCATTAAGATTTACAAAACAGGCATACTTGGTCAGCTTCCTCTTCTTCAGTCCATTTTTACTCCTGCAAGAAAAAAAAGACTCTCATTATGTTTTGCCACCACGTCTATGTTCGCGTAGCTGTAATTGCCACTGTGCATCAGGCAGCGCTGAGCGCTCGCTCGGGGACTTTCATTGCGAGTCCCCTGCAAGGTTCAACCAATTAATTTGAGCAAACGAATGATTAAAACTTGGCAGATTTTAAGAGCCGAGTGATTAATCAGGAAATCATTACCCTTGCGGAACAGGCTTTTGTATAACCATCTTGTAGACCAAATGCAGTTTTGCTTACTTAAAGGAGTTCAGTGCAAGGGGAAAAAGGGTGTATTAGCTACATCTGTACCATGCAAGGCCAAGCTTACATCAGATCATACATGAGCAATCCAGCCTACTCGAGGAGCACCAGGACCTGCGCCAGACTCCACTGGACCCCCACCCCCTTCCCCTTATCTATCCAGCAACCCACCCACCCGCCTGCCACAGCTCCTCACCCTTCACCCACTGGCACCCAAGCCCCACCTTGCTGCTGCTGCTGCTCTGGAATATCCGCCCGGCCCAGCCCTTCACCCATCTGTCCACGCATCCCTCCCCACAGTTCCCACCTGTTTCCCTGCTGCAGCCCCTTCTCTGCCTGCCCGCCCACCGATCACACCAACCCCCCTGCCTACTAGTTAATGCTACCTGTTGCAGCCCCTGCTGCTAATAAAGCCCAGCCAGACACCTATCCAGAACAGCAGGCAAAGCTCGGGTCACCGCCCCCCATCAATACGATTTTAAATATTATGTTTAAAAACTTAGGTTTTAAGCAGTGGCGCCCTGAACCAAGCAGATGCTGCCAGGGGAGGGGGAAACCCAGCCGTCCGGTGCTCAAGGACAGCATCAAGAGCACCCCGAGTGCCCCCTCCCCCTGCTGCGGCCCAGGAAGGCAGAGTCCGATTGGTTCAGCTGGTGCTGTGAGGATTAGGAGCATCTTTTACAATGGAATTCTGCAGGCTCAGCAGAGCAGGCAAGGAAGAGGACGGGTCAGTGGCTGGACATGCACGGGCCCCTCCAAGTCCCTTGGCAGCGGCCCATGCAAGCCAACCCCTGGCACCAGGCCTGGAGATTAGTAAAGCGCTCTGTAACCGGCCCCAGAATTTGCTTCAGCAACCAGCAGGTGCGTGAGGAAAGGCATATTCTGTTGCCTATCAAAAGGGATGAAGTCTTCTTAGACTTTGAACAATTCATACTTCTCAAGCAAACGTGACATGAGGCAAAAAGAAAACTAAGGAAATGACTTACCAAGGGTTAATATAAAATGCCAAGAGATAATCAGTCCAGAGGCAGGAGGGTAGCAAAGTTAGGAAAGCAAAGACGCTCCTACGCCTGTGAGCATTAATGGAGAGAAGGTGCAGAGAGTTTTAACGAGCAAGCAGCATTAGTAGGATAAACAGAAGCCAAGAGAGCAATACGGATCGTGTTAGACACAGGAACACAGGGACCCCAGAAAAAGGGCATGGGGCTAAAGCCCGCCGCCCCATTGACCAGGAGTCAGCCCCTCACCCAGAACAACTATGCAAAAAGACTGCTGTTGTTTTTTGTTCTGTTTTGTTGTGTTTTGTTTTGTTTTGTTGTGTTTTGTTTTGTTTTGTACAGCTGTTATTCCATCTGCTTTTGGAAATGTTGCAGCCCTGAGGCTCAAGCTCTGCACAAGGAATTTTTCCTTTCTTGCCTTTCCACTATATGACTTCTAGGTGGCACGGCACTGCAGCAGAATAGCATAATCACACGAGTAGGAATAATACCTTCCATTGGCTTTCACAACTAATTCTCCCCTTCCCCCCATAAAAGTGCTCTTAAAAAACAACACAAAAGGAAACTAGAAGACTGTGAGGTCAGCTAAAGAACCTGTACAGAACCTTGAGTAAGGAAAGATGAATGCATGACCGGTGCCTTGTGTAGAATTAGACTTAAAGCTGAGGTGGCAATGAGCGGGGAGAGTTGCAGCCCATTTTCTAGACCTCGGTAAGTGACATGCACAGCCCGGCGTGGGCTGGGATCAGAGTTTTCCTGGGGAGACACGCTGAGAGAGCAGCAGACCTAATGGGAGCTGATAGTGAAGAGGCCAAGCCCAGAACAGGGAGCTCTTCCTTCCCCTCCTTTTTGGAGTATTCATGGGTCCTTTCAGTTTATTTGGGGATCCTTTTTTGCATTTAATTTTTAATGTCATATTGGACTGCCCTTACCATCCCCCTGCAGCTTAAAAATACTTCCAGGGTGCTTGAAGGTCTTTCTTGCGTGTTGTCTGTGATCTTGCTCAAAGTTTTGCAATGGATAGAGAGGATATTTGTGATTAACAGGGGAGGAAAGGAGGGAAGTGGTAATTCTGCAATCCTTCCTAAATTGTAATGTCTTCCACTGGGTTAGAAATAGGTAAACTTCCTCTCCCTTCCTTGCAGTTCAATTTTGTTCCAGCTTGAAATAGCTGAGCTATTTTACACACGCAACCAGGAAAAAATGCTTGGTTGACTTCCAAGCTAAACCAGACTGAACTGAGGAGGGAAAACTCATGGACGTCATTGGCCGACTCTCCCTTGGAAAACTACATTTCCCAGCAGGACACACTGTTGCCTGTTAAGTAGTATGGCAGACAGGAAAGGAAGAGAGAAAGACCTCCCCCTTTTTCATCCCCTGGCTTGTTACCACTGCTTTGCCAGAGTGTAGCAGCCTTCAGGGCCAGGGTGGGAAGGGGGTTCGGGAAGTGTGGAAGAGCCAGGGAGGATGCTCATGGGATGTGGCTGGGTAGCAAGGCAGACTCCAAAGAACCCAGGCTGCAGTCTGAGTCAGACAGACTGTCAGGGTCTATAATGGCTACATTCCATCCCCAAGGCTGAACCTTCCATGTGTACAAGTACATGTTCCTTGAAGAAAAGGCGGCACGCAAAGGCACATGGTTCTACCTACACAGGAGGAAATTTGCTTGGCTCTCTCTGAGGCATAGTGCCCAATCTGTGAAACCTGTAACTTGTCATGCTCACTAAGGGGAACCTTTATGTTAAAAACTAATAATTGTTTGCAATCAAAGTCAAGATGCCCATGGGGTTGAAGACTGCAGTTATATCTTTAACCAGCAGGGGCCGACATCCCCAACTAGCACATGATGTGCAGGTGCACACAGTCTGGAGCCACAGGAGAAGAGTGGGAAAGCGTTGTGTGTGTCCCTGCTGTAAGGCATTCCCCCTCAGGGGCACGGAGTGGGCACATGCTGCAGGAGCCATGCTTGCAGGGGCCAGTGAGCCTGGATTCATGCAGACGGGGCAGGCTGCATGTGCCAGGGGTTGCTTGAAGGGATCAGCTACTCCAACCTCTGTTTTCTAGTTTTCTAGTTTAAAAAATGGTGGGGACAGTAGTTGTACTGGGATGGGTCCAAAGTCAGCCATCTCTGTGCACTTCTGGCCGGCAGGAAAGGACCCTCCTTGAACAGCAATTGCGTCAGTACTTGCATTGCCGGGACTGCAATATTTTCATAACATCACGCTGTTCAGTTTTAGGTTTCGCATTAATATCATTCAAGCCTTGATCTTTAATTAGCGAGTGTGTTTGATCTTCTGTCTTTGGTGCCATTAACATACATACCCTATCAAAGAAGCCCAAAAAGCAGATTAACGATTGTTGCGAATGGAGATCTGCTTCTGGGAGCTGAAGAAGGAAGCGAGGGTTGATTTCCACTTAGTAACATCAATATTTGCAGGGCTTGCTGGTGGCTTTCATTCAGTTGGGGAGTTTATCTTCAAAAGACTTGCTTCAGTGCCAAATCAAATCAATCTGGCCATTGGTGCCAGGTGGCTGCATTCCATAAAATCAGAGTCTGCCTGTACTTCCAACCAGCCCTGGACAGATTGGCCATGAATGTAAATGCAATGCATGATGGAATTTTCCCTTGGATCACAATCGCTTTTCCTGGTGAAACCTGACCAAGGTCTGTCTGTCTGTCTCTCAGTGCCAGCCATTACAATCTTCTTCAGCCTGGGGCAGAGGGCATGACTGAGCCTCAGAGCACGTGCTCTGCATGCAGAAAATCCCACTGGCCTGGAAATCTCTGCCTGAAACCCCCAAAACGTGGCAGCCAGTCAGTGTCGACCAAGTGGGCTGGATGACAGAAGGCTGTGACTTAGTGCAGGACAAGTTCCCGTGTTTCAATGATCCTTCTGTGGCTGATCAGGAGAGCAGACAATCCCTGCCATGGCACGGCAGACCTCTTCCAGCTTGAAAGGGTTCAACCAGGGACAAAGGGACACAGCTGGAAAAATAGGAAGTGACCCTAGAATCAGGGCAGGGAACTTCTTTTTCAGCAGCTGCATCCCCTTGGGATAATCTGTTGGGCGCTCCGAGCGTGTGGTGAGACAGAGAGACCTTTATTTGGTTCCTCTTTTAATCCTAAGTAATCTAAGTTCCTGAATAAACACATGAAGCAAGACACAGTTCTTCCCTTCTGCGCTTCCTCAAATCTTGCGAGGCAGTTCCCTGCTAGCCCAGCCTTTGAAAACGATTGTGTTAGGGAAATGGCACACAAAAATACATAGAGTAGGAGAAATAGCTACAACATTGTACACACTTTGGTATACATTTCTCCTATTGCATACCATTTTGTATACTTGCTCTTTATGGTATGCATTTTGGTATACAGTTTTCCTAATGCACACATTGGAGGAATGCATGTTTCCATGAGAGCCTTTTACCAAAATCAAATGGCAACCTGATGCAGAAATAGAATGGAGCAAACTTGTGCTTGAAGAAGCCCAGAAGGCACAGAAGTTTTAAAAAGACTTTAAAAAGGAGGGAGGGTGTCCTTTACTAGTGTCGGCGCTTTGGTCCACGTAGCTTGATTGTCAGTGCTGACAGGCAGTGGCTCCCCTGGGTTTTGGGAAGCGGTTTTTCCAGGCCTACCTGGAGACGTTGGGGATGGAAGATGGGACCTGCTAGATGCAATGTGTATCAGCATTGAGCGATGGCCCTCTTGCATTCACCCACACGACATGGGTGCAGCCACAGCCAAAAGGTGGTGAGGTTGGAAGCATTCATCTCTCTGCCTCTCTGCCTTGGTGCCATTTCCTTGGCATCTCTCTGAGCAATGTGATTCCACCCTCCCTTTCTCTGTATCAGCCCATCTCCTTGGATCGCCTGAAATGAGACTGAGGACTGCGGGTTCCTCCCCTTTGCCCAAGAGGCTCTGTGCCATTCCAGTGGCATTTTGGTCAAGAATGCTCTGCATCTGCATAGCGAGCCTCCAAAACTGCTGTGTGTGGAATGGACTGTGGGTTGGACTTCCCTGCTCCAGAGATTTTGGCCTACAATTCCTATCAGTCACGCTTGCATAGCCAATTGCCTTGAATGATGGGATTTGTAAGTTCCCACCATTCAGAAAGAAACTGGGCAGCCATCTGAATGGGATGGTGTGACTTGGTGTCCCACAACAGCAGGGGGTTGGACCCGGTGGTCTTCATGCCCCCTTCCAACTCTACTCTTCTATGATTCTAAGCCAGAACATCACCTGCAGTGATCCAGAACTTTGTGAAAGAAATTAACAAAAGGCTTTGTGGGTGAACAAGGCCATTGACTGGTGATCCACTGCACATTCTGTCACTGACAAATGCAAATATGCCTCAAGGGAACTGTTAATGGATTTAGAGTTGAGCCTTCAGGTTCTTTGTCGCTATAGGAGAGAAATATGTGTCTAGGGGAAGAAAATGTAGCATCTGTCTCCACTGATCCGCACAAGCATATATTGCATATTAAATTTTCCCAGTGGGAATGCTTAATGAAAAAGGCATGACCTTGGGCTACTCTGAAATCAGATCAAAGGCAATGCTTAAAATGCCGAAGGTGCCAATTGAAAGATGTATTTCCATTTCTTTTTCTTGTGGAAAAGAAAAGCTGATCAGACTCAAACAGAAACAAAATTCTGCATGCATTTGGCAGATGCTTTGAATTCTAGAATGCCAGAGCTCAATTTTTCCATTTTTATTTGGAACACAAGAATAAAATAAACCCAAAATGTAAGAAAAATGAATAATTTTGGGCTTGAGCTGAAGGGTTTGGGGTTCATAATCTCCAGTCTGCAATGAAATGTGCTTGGACAGACATGGGGCCAGCCTCCTGCAGCCTCATCTCCCTGATAGGATGGGCTTCACAATAAAATGAGGTGCACATATGCCAGCCTGAGCTCCTTCAAGGAAAGATGAAGCCAAAGTAAATAAAGCAATAAAATAAGCAGGGAAGCAGCTATTAAAACCTAAATCCTGCTGATACACTTCTAGGCAGTAACAGCCCTCGGTGGGTTTTCCGTAGGTGCACCCAAACGTTTTGGGTCAGCAGGCAAAGATGAGATTCAGAATGGGTGTGCTGTTCACTTTCACACAGTGGCTGCCAGGGAGCCCCATTCATGAAGTGACTCCCATGGTAAGCAGTGCCAGTCAGGAATCATTCATTTTCCAGAAGTCAAACTGGTGAGGTGCAAAAAGCCGCTTGTCCAAGAGTCTAACTACAAGGCAGAGCTGAGATCTGAGCTGCAACACCAAAACTGCACGTAGAAATAGCACTGGGGAGCAGCACTTTCTTTGCAATGTCCCGGCAGCGTACGAGGGCAGAGCGGCACCCACAGGCATCGTGCTGGTGATGCAAGGAAAGGAGGAGGGTGTCCTAGTTCTGCCCCAGCACATTGCTGCGCTCTTCACTCTCCAAGTGCAGTGGGGATGTCAGGGAAGTCAGAGCGCCCCATGGAGCACACCGTGAACTGGCTTCTGAATCTCAGGCATCCTTTTCCAGAGGGACTGTGCAATTTGCCTGTGCAGAACTGTGCTAATGCACGTGTATGTTAATGTGCATTGGACTAATCTCCATTTGCACAAGTGGAGCAAAATTACATTGCCTCCCCAATGCCCACCCACCCCAACAAGTGGACAACAGAACAAAATCCTCAAAACACAGACAGAATGGATGTAACAGAATCCGGCCATCCCTAGAATTAAGGTAAAATAGCTGCAATGGGCAGTTTCCTCTCTCCATGGAGAGCGTCTGGGTGATGTAGAACTCTGGAAAAACAGTGCTTTAAATTCTGCAAAGAGCCCTGCAGGCAGAGGGCGATGCTTGCTGCATAAGGGGGCAGAATTAGCTTGTTCATTGTTGCTCACTGTCTTGCCCTCCTCTCAGGACTCCGGAAGAGTTCTGCAGTCAAAACATGACCATCCTTATGTAGTTGGTCGCACTGCAGTTTGAATCCAAATGTGGGAAGAAAGACTGCAGGGCGGAGTGCCCTCTAGCCTTCCCCCCATCAGACTGCAATTTTCTGTGCCCCTTAAGAGCCCTTGTTGGGGCTCCCTGCACTGCTGGGGTCACTTCACAGAGGGAGAGAAGTAGTAAAGAAGGGGAGTGGTGACTGATAAGCCCATGAAAGCAGAAGGTTCTGCAGTTTGGCAGGATTTGGGGTGCAAAGCTTCTGTTCTTTGGAATATAGCATTTTTATTTGGAGTTTTAGCATTACAAGTAGAATCTAAAATAAAAAGAACATGTGAATGTATATTCCTCCGCAAAAATAGAGGCACTCGTATATTCATTCATAATGTCCTTCTTTCCAGCTAGCTAGTTTGATTTAGAATATGATGTGTTTTGTACATTCCACTGTCCTAACAGAGTTGGTGCAATACAGTAGCAAGTTTTGGGCTTGCACAGAACGCTTCCTGACTAAAGTACAGTTCTGTGCAGCCAGAAATCTTGCTATCCCATTCCATTGGCAGTTCTAGGAAGGGATATCATTTTAGGGAACTGTGCAGGTCCTATCAAAAACATTGGCTTTGCTTGCTTCACTTTAAATAGCAATATCACCTTGGGGCAATCCTTGTTAGAGTGAGGAAAAACTATCATGCATATCCAGAAAAGTATCAAATGGCATAGAACTAATAAACTGTCTTATACTTACCAGTTGTATGGAAGCTTTCCATCTCTCTCTAATGAAGCGAAATTCACAAAGGTTCCAGCTCCACATTCCCTGGTTTAGGAAGATTCCAAGTTGTTATTCGTAGATTTAAAGATTTCTTTGTCTTGTTTTCTCTTGAAGAAAGAAACTAACTTGGCAGCAGTCACCTGAAGCATGTCTAAGATTTATCAGAGCACTTTCCTGTTCTGTTACAACTCCCCTCATCCTAACCATGGGTCCCACTTGCTGGAGCTGATGGGAGTTGAGCTCAGGCAACTTTGGCAAGACCACAGACGTTGAGGCTTCCTAGCCCTGCTGTAGATGGTGCCATCAGGGTAGCGTGTGGGGCAGAGGGCCAGCTGCTCAGCGGAATGAACGATCAGGGAAGGGGATGCATTAACAACTGGCAAAGGAGGTAGAGAGGTGTGTACACGTGTGCAGGGGAGAGCCCTGAATTTATTGCCAGGCCATGAAACAGAAGAGTGTGAGCAGCACCTGTGTAACAGCTGCAGCTATAAATAAGAACAAAGCATACACAATCCGATTTTTAAAAGGTCTCCCACTCCACTTGTACATGTTTCTCCTAGAAATTGTAATGTACATCAAATACATGCTAGTTAATAGAACACCACATCTGCAGGGGAACCAATTAGCGCCTTTTTCAAAGCGATGCTTTGAAATGCAATTACATACTTTCTCTACCTTGAAAGGAAAGAGTTTTTCTTTTCCATTAAGGCACGGTGTGCTTTGGGATTGTAAAAGAATAATCTGGCCTTTTGGTTACAGCAGGGGTGGGCAATTTGGGGAAGTCTGAGAAGCTGCAGAAAGGCTGACCTGAAAAGACAATGACTGACACACACACTTCAGGAAGGCAACGGCACCCCCCCCACCGCACCAGAAGAATCCAATTTAAGTCATTTGCAAGCCACATCCGACACTCTGTGGCAATAGATCCGGACTTTTGGGTACTCTGTAGCAGCTGCAGAAGAGTTGGAAAAAGCCTCTCCCTGAATTGAAGGGGAGGCGGTAGGCAAGGTGGGGGGGGGGCAGAGGTGGTGGTGGAGGGAGGACCACAAACAACCTGGCAACCTAGCTGGGGGTCAAGTCTCCCTCAAAGGATGCAACTGGGAGTGACAGGTTTGCTGTGTGGTGAGGCATCTGCTGCCCGTTTGCAGATTTCATTTAATAAGCGCAACAAAGGGAATCAGAACTTATTAACTACACACATCAGCTCAGGAGAATAGATGGTTTAAGATGGGCAAAGAGGGAGAAGAGCTGGTTTGTGCTGTCCAGCCTTCATCCATAGTTCCCTTCAGGGAAACGTTGGGCTGAATGGAACACAGACAAGGACTGGGGAGATCCATAAAGCTCAACAAGTCACGGTTCTCCAAGTTCCACTTTGAACCTTGATCCACCTGGACTTCAATCCCACACTTGTGCTTTTCTTTTAGTTGTTCAAACAGGGAAAGAACATATTTAAATCATTTTAAAGCATGCAACCAAAGGTGTCCTTTCCCACTACGGGTTAAAGCATGGATATATGCCAAGTGTTCATTTTTAAATGCACATTTTTCTAATGAATGCAGTTTGCAGATGGGATCACAAGCCCAAGAAGTCATGAGCACTTTAACTGAAAAAGGCACTCAGGTTTGGTAGTGTGAATGGGGCAAATTCTGATGTTGCAAGAACTGAAGCAACTGCCCATACATCTGGTAACATACGGTACTTAAGATACTGCTGCACCATTGTGCAAAACTGATTTCCCTTCTGGCATTTGGAGACATGTCGACCTACCTGGCCATTTGTAGGTGTTTCCTCCGAAGTACAATGAGTGTTACAAGCAGCAGCCCGATAAGGAGGATGCTCAGAATGGCGAGGACTGAGATCACCACCACGTTGGGATTCATCTCTGTAACTGCAGATGTAAGTAGACAATCCAGGTTGATGAAGGGGAAGGAAACCAATGTTAAGGTCTTGAGTTGGCTGGACTAGTAAGAAACAGCATCAGTGACCCCAAATCTGCTGTAGCTTTGAGTACACTGTAGTCTGACCTTTCCAGGAGCTATCCATAGTGCTGAACTGATTGGGGGGGGGGCTGTAGAGTTTGGTACCACAGATGGCTCCTTGAAAATTCAGACTAACATCCAGACTGCATAGACCACCATCAGCCACCATTTTATATGGATAAGCCGCACATTAAGACTTGCTACATGTTGCAGGTTCCATATGGAGATGCTGTCACAAGGAATGACTTCTGGAGGGCCTTTAAGCAGGAATTGCTGGATCCCACTATTCTAGGGGAACTGCCCCTTCAATACACTTAGGATCTTAGTAGTACTCCTTCACTTCCAGTTATCCAGTTGGTTTCCATGTTTTTGTAGAATATTCTCCAATCCACATACTCCTTTGCTCAGAAAGGGGATGTTCTTTCATAACTTAAGAGGAAAAAGTCTTAGATGAGAAATCAGGGCAAGGAATTTATTTTCTTTGGCCAGGAATTTCCAGTAACTTTTAGGCCAGAAATTGTATTTTGATCCAAGGCAGAAAAAGCATATGATGCCCTCTCCTCTCCCAGGTAGACAAAATGCAACAATAAACTGCATAATTGACAATGTTTGCATCCAAATGGTATTGGGACTTTCCTCCCTATTTAGGATATTCATCTTGCCCCTTCCTTGATAGCATTCCATCTTCCTGATCCTCAAGTAAGATGATGATGGTGATGGTGATATTTTAACAGGCATTTGTCCGGTTTTAATACACACACATGCACACACACAAGAACTATGCAAATCAAGAACAAAAAGGATAATGACTGCTATCCTTGCCTTTTTAATTTCCGACCTCCTTTGTATATCTTTCATTGTTTTAGATTCTTGTTATACGAGTCCCCGAGCATCTTAAAACAGAATGCTGGGTTCAAACACTTAATTAATAGTATGGCAAGACCTGCCTCAGGCCACAGTGACTGGTGGCTTCCTGTTTAATGTATTAGATTCATAGAAGACTAGAGTTGGAAGGAGCCAAGAGGGCCACCAGGTACAACCCCCTGCTCAGCACAGGACTCCCAGTTAAAGCATCCCTCTCAGAGAGGTCTGTCCACTAACTGTTCTTTAAATGTATTTTTTCCTGCTTTCCATTCAGGGTTCTGTTTCAGCTGAGAATCTGCCACAAAGTACCCTCTGGCAGGCCCCCTTGGTGTGGCATTAGCAGGTGGAAGTGCCCTGATGCGGCCACCGTGCAGAATTTCCCACAATCCCTTGCCACACACGGAGGGATTTGTGGAAACTAAGATGACAGCCCTCAGATCCTGCCACCTGGCACAGAACTTATTTAAAGTGATGAAGGATAGGCCTGGATGGGGACCAACCCAGCTCCCAGCTCCTGGGATTTGTTCCTTCTCTTTGGCATAGGAGCTTGTTGAATGTAAGAGGTGAGCTGCTTCTCACCGAAACAGTGGTGTTGTTGAGGAAGCGAAAGAGGAGCTGCAGGCCATCAAATGCTTGCTCAGATTATAGATAGGACTCTGTGGGCTCAGAGCCCTGTGAGCCCACGCCTGCCCCAGAGCTGACACCTGTAGCTCCTTTTGTGATGAGTCACCATTTCATACAGCACAGGAAGCTGCAGTTCCATTAGCAAGGTGAAGGAAAAAGGATTGAGTCACTCTGCAAAATCGAAACCAGAATGATTGTTTTGGAAAGGAACTGAGACTGGGGATGGGGAAGATTCCCTCCACCCCCCAATTCACATATGATGCAAGCTTATCTCATTTTGCACTTCTGAACCACCAGGCAACTCAGGGTTTTTGTTTTTTCTTCCCCAAAATGCACACTTCTCCAAATTTTCCAAGGGCATACTCCAGTCAAGAAATCCAACCAGAACAGGCGCAGTAGGGAAAAAGCGTCACATAAATGCATATCTTAGGAAACAGGGTGCTAAATGTTTGGTGCAAACTGAACTTGGGATTGGAAAAAACGAGCAACAGGTAGAAAGGAAAAAGGCCAGATTCAACCATCACCAAATGAGAGGCAAACAGGAGAGATTATGAAGAAACCTACTTACCCATGGTGGAAACTGCGATGAAGGTCGGGACGCTGGGGCTGTTGTGGCTGAAGGTGGTGACGCTGCAGTTGTAGGACGTGGCAGGCAGGAGGCTGGAGATGGTCACGACGTGTGAGGAAACTGTCACAGGCTCCTACATGCATTGGGTTGGGGGAGAGAGGTAGAGCATATTTTCAGAGACCATTGCTCACCCCAGAAGTGGAGATCCAATGCAGAATTTAAGATCCGTGCATTGTGCCTAAAGTTCATGCCATGTTCATTTACCCTTAACTGTATGCTTGCTTGCTCATCTATTTATTGTATTTTTATGCCACCCCATAGACTGGGGTCTCTCTGGGCACCTCACAAAAAGCAGAAATAACAACATAACTGTAAAAAAATAAAACAACATCTAAAACAGCATAAAACCAACCAATAAAAGGTGTGAGACAGGAGGATAATATGGACAACATTAGAAAAAACAATAAACCAGGAGGGTAATATGAACAACAATAGAAAAAACAATAAAACCAGAAGTGAAGAGCAAATAAGTTGCTGTGATGAAGTGGGGTCTCTGCTTTTGTCATCTTTATCGTGCACCATCTCCAAGGCAGTCCAACGCAGAGTGTGTTGTAGTAATCTAAGCTGAAGGTTGTCAGAGCTTAGATGACCAAAGCCATGCTTCCCAGACAGGGGGACAGCTGAGCCACCAGGAGAAGCTCTCTGTGCCACTGAAGTCACCCGAGCCTCAAGTGACTGTGACAGCTCCAGGAGAACTCCCAAGCTATGAACCTGCCTTCCAGTAGGACTGCATCAGTTCAGAACAGGTTATAACACCCTCTACCTGGCCAGAAGAACCAGCCACCAACAGCATTTCAGTCTTGCCAGGACTGAGCTTCAATTCATTAGTAGTTCTGTACTGCACTTGGATACCACCCAAGAGCTGAAAAGCTCTGGGTGGTTCAAAACAATTAACTCCTCTAATCCATTTTTGTAGGGAGATGGTGGTTTAACATGTTTCGATCTTATTCATTTATCATTTCTGAATTACCAGACTTCTATCCCGTCCTTCCACCAAGAATCTGCGAGATTATTATTGCCTCTGGTGCAACCTACGAATGGACTGATGGGTCCATCTGACCCAGCGGTTGTGTACCCAGTGACTGACCAGATGCCCATGAGAAACTACAAGTTGTACAGGAATACAGTGGCACCCTTCCACTCGTCCCTCAGTAACTGATGTTCAGCAGGTGCCTCCACTATTGAACCAGCACCTGGCCATCATGACTAGGAGCCACTGATAGCCTTATCCACGAATGGGACACGAGTTGCATCATGGGATCGTTCTGAAGGCGGTACTGAGTTCTCACACTCCTGATGGCAGGAGAGAAAGACAACAATGGGCAAGTCAGGCTGAGCCACAAGAGTGAAAGGACATTGCGTAAGAGGCTCCGAATGCTATGCAGGGCTCCTGGCTCTGAAATAGCAATGGGACTCGTGTCGGCAAAGAGCTTGCGGTGACCAAGCCAAGAGGAGCTGGCCAAACTGATGAAACCAGAGCACACCGGAACAGGAAATGACCACATTCTCTGCCTGACATGCATTATTTATTTTGGCGTAAGTCTCTGAGAGGGGGCAAGCAGTCCCTGGAGGAAAGCCAAAGGTCATGAGGCAACAGGAGAGAACGACCATCATCATCAGTGACCAGCAGGGCCACTGGCGGCAGCCCATTTTAATTCATTGATTTTTTTTTAAACAGAGTTCATCTCAGGTGACTAGCCAAACATAGAATTCAATAAACCTACATGAGTTAAACCATAAGAGAGCCCATGGTCAAAAAACAGAAAAACTGTACTCAAATCAGATGATAATCAGCAGTCTCTGCCTTTAACTAGGTTTTCAGGAAGCAAAATTCCTAGGTCCTGAATATCTCCCCAAACCAGAGATACTATTCACACAAAAAGAGGAAACATATAACCAAGAAGACAAGAAAGGTACAAGTTGCATAAATGTGTATCTGCAAGTATAAGTGTCTTGGTACAAATATAAAACAAGAATAATTGCTTAAGTAAAATGCAAGGCGGGATAGTTGAGAGACTGACCTGGCGACCGCTGTGGGTAGAGGCCCTCAGGAACCTGAACCTCTCCTATCCCCCTCCACTGCTCTTTGCCTGCTGAAGAGGCCTGGAGATCTCAAAATGCTGCACATTTTTGCCTTCTTCTGGCTGGCATACTAAAAGTACTGCACTAATATGGATTCTGGATTTTTTCTTAGGGTCAATGCACCTTTGGCTTGTTTGTGACACAGGGAGTGCCACAATTATGTTGTGAGCTGCCCAGAGGTGCTGTGGCACAACTGGCCAGCATACAAATGTTTTAAATACATAAATAAATATACGGTGATTAAATCAATAAATATATTGTGCATAGCCTACCCCAGTCTCATGTTCCAGGGTTAAATGCAATGCACTTGAGTTGTACATCATTGAATTGAAAGCCATGATTTTAAATTATTGACAGAGCCTCAAAGAGAAGACCATATTTAAACAGAGTGAGGCCTTCTAAATCTCAGCTGGTAAGGTGAGTGGGGAGGGGGCAGAGATGTGTGTTATCCTGAACTGGAAATCGAGCAAACACTTACCTGAATTTTTGGGTCTTGCCCCAAGCCAGCCTGCTGGCAGAAGACTTCAAAGAAATCAGCTACTCCCTCTTCTACCCAGAGAAGAGTCACGGAGGTTTGGGTCTTGTTCACAGCAAAGAGCGATCTTGGAGGAGCCGGGTCTGGGGACAAGAGGAAGGTCTCATGAACTGCATGTTGCGGCCATTTGGGATCCTACAGGAAAGGTGGCACAAAATGAAGCTCCGGGCAACACAAGATCTAGCTCTCCGTGAGCCTCCTTAGTCCTACAGAGAAGTTTTCACTGTTGCCAGTGTCACTCAGCAGCAAACAGGCAATTTTGAAACAGGAAAGCGCTCCAGAGCAGCATAACCTTTTCCCCTGCAGGCAATGATTACTTCACTTCCCTTTTCAATAAAGTCTTCATTGTGGTTGTGTGCTGGGAAGGGCAGGAGGACCCTGGGAGTTTCCACAAGACTTAGCACTATTGCTTCCAGAAAAGTCCTGAATCTATGAGAAACAGAAATACTCCCAGGGTGCTTCAGGCAGAATCACACCTTCCTCATCACGTTGCACGGGCCCTAAAATGACTGTGAATTTAAGTTGGAAATACTCGGGTTTTGTGCCACGTTCATGAGAGCTCATTAAAAATAACCGCTGAGTGTTCGAGAGCAAAGCAATACCGACTTGACAATGAAAGATCATTTCCTGGGAGCATGTGTGTCATTTTGATATGAACATTGGGAGCTGGAGATCAGAACATTGCTTTTCTCCTATTGATCTCCATATTCCTCAGGATGAGTAGTTTAAATCAGATTTCTGACAAATGACAGAGCAAACATACTTGTAATTCGTCCACAAGCTCGTGGACCTCTCCCATTGAATCCACCCATTGCCTAGCCTTGGGTAATTCTCCACCCTTGTCTGTCTGGAGTGTAGGGCTGGTGCTAAGGAAAAAGGTAACCAGAGGACTGAAGTTTCAACAGAGGAAATGTTAAGGAATGTACACGGTCCCTGCGACCTGCAAAAAAGATGAGGCTTTTGAAGAGTGCACAATGATAACCACAAGATGTGTGTCAAGAAATGTCAGTTTCCTCATTTCCCAAAGCAACTGTGGTTGTATGTCTCATGCTCCAAAACAAGAAGGTAAGTATCCTTTGTCACCCAAAAGCAGCAAAAGAAGCAAGCCACATCTGCAAATCAACTTTTAACCCATCAAGATAAAAAAGGTGTGCCAAAGGTGTATAAAGAGTGTTACGTTTCACGTTGTTCTTTGCTATTATCTCTTAATGATGTCACACTCTTGCTTATTGTGAAAGGACCACCCGGTTCACACCAGAGAGGAGGCTTCAGCTGCTCCTAATTTCGGGAGTCCCGCAACATCCCGCATCGAGTTGACATCAGGAGGTACCTGCCGAGGCCACATCCTAGCAGAACTCCCTGCTCCACCCGAGCTTTCTGGCCCTGCTGCTCCTGCCACCGCCTGTTGGTGTGTCCCTCCTAAGTAAGCGAGGGGCAGCTAGAGGAAGGAAAAGGGACAGCAGCTTCCCCCATAATGTCATGAACCCGCAGAGCAGGAGATGCAAAGGGCGATGAGTAAAGGATCCCAAGGGAGATGACCCAGGGGTGTTATGGGGGGGGGGGGGCCCTGTGAGGTCATCTTGTCCAAGTGCCTCCTAAAGCACAACTTGAGTCAGCCTTTCCTGACCGACATACAAGTATGTCTTTCTACCTTTCTTTTTCTTTCTTTTTTTTTCCATCTTTTATATTATTGTAACTAGATTTTCATCCTTCAGCTCTTCATCCTCCTTCATCCTTCTTCCTCCTTGTAAGATGTTCAGTTATCTCATGGAAGAATCCTGGCCGCCTTCCAATGTAGCCTCCTCTCCCACTTAATTGTGTCACTCCTCAATTTTCTCCAGACAGTATCTGGCCAAAGTATTTGACCCAGCGTTTTTCAGTTCAGTGGGATGCAGCAAAGCACCACTGCAAATACTGGATCATGCTTTGTGGGGGTGCGGGGAGAGCTGAAGAGCATTTATGGGTGTGTGGGGGGTGGGGTTACCTTACAAGTCAAGATTGGTCTGTCTGTCTGTCTGTCTCTGTCTGTCTGTCTTTTTTGAGTAGTTTGACTGCCCTTAGCAGCCTGGCAGATTCCCTTGGAAGCCTGGAACAAAACGACACGCATTCTTTCTCTAATACCACATTTCAAGCCACATCACCCTCCTGCTCCTCTCTCTTTCTGCAAATTTGCATTTGCACACCTGTATCGTTCTCACAGGTAAACTTATTTCTTCCAGCAGCACCTGTTTCATCTTACAAAAAATTGTTCTACCAGTTATGTTCTGTTGTAAAAAAAATTCTGCTCTGAAGTTTCCATCCAAATGTAAAATGGTTTATTTGCTTCCCATTTCATCTCGAAGGTTCTTGTTGGGCATTTCCTTGTTTATTCTCATTTAATTTCAAGCTGAAATTGAGCTCATTGTATTTACTCCACTCAGCTGTTTCCCTTCTGTACTTGCCATTGCTGCAGCATCAGCAAAACGTGGCTTTCTTCCTCCCATCTGATGTCTGACTCGGTGGTGCTTTCATTTTATTAATTGCATCCTTTTTAAAATATATATAACAGCACTGCACACCCTTGACAGAGTCCACTGCAAATTCTAGCTCTTTGTTCAACATAATTCACTCTACGTATAACTTACTGGGCTTTGCATAATGATATGCTATTATCACTTATTATCATGCTATTATTCTGCCCTCACAAATCAAACATTTTGGTGGCTCCAGACTCAGGGCTTCCAGCCATTGCCAGTCAAGAGGCATCAGGCAGCTATCCTGTCTTATCCTCCTCAACAGATCTTTCTTCCAGGTAAGATAAAACACAGAAGACATGGTGGGAAAACTTGGGAGGGTTTATAGGATGAAAACAGCCTTTCCTGGATTCCCTGCAAAATTCTATGAATGAGTCTCAATAAAAATCCTGTCTGGAAGCCCCACTGTTTTCTGAAATATTCCAGCCAAGGCTACCCAGTCTTTCTCTAGGTCATATTTTTTTAAAGGATGCAATCCCTTTCAGGTTTAGACAGATAAAGTTCTAGACTACAACTCCCAAGGTTCCCAGCTGGTTGGAGGAACTTGGGAGTTATAAGATTTGTTCTATCAAAAAACACTTAGGATGGAGCCTGTCATGTCTATTCCAATTTCTCATCTGTCCCCTGTTAATATGAGATTGCAGCCATGTGCTTTGCATGCATGGGGCTGCCCTTGCAAGGACTGAAGAAGCTGCAGCTGGTGCAGAACGTGGAAGCCAGATTCATAACAAGGACAAGAAAGTCTGAAGATGTAACACCAGCTCTGGCCAACTTGCACTGGTCGCCTGTAGGTTTCCGAGCCCAATTCAAGGTGCCCGTTTTGACCCAGACAGCGCTGCAGGGCTCCTGACCACATGAATCAGTCGGCACATGATGTTCATCGGCTAAAGCCCTCCTTGCCTCCTCCAAAGGGGGCTCAGAAGGGAGCAACAAGGCAGGTGGCCTTCTCACGGATGCAACAACCGTTCCCCGCCAAATTAGGGGAAGATCCCTCCAATGAGGCCTGCCTGGTGCCATCACTGTTCTCTCTTCCATGCTCATGTGAGACCTTCCTCTTCTCTCAGGCATTTGGAAGCATGTAATGAAGTTTGAAACAAGACCTAAATTCTTCTTATTCTGTGTGTGACAAGCCATTGTGTGTTGTTATGTCTTATTCATGGGCAACATCCCCATCCCCACAACACACTGCTTGTTGTTGGGGTTGTTGGACCCACGATGGGCTGCCATGTCATCTGGGTGACTATCCCATTGTGGGTTTTTTGTGATATCACAACTAGTGATAGTCCTTCGAAGTGTCCAAGCTGTTAATGGTTCCTTCTTTAGTGCAAGAAATTTACACAAATGTTTTATACTTTTAAAAAACAAATTAGCAGTCTTGGGCAAATGTACAAATGCTCACTTGCATGGAACTAAAATGGTAAGCCTTGCCCAGGCCATGCCCTGTGGCGGGTCTGCTGTCAAAGCATAGCAGATACACACTGTAGGCATTGACCAAGAAAGACTGCAGAGAACTTTACTTTTACCTGGTTTTCTCTTGACAGCTGTCAAAACATGAGCTGTCAAAAGCAGCCAAAGCCATGAATGATCCTTGTTCATAAACAAGGGAAGCCAGCAGATCCCCTCATCCTTCACAATGAGATTCTTTGCAGTCTTATTTTGTTTAGTGCCTACCTTTTGTCAGGTGCCAGTGAGCTGGTGAACCTACAGCTAATCCAGCATTTATTTGTCCATTTTTATTCGTCAGTGTAGCATCTGCCTTCATGTAGTCTGGACTATAAAAGTCATAATATGTTTTCAATAGTTCACATAAACTCAAATTTGCATAAATGTTGGGAAATGGTGTCAAAGGGGGATGGGAAACACAACTCTTTCCAAGGAATCTGATTCTCAGATCAGTTGCATTTTCTATTGTAACACTTCTTCCCCAGGTTTGCTCCGAAATGCATGTAGCTTCCTTCAACCTCCAGCTTTCTGCAGGTGGCGACTTGGCTCACAAGGTAATTATTTATCTCATTTCCATGCCACCTGCAGCTGCAGCTCTCTGGGTGGTGTAAGAATGACTTACCAACTTTCACAATCTGAAGTGCAGAAGTGTTGCTACCCATTTCAGTGCAAGCGGTTACTGAGAGGTTGTAGATGTCCCCAGGAGGCAGGCTGAGTACTGCCGTCATGACATTCCGGGTCACCTAAAAGAGGCAGTGAGTTAAATACTCCCCACACAGGATGCAGTTCCACAACACCGAAGACCAAACTTGCTTCAGATGTTGGAAGCAAACAGGAACACTTTGAAGATTGTGAGCAAGTACAGTTGAGCTATTCTTCTGTCCCACCTTGTTTGGAACACCTGCAGCTTTCTAAGGCTTCCAATGGGGAAAGCCCACCACCCCTCTAAGTGATTAACTCATTACCTAGAAGGGAAATGAGTTCTCCATTGCTAGAAGGCTTCAAGAAAAGGCTGTTCTACCTCTGGGTTTCCTGTTCCAAGAAGGTGGTTGGTTTAGATGGCCTGGTAGTCCCCTTCTAACTCATGATTTTACGACGGCTCTTCAGAAAATAGCATCAACATTACCTTGGGTGCTTCCTTTGTAGTCTTGGCACACACTTCCCATCATTATTAAACTCCACCTGCTGTGAAAGCAGGGCTTTCTCAGTGTTTTCAACTGTGCCACCCTAACCCGCCCTGGTGCTGTGACTGCTGGGCTCCCTCAAGCTCAGTGCCAGCTAGGGTCACACAGGATGAAAGGCTACTGGAGCTCTATCACAACACCGAGCACACCTCTCCTTACTTGATCCTCCTCTGATCTCCATGCATCGAACTAAGCTCTGAAGGGAGAGGCGACCGTACTCATGGACCAACGCTGTGCAATTGGAAGACGATGTGCTCAGCACTCCCAGTGATGGAGGGGGAGTTCCATGAGCACTGCCCGCTTCCCCCTTGAGGCTGTTGCTGAATGACTGAAGGCTGTGGGTTCGAGGTGAGCAGGCCCCGTGCTGGAGTCCCAGCTACTCCCAAAGCCCTGTCAATTGTATGCAGCCTTGCCGAGTGGATAATGTATTAAGGGGACTTAGATGTTTGGTGCAAGCCTGATTTCTGTGCAGGGTTCAGAAACAAGGAACATGTTTCAGACATTTGTTCAACCAAATAAAATACCCCGAGGAAGGACACGGCACTCAGGCTTACGCTCTTTTTAATCTTTTTCTTTCCTTCTGCAGTGACCATCCAGTGCAGCATCCTAGAATGGGAAAGGTCCGTGTTGTCATCACCATAGATCCAGCTGACGTAGAGGAGGTTATTGAAGTATTCCACTGATGTGATTTCGGGGGATACGGGAGCTATCAGAAAGAACCATCGGCATCAGCATCATTCATCCGTATTCAAAGGAGGGGGCCGAATGAATTTCTTGTGGCAGGGTGAAGGGGGTCCCCACCACGAATTCCTGTCCCTTATGCCAGCCAGTCCAAGGGACTTCACTAGCCCATCAGAAAGCAAGGAATACGGGACTTAATGGCCCTTGACAACAGAATGTGTGAAGAAGGTCCATATACTCACCTGGAATATGTGACAGATTGTTTTCTGACAAAGAATAAAACAGGAATGGACCAGCCTATCAGTATCTTTTCATTTTTCCAATCTTAAGTCTGGTTCTTCTGAAACTTAAGAATTTCTCTTAAGTTTATTTCCTCCCAAAATGTGAGAATGCAAATAAGAGCCATTTTTGTGCCATTTCTCCATATGCTTTTGTACAAATACAGGCCTAACAGGAATATTTTTCAAGCAATTTTCTGATATAATGCATTTTAATAGTTATTTCCACATTATGTATATTTTCATGCATTTTTACCGGAAAATGCCATTGCGAAATTCAGACAAGTGCAAATTTCAACAGACTTGATTTGTGTAGCAGTTCAAAAGTGCAAAATTAGTTAAGTTTGCATTAAAATGCAAAATGCAAACTGGATTAATTTCTCCATCATCTCTAGGCACAAGTCCTCTTGCGTTTAGTGCTCAGTTGTACCACCCATCCTATTCTGGAAAGACGCTTCATGATTCTTCCTATCTATCTGTATCTCTTCCCCTAGTCTAGTCATGAGTTCTCATGGCATGCAAATGTGTGCCGGAATTCTGCTGAAAACGCACCACTGAAGCATCAAAATTTCTCCTTCCTGTCACACACCAAAGTTCTGCTTTATATTACCATGCATCTAGAGCCCTAAAGCGCCGTAACAAGCACCTCGCCTTTGCAAGCACCAGTGCAAACTGTGCTGAAGACAAACTGAGAATAAAGACGACTTCATACAGCAACAAAGGAATGATGACAAGTGTCCACAGAATATAAAATGTTACCATGTGGTTTGAGGGACTGCAAAATGGTCTTTTTTGAGTTCCCAGTTAGGAAGGAAACCAACTGAGCGTGGATTCCGCAGCTGCATGTGTGAAGCTGGACGTTCATGTCCCAGGGTTCTGGGTGATGGTGAGTAACACCCAAAAGGGACTGGGCTTCTTAGTCACAGGCCAGAAGCGTTCCTTTCTTTTTCCCTGTGCTGCTAAAGCGGCAGCAGCAGAAGCAAAGCTTTTCCTTTTGTGGCTCTGCACCATTTTCTCTCCTTCTGGCTTTGCAATATTCTAGGGAAGGCATGGCATAGCCAGTTTTGGGACTTACAGTCTTCCCAAGGTCCACTGTATTGGCACACAAAAAGGGTTATAAATGATTCTGAACTGTGGGGTAGACAGCTCAACAGAGGATCTAAATGAATCCATATTTTTATGAACCCAACCTATAGATTCCACACTGGATTCATCAATTGGGTTCTACAGACTTGCACAGTTTTTTAACCTCCATGTACTACTATGCAAAATTAGTCATTGAAAAATATGAAAAATATAGCAACACCATTTGAAAAACTGCCCGCTGCAGTTTAAAGAGTGAAAATTTAAAAGGAGGGATTGCCTATGGGGGCGGGGGGATTTGCACATTTTTGAAGTGCAAATTTGCATAAATGCGGAGTAAGACATTTGTGACACATCTGATTCTGTCAATGAGCAGATGATGGAATTAAAAGTACTGGGCAGTCTGAAATGCAGCAGGAACGGATGTAACCAAGCTTGTCCTTCCATGCTACAGGCTTGCTTCTTCTTTTGCTAATTTAAGCATGATGCATTATAGCTGCAGCAATGCATCTTACAACATCTTAAACACTAATGCATTTATTCTGGCATAAGCTCTTGTTGACTGGGGTTGGGATGAACCCTTTCTAAAGGCATCCCTCTCACCTTTGCAGACTTCCTTTAATGCATGGTCCAGTCCTGCAAAGTGAGCTGAGTTCAGGAATGCCCACATGACCAGCAATCTTCCACGACAGGTGCAGCCACACACAGAGTGGCTACAGGATGCGAAAGAGGGGCTGCGGAAGCAGTTGCATCAGCTGCCATTCCCAGTGAGAAACCTTCTTCCTTGCCCAGTGCAGCTGGCAAATGTGACACTATATTCTGTGCTTTGGAAATCTGCTCAGAGAGTCCCACTGGACTATTGATGAAGCAGAATATAAATTCAGAAATAAATAAATATTCCACCTGCAGGCAGGCAGTGGGGGGACTTCCTGGCCCTTGCACACCTTCACCAAAACATAAAAGCCTGACTTTAAAGAGCAACAGCAGCTACAAGTCCTCCACACACACCCACAGCTGCCTGGTACATACTCACCAACTCCTGGTTTACCTGTTATGAAGCTGATGGTGGAACCGTCACAGCAGCTGAGTTCCGGCTCTCCCCAGGTCACCATCGTGACACGGAAGTTGTAATACCAGGCAGGAAGCAGGTTGCCTATTCTCTGAAAGGGTGGAAACAACCAGAAAGGAGCAAATATTAGCCCTTGAAGAAGAGGGATCTGAGAGTGGTGTTAAGGTTTAACCCTGATGGTCCTTGGGATGAGAAGCTTGGCTTAATGTCTGTTTTTACTCTCCCTCTGCACATTGACAGGTGGCGATGGTCCATGCATGTCTAGCAAACTGGAATGACCAAGGCAGGGATGGGCTGCTGGTTTTTGAGGCAGCCTCAGGCTAACTCGAAAAGATCTCCAGTTCAGGCCTCTGGCAAAACCAAACTCTTCCTTCCCACTCAGCCTGCTGTATGGAAAGGAAGAGGGAGCGAGGGAAGAGCAGGTGGCAGAAAGAGAAAGGGAGAAAACAGACGAGGCGTCCACGCTGGGCTCTGGCCCTGTTGACCATCAAACTGTCCCTCTGACAGATTCCCAGGGGGGAACACAGTACTCAGCCAAGAAAAGGTGGAACACCCCTGAGCTAGGAAGTGAAACACACAGCATTGTTGAAAGCAACAGTCTTCCACTCTGCAATGCCTGCAGCAACTTCATTCATTCATTCCATTCCCACTCTGCCCAACAGCCAAAGCTCTGGAGGTTTACGAAGATGAAAATCCATTACGAAGTGACATGGAGCAGGTGACACAGAGGAAAGGGTCTCGGCCGTGGTGGCACCCCAGTTCTGCAATGCTCTCCCCAGAGAAGCTTGTCTGGTCCTCACTTTGTGGTCTGCTGAGGGCCTTTTTACTTTCCTAAGCCTTTGCATATGTTTAGGGCACCATCCTGAACATAGACGGGAAAAGCTGCCACATCTCCCACCTATGGCATGATGGGGAACCAACATGAACCATGGTGGTAATGAACTATGGTGACAGGTTGTGGGGCCAGGCAGAAAAGCTACTGGTCCCCTCACCCTTTGCTATCAGATCTTGGGGTGCTTCCATTCCAGGATACAAACTCCTTGATTTCTGATGTTATGTAAATAAGTATTATTTTATCATCATCATCTATAAGTATCATCATCATTTATAAGTATTATTATTATTTTATTTCAGTGGTGCCCAATAGCTGAAGAAGACCAAATGACAGTGTCCCTGCACAGATGGATGCATAAAAAGAACTTTCCAAGTACTTACTTGCCTAGAGCTGAATTTTGCGTTTTACTTTTTCTCCAATTGATTTTGTATTTATTTACCTACTGTGTATATGCCACATCAAAGGTCTCTGAGCAGCTTACAGTGGCAATCAAACAATAAAATGCAACTGTGAATAGAGCATAAAGCTGTGAAAAAAGTCAATAAACAAAATGCAGAAACAAAAACCCTGAAAGGAACACCAGGGAGCAAATAAAGTTTGAAATTTTTAAATTAAACATTTTGAGGTACAATCCTATGCATGTTTAGATGAGAGAAAAGTCCAAGTCTTTTCTGCCTAAACATGCTTGCAAAAATAAAAATATCTTCATCTGTCCTCCCAAAGACAACGAAGAGGATACCAGGCAAGCCTCTCTGGGGAAAGCATTCCGCAACCGGGGTGCCACCACCGGCAAGGCTCTTCCCTCAGGACCAAATGCTATGATCCTCTTGATAAGTGAACCCAGAGAAGAATCTCTGAAGGTCTGGTGTCTGGAGAGGTACATACCAGAGGAGACAGCCCTAATGAAAAAGGCCCTGGCCATAAAATATCCTTCCAGCTATCAACTGAAAAGCAACTTATGAATACTTCTGCATATCCATAATTAACTGCATGTTGCGTATGCAGCAGGCTTGACAAAATCTTCCTCGGATCTTTGAAAAAGACCTGTGGGAATATTCCCATAAGCAACTGAATATTAATACATGAGGCTGCAAACAGCGCACTTTACCACTGATGATGTTAAAGAGACGGTAGCTGCTATTTCGTAGTATGTCGTCCACTCTGAGGTCATGGTTGACGGGTTGAAATAAAACATTTCTACTATGTATTTCCGGAAGACACCAAGGTATGGCCTGTTCCAGCTGAGAACCACAGCAGTGGGGCCCAATGGATAAAGTGTTAAATCCTTTATCCCGGTTGGCACTGTTAAACAAACGGAGAACTAGTCATATTTTTACCTTTAGCTGCAGCATTTTCCACTACAGACATGGAGCAGGTGTGTTTGCAAAGAAATTCAGCCGTCGTGCAAAAGTCTTTTGAAAAAACTGAGGCCACAGATACAGTGTTGTGCATTCACAACATGCCATAGTGGGGCCATAGATACAGTGTTGTGCATTCACAACATGCTGTAGTACAGCAGCAATCAACACGCAGAACTCTGTCTGTCTACCTAGTATTAACAGTTGAATCTCACCTTATCTGCTAAAAAGCCATCAGAGCTGGTGTACTACCATTTCAACAATAAAACAGTAAAACAATGATAAAGGATCCAACCATCTGCATATGTCGGACAGCTGTTCCCATCAGCGGTAGCCAGCATCCCTAGGGAAACTAGCAGGTAGCCTACTGACCATTTCGAAATGGACAAAAGAGTAACAACGGCAGCAAATCAGATTTGTTCAAGCCCCGGTATAAACGGTGGCCCCCATTATCAACAGCCAGTCGCCCCCCGGTTTCGGTTCAGTGGACATCCTTGCCATGCGTACTGTGAGTCACCCAACTGCATGGTGGAAGTGAGAGCGTGTTTAAGTTATAATCCTATGCATGTTTGGACAGGAAGAAAAATCTTGCAACTCCCAGCATTCCCCAGCCAGCCATGCTGGGCATTGTGGGACTTTCTTCTGTCTGGATGTGCGGACAAGTGCGCCCTTAAGCATCTCAGCCACTTTATAGGCATTCCACATGGCCGCCCATGTGTGAACGGTGCTTATGTGCCTAAAATGCAGCATTCAAATGTTATCTGGGAAAACTGATGTGGAAAAGAAACTTCTGTACTCTGGATTTTATGCAAAAAGGCCATATAAGGATGCTGGGTTCCCCTATGGATGAAGAGATGCATAGCCGGATGGTGGTGCAAAGGGTGGAGATGGATAAGACCTTAAACGCCAGTGATCTGGTCCTACAAATATTCTGTTCAGCCTGGATCCATAGGCTCTGCTGGATGCAACCCAGCAGCAGCATTCTGATTGCCTTCCCTGCAATGCAAAGGACTCTCAAACGGCAAACCCCAGCAAGAGACAAACATATAAGCTGATTACCAATGGCAAATGTAACAGGATCAGAAGGAGGCCCAACCAGTGGTCCCTTCCGTAAGTAAACCACAACTTGGTACTGAGCACCAGGAACTAGGTTTTCGATGAAGTTGCTGCTTGAATTCACCTAGAGCAATGAAACAGACCATGCATGAAGGCAAGAAGAGATAGGAAGGCATGCCTAAAGTTGAGGACTTGGCAGACCTCTGTCAGAAATTCTACAATTTTGTACAATTCTGTTGCGGTTACACTCATGATGACCCTATGAATGAAGGCCCTCCAAGATGTTCTGCCCTGCACAGCTCACAAATGGACTCTTCTCCACTCCTATTAAAGGGTTGCCAGTCATGTCCTCATTTGCATCTGGCAGGTCCATCTGGTCAGGTGGTGCGATTGCCATTCATGCAGTACGTGAAGGAGACTCAAATGCCTTTGCACTCTTTCCTTAACTGCGGCTTTAAACATGGCAAAAGAATCTGACCACACAATCCTAAGCAAGATGAGGCAGAAGAATGTCCTACTGAATTAAGCAGGGCTTCCTCCCTACAAGTCCATTCGGGATTCCACCACAGGGCTACCATGGGTGCAGTGGGTTGATCCTGACCTAGTCATGCTTAGAGTAGACCCACTGAACACACTGGGACAAGTTAGTCATTCTAACTTGGGTTCCACGGGGTTTTGTGGACTTATTTCAGTGGGTCTGCTCTGGGAGTCTCTAGTCTGCTCCAAGGGCTCTGCTCCAGCCCTCTCAACTCAATCTGCGGCTGCTTCTCACCTCAGTGCAGTAATGCTTTTCAAGCCTTTGGTTCTCCTTCTGCTTCTGGCACGTTAAGGACATCACGGACACAATTGTGCTGCTGCTGCTGCTCATCTCCTGGGATGCGGTCCAAGAGAGCGAGGCCGTGGTCAAGCTCAGGACAGTCACCACGACATTCCGAGGCTTCTCCGTCAGCTCTTCTATCAATTCCCCTGTAGGACCTAAAAGAGCACCAGAAGAGGTGGCAGTCATCCTCAGTGGTTGGTCCTCCTTTCCAACCAAAGGTTGACAAATCATTGTGTTGGATCCGGACTCAACATTTGAACTTAGTTCCCATCAAAACCAGTGTGACTTAGATCCTGACTAACTTGTCCCATTCATTACTAGTACATCCGTACAGCGCAACCTATACAGGCCCACAGAGAAGCAAGTTCTACTAAGTTCAGCCAACCTACTGCTGAGTAAGTGCAGATGGAGCCGCACCGTTCATCTGATCTAAAGGTGTTTCTCTGCATCCAGATGTTTTTCGCACAGCTCCAATGCTGGCTCTGTATTGGCTGCATTTCAGGGGCAAGCAGCCAAAGTTGCAAAGAATAGTCATGGGTTTGGGAAGCATGACATGTGGGAGGACCTCTTTCCTATTGGCCTTTTCCTATTGGCCTTCTCCCACCATTCAAAGCCCTACGATACATTTCAAAGGCAACCATTGGCCAGCCTTCCTTTTGTTATGCAAACAGCTGGGAAATGGTTCAAGAGCGTCAGCTGGCATTCCATCCACGTGAGCTAGAGAGCAGGAGATTCTCTCCTGACAGTTAATTTCTGTGTGTGCTTTTGAGAGACCAGAGTCACACATCTTTAGCTAAGCAAAGGGGACCGATGTGTGAGCGAGTGAAAGGTGGGGGAGTGAGTTTAGAGCTGGTGTGAGCTGAAATGGCGCAGCTTGGGGGCTGGCTAAGTAGGTCACCGGGGGATCTTTGCAGGAGAGGCTGCTCGTAAGTCTCTGTAGGAGGTCCTCCTCATAAATAAGGCAAGTACTGTGGTGATGCCTACAGGGAGTCTCTGGCATCCTCTTATTCAAAGAAAGCTAAACATGGCAGTGTCGTACGGGACAAGTAGCTGCTTTTGCTCGATGGCGCTGTGGGAGGTTTTCAAGTGCCAGCACTCATGAGGACAAGCTCCATGACCATGCCCCTAAGGGGAGTCTAAGAATGCAGGCAGCTGTATTGAGCAAATCCATTCCGACCATTACAAAAAACGATCAGGTGTAAATCTGTGAATGAAAGGTTCTCTAGATCAAGCCATCCCCAAATATTTGGCATTATAATAAGGATAACTCACTATAATATATTGTGGCTGGGAAAGTCTCCCCTTTCCCCAGAGCTACTGTGAGTGTTGTGGCTCAATTCAAAGGAAGAGGTAAGGCCACCATAGAAACAGAGAGGCAGAGTGAGTCAGAAGGGGTCGCCTGGGCCCCCAGCTCCAGCCAGCTCCACTCATGACATGCCTGCCATGTGCCTGTCCAGCCTATGCTTGAACAGCCTCGTCAATGGGGCCTCAACCACCTCCCGTGGAAGCCCATTCCACGCCCTCGGGGTCCTGACTGTCAGGAAGTACTTCCTGGCATCCAAACTGAACCTTGGTTCACTGTGCTTTGCTCCATTGGGCTGCATCCTGACCTCCTCTGCAGGGCAAAACAGGTCTCTACACACCTCCACCATCGTCCCTGCTAATCAGAAAGTCTGGGTACATTGACCCTGAGAACCCTGGTTCCACTACACCACCAGTGGCTGTTGTGGGAACAAAAGAGCAAGGACCAGAAAGCAGAAAGAAAATGTCATTTATCACCAATGAACAGATGCATTTACTGTTTCTACTTTTGCAGATATTCATGCATAAGATGAGCATTCATAGACTTACTAATGTAAAAACTAAGAGTTTTGGCAGACTGGCTTTCCCGAACTTCACACGGACCAGAGGAGCTAAATGTGGTAACAGATATAGTGTATTTCCCTGGTTCGTTCAGATCCGCAACAAATTCATGAATGTCCTCGCCGACTGTCAGGAATTCTGTGACATTTTCTGAATCAAGAGACAAGAAGATCTTTGAAATAAGTGAAATCTGAAAGGTTTCTTGCCCTGCATGTACTGATCCATACCCAATGCCCCAACGTTAAATTTGCTGCAGAGTTACAGGACAAGATTCATTCAAGGGGGCTACTGTCATGTAACATTTTTCATGAATTATGAATGGCCGGAGTTGCTGCACAGAAGCAAAATAAGCAATGGGACAAAATTCCTTAAGAGAGACGAGTCCTCAAGAAAAAGTATGCACATGACAAAATTAAAAGATAGCACAACTAATGAAGGGAAAATGTGTGGCTTTCTGTATTTGGAAAGCTCTTCTCAAGGCAAAAAAATAAAAAAAAACAGCAAGTGGATGCATTATAACAAAAATGGGCAAATCGTTTCAAAAAAGGCTAGACTGCAAACCTGTCTAGAATAGTAATATTTACAATTATATTTTAAATGATTTAATGTGATATTTAATTATAGTTTTCCATGAAAAACGTAAATGAAACACAGCACGCCCATGAAGAGCAGCAAAATCAAATCAAAATAGCAGTCAACTAATTCACATTTCCATATTAAATCAAACATCTCATATTTCATGGCTGGTTTAATCAAGAAACAATTGCTCCGAAATCCAGTTATGCAAAATCCTTCCACCTGTGTCCTTAGTCAGATGGGGAACTGCCATGCAAACAAGCACAGTGCGAGCTGTAACACCCACACCCCATTTAGCAGCTTGGATCGTGTGCTCACAGCCTGGCAAAAGCCCAAAATCCCAACCATCATATGTTCAGGAGAGTTGAGGGGCTGGAGGAAGGTTCCCCCCAGCCCCGCTCCGCCTTCCCCACTCCTGGCAGACAGCTCGATTGGTGAGAGTCTATCTTCATTCACTAAGGTATGGATATCATGCCTGCTGTTCAAGAGTTTGGGTGGCCCTTGGACAAGAAGCTTGCTCCCTGTCTGGACACAACTTAGGAGAACGTGGAAGAGGTACCAGGAGTCCCTCCTCTTGCCTGCCGTACCCACTCAAATTGGGAATGGGAGGGCAGGGAGCAGCAGCCACAAGAAGCTCTATGGCTGTGAGGCTTCAGCAGCCCTGGGCCTTGGCAAATGCCCATCAATACCAACCCCTGCACTGAAGCTCTTTTTACCAGCTTAAATAGAAGAACATTTTTAATAAGCTCCGCACATGTATACCTCACGTGAAAATTCACTGCCTACACAGTCTGGTTTATTATGCATCATACTTGGGACCTGAAATGTCAAGGCAAGCCAGTAAACTCTGAGCTTCCATACAGCCTGGAGGGACTGATCCTGCCTGATCTTGAAAGCTATGCAGGGACAGGCCTGGTTAAAACCCGGATGGAAGACCTGAGTCTTGCACTGAGCGGACAGCTGGGCCCAGTGGCCTTTTAGGCCCCTTCCAACTGTATGCATGCTTCTGTGGGAATAACAAGGACGCTCTCGTTCCGCTCGCTCCTGGCACCAGGGGCTGCGGGGCTGGACACTCGCTGATGGCCTGCTGTCTAAATGCAGGCATGGGATCATCCTCCCAGGGAAAGTGCCTTGCGGCAGCAAAGCAAAGAGCACCAAGCGAGTCACGCCAAGGACGCACCCCTGGGGAAACGGGGGACTGCCGCAGAAGCCCTGCTGCAAAAGCCCCCCCGGGGGGGGGTCGCCTTTGGGAGGAGCGCCGGGGGAAGCAGGAGAACCACTTTCTGGGGCTCTTCGTAGTCCCTTTAGCTCATTAGAGCAAGAGGTCCCCTGCCCAGTTCTCTCTGAGGCTCTCGCATCAGGAAGGGCTGTGGGGGAGCCTACAGTCTCACCAAGGCTCTTGGGTGATCACTGGGAATGGGAGGGCATTTTCTGCCTGCGGGGAACAGAACAGCGGCTCCATCGTGCTCCAAGAAGCCCTTGGCCTGCAAGCGTCGCCGCCACTCCGCGTTGGGGGGCCCTGCAGGGACTCAGGTCTGCAGGGAACGCCTGGAAGAAGCAGTGTCGAATTTCTACAGGCTTCCGAGCCTTTGGGGGTGGGGGGTCGAACGGGGTGTGACGTTGTCGGCTGCCATGTCGACTCTCCTCCAGGCATTCTCCCAAGGGGGAAAAGCACAGGGCTTTGGGGTGACGCTGGCAGGAGAAATAGCGAGGAGAGGAATAAGGTGTGCGTGTGTGTGAGTAAGTAAGTAAATGGGAGACCAAATGCAGGCAGCGGAAAAGAACCACATTTGGGGTGAGGAAGACAGGGAGAGAGTTGTGGTCTGCAGGGCAGGGAAGGAGGAGGATGCAGGCAGAGAAAGGGCTCCTCTCTGGCCAGGAGGGAGGGAGCGTGTCCAAAAGCTGCAGTCTGGGTGTGCCGGGGCGAGGAAGGCAACACGGAGGGGCCAGGGAGGCCCTCCAGCACGAAGAGGGAGGTGGCTGCTTTGGAGGGCAGCTGCTGCTGGAAGGCAAGGTGAGCGAGGGCAGAGTTCGGAGCCACCGCCTGACCGTCGCGCAGGGCTGTCGCTGCAGTGGAGCCCCGCACCCCCTTGCCAGTGCTGAAGTCGGATGCAACTGCTGTCCAGTTGGATCCTGTACATGGAACGAAGGAGGGGTCACGATGTCCTTTGCCGCAGGTGGCCCAATCTCTTGGGCTGGCCCTGGCGAAACTCATGGGCACACAGGCGCGAGAGCTCACCAGAACTGGCAGCCTGCTCTGCTTCTTCACGGAGCTTTGACTGCTATGCTGCAGGTGCCCTTCGCAGAGCTGCCCTTCCAAGCAGCATGGGGCATTTTTATTTATTTATAAATGTATTAAAAGCTTTTCTATCCCAGAGCAGAACGGGACAGAATGGGACGGCTTGCAATAAATAAGTAGAATAAAACAAACCCCACCGCATCCGACCATTAATATACTAAAACCCCCATTAAAATCAATTAAACATTAAAATAATGGGAAAATAAAAAGGGTTTTGCCTGACGCTGAAAAGAATATAATGTCGGTGCCAGGCGAACCTCTCTGGGGAGCATATTCCATAGTTGGGGCGCCACCGCAGAGAAGGCCCTCCTTCGGGTAGCCACCCTCCTGATCTCCTTCAAGAAGGGCTCCCGGAGCAGGACCGCCACCTCAGATCTCAAGGGGCAGATGGGCACATAGGCAAGAAGGCACTCCTTCACATATCCAAGCTGTTTAGGGCTTTATCGGTCATCACCGGCACCTTAAATTGGGCCTGGACTTCAATTGGCAGCCAGCGTAACTGGTAGAGGACCGGCGTTATATGCGAAAACCAGCCAGTCCCCATTAACATCCTGGCAGTTCTATTCTGAACCAAGTTTACCTTCCCTCTCTATATGAATGTGGAAGCCATCGAATGCCGTGGGTGGCTTGGGAGGCAGCCAGCTCAGCACCATTTGCACTGGCAGGAGTGAGGGGGCGGCTGCTGTCGGCTGATCAAATTCCACCGCAGGGCTGAGGTTCTCATAATCTCTTGGCATCGCATTCACAAACTCATCCTCGTTTTCAGGAGGGTCGGCCTCATTAATCCACCAATCTGGCTGAGACGTGGTTTCATAATCGCTACTGTTGAAGTGGTCATCCGGCCACAGGAGGGACGAGTTCGCTGTCGGGAGTTCGGGCAAGTCATTCACGACGTGGGGGATTTTCTCCTGCTCCAAGACATTCTGGGTTGCCAGGAAAGGTTCTTCTGGAAAGTTCCCACTGTGTTCCTCCCAGTTCTCGTGGCTGTTCCTATGTATGATACGCACTGAAATGTTTCGGGGAGGATAAGGAACTGGAAAGAGAGAAAATGGACTTGAGAGCAGTCATGTTCTTTCTTTCATCCAAACACTGAAAAAACATACCAGAGTGGAGGACCAGTGATGCACTGGGAATTTTATGCCCTGGACTAGAGATACTGAAGAAACTTGCAAGAGATTCTAGTAAGTTAGGAGGATTTCTATGAATCTGACTTGCAGATTCTACATTTTAAAAAAAGATTTTATAGACCTTTTAAAAGAAATCTATAAAATCCATGGACTTGTGGATACTTAATTTTTGGGGGGGGGAATTGTACAAATGCATATTTGCGCAGGTGCACACCTATACAAATGTGCATTTGTGTAAGTAGAGGTCTGTGGAAGTGTGTTTCAGCTTCCATATAGCCTGAAGTGCCTGATCCTGCTTAATCTTGGAAGCTAAATGGGGTTGGACCTGGTTGAAATCTGGATGGGTGACTCAAATATTGTGAACCGGCCAGAGAGCTTTGGCTGTGGGCAGTATAGAAATGTAATAAGTAATAATAAATTTGTACAACTGCACGTTCGTGCTAGTGCACATGTTCAAATTCAAATGCAAGTCTAGGAAATCACATCAAAATTCTGAGATTTGTGTTCCTACAAATATCCATGTTTGGGGGTTGGAACAGGACACACTTGTATGATCTGCAAACAGGAATGAAATTCTCCTACTTCCCTAAAATAGATTCAGTCAGTATGCAGGCAAATGATTTCCGTGTTCCTGGTAAATCATGTTCGCATCCCTTTCCATTGCAAAGTGTGGCTGCAAACTCCACCCTAGCTACACCAGTGCAAATATATTAGTGTGTGCATAACTGAGCTAATAACCAGGTCTTCCTATTCTTCCTGACTTTGTGTTGGATTTTTGCTGGCCATGTTCTGTTGCTTTGTGTGTTTTCCAAATTCATCCTCACAAAAGCAACCAGGAAAAACAGGGGGAAGAGAAAGTGGGGTCCGTGCCTCCTCGGTTTAGAGCGGCATGCCCGACCTGCTGCTGGGATTATTTCTTGGGCACACTTCCAAGTCGGAATTAAAAGAGGTTCTAGACTTTGCCCTCATGTCATTTTCAATTCCTATAACATAGCTATCTTGTCAAGCTTTTTTTGTTCTTTCTTTTAAGTCTGAAGTCTTCACGCTTCAAGGCATAAACGGATCAAGTGGAGGAAGTTGCGGAGGGTGAGGAGGGGCTGCCGAAGAGTCGGTCAGCCTGGCCCCCACTCCTGCAGCACGCTTGCTCTTAGCCCTGAGCACCCTGCTGGATGCAATGAGCTCCCTGCGAGAAGGAAAACTGACTTTGGGGGGTGAGCGCTCACACAGACACCCCTCCCAGGAAGGGCAACACAAGGTCAAGGTGAGGAGCATGTGGCACTCCTAGGACTGCAGGTCCCATCAGCCCTACCCAGCACAGCCAACAGTGAGGGATGGTAGGAGATGGAGTTCAACCCCATCTAAAGGACCACATGTTTCCAATCCCTGCCGTTAACAGGCAACAGGCTGGACTCCTGACCAGGGACACACAGGAATGTCAGTGAATTGGTGCTAAATCAGACTAAAAACTGATCTTGCCCACACATCAACCAGATGCCCATGGGAAGTCCAAAAATGGACAGGAATGCAGCAGCGCTCTCCTACTCATGGTAACAGCCTCTCACCCTGGAGTCATGAGGACTAGTAGCATTGATCGCCTTAGTCACCATAAATTTTCCCAATCCCATTTTCAAGCCATCTAAACTACAACTCGTGGTAGTGAATTTAGCTATGTGCTAGGTAAAGAGCAACTTCCTTTTATTTGCCCTGAATTCCTCACCATTCAAGTTCATGGGATGATACCAAGTTCTACTCTTAGAAAGAAAGAGAAATTTTCTTTTTTTCCTAAGCCAAACAGAGCCAAACATTGTAATTGCAATCCTCACTCAGCCTTGACATCTACTGGGCATCTCTTGGGTCAGTTACTTTCTTTCTAAGCCTACCTCCGGGGCTGTTGTGAGGATGATCTAGGATAAGCCCTGCCTCCAACTCTTTCCTGCACATATGCCATGATGGAAAAGGGTTGTCTTGCCAGTCTTTCATGTAGTAATGCTCCTTTTACTGAATTTCAAGATTAAAGAATTCCCAGAATTGCAAAGCATTTTTGCACATGCTGGTGGGAAAATTGATAAAGCTACAAGAGCCCTTCCAGCTAATAAGCTGGCCACCTTATTATAAAATAAAAAAAATCTTATATTCTGTGTCCCACAGGTAGCATAAACTGAGAGAGAGGTTGCTATATGCTGAAATTACATGCCATGGCAAAACCTCAGCTTCTATGGACCCAATCTATTCTCCCTATTCCGACTGGGAATCTATTCTCCCTATCCCAACTAGAATTTCAGAGTACCTTTCCTATCTTCAAGCCTCCATCCCCCAAATTACAACAAATGCATCATATGTATGGTGAGTTATTTTAATCTGCAAGGTCATTTTTGAAGAGAAGCATCGGCTCTTTAGAGCTAGTCTCAATCTGGTGTCCTCCAAATGTGCAGGATGTTAATTCCCATCATCCACATGCACCAGGGATGATGGGGATTATAGTTCCACCCACCAAAAGGGGCCCAGTTGGGGAAGGCTGCTGGAATCTCTGGTCCACAGCGAGTTTCTAATTCAGAACTCCTTAATTTTCTCCGTGCCATGAACAAGACCCTTTTTTTATCTGTGATCTGCCTGAGCGGTCAGAGGAAGGATGCAGTCAGGGGATACGACTTGCGCACAACAAAGAAACAAAGGAGAAGACACTGGGGTGGACATGTGTCCCAGTTCACAGAGAACGGTCCTCTATTTGGAGGGGTGCCCAGTCCAAGCGTTGATTGAAAGATAAAGAACCATCAGGAGGAGGAGCTGCGCCAGAACCAGCCGGCAGCAACGGGACCGCAGGCTTCCTTCTCCCCGCTCCCTTTGGTGGCATTTTCTCCTGGTTTGATGGGCCAGTCGGAGCAGTGTGGCCTGCGCTGGGGGTTATTCAGGGTTCCTGCCACCCAGGGGGCAGAGGTTGTCTGCTCTGATGTAAGCATATACATTATACGGCCATTATATGCAAGCTGGTGCCCTCTTTTGCCTCGCTTTTGGCAGAGCGTAAGAGGATACACCAAACCGCTGCGTGAGCCTGGCTTGCTGACCCCTTAAGCAGGCTTTCTATGCTCAGAAAGGGGACCACCTGCCGAGAAACCTGCTAGCCTCCGACTTAGCAATGCCAGGAATAGAACCTGCATGTTTAGGAGCTGTGTGCTCCAGGCGTCAGCCGGGTCTGTGGCCACTGAGAAGGCTCCATCCACACAGGGCTGCTCCAGGCTCTCTCCACCACAATGAGGTCTTTTCCCCCGTCAAGATGTTTTGTGCTCCCACAACCCACGCCATCCCCGCAAACTTGTTGAGACCTCCTTCTTGTGCATGGAGGTACGCAACCTAAGGATCCACACTAGGATAATGAGTTTGCTAGTGGCACATTAATCCAACTAACCGGCAGGGCTAAGGGGTTGTATATCCAGTTTTACATGGATCATCCTCTGTTTGGGGCATTCTCTACCCAAAGGACTGCCCAGCCCAGTTCCAGTTCAAAGTCCATCAGGAACCATTCTCACCTGAATGAGCAGCCTGAAAGGGCAGGTACAATGGTCACAGCCTTGCACCATAGGTTGAAATATATTTATTAGGATATTACTAATCCGTCCGACACAAAACATCTCTGGATGGCTTACAGAGTAATAAATATCCAATAAATAATAACAAGATAAAACAATAATAAGATAAAACGCGACTGAGGATAAATAAGATCTGAATTAAGAAATTTTAAACTTTAAAATATTGGGTGAATAAAAAGGTTTTAACTTGGCACCAGAAAGCATATAATGTCAGCACCAGGCGGACCTCTCTGGGGAGCGCATTCCACAGCCAGAATTTACTGCATCTGTACCTATCAATCAGCAGAAGCACAGTTTCAGCTAAACTGGCACTCTCTTTTTGGAGATATGTGGGAGGGTGGGACAATTCTTAAACAATTATTCTAAGCAAGGTCCTATAATAAAGGCAGCAGAAAGCACGATTGCTCATAGGCCAAAGAGCAAGGGGGCAGTTAAGTCACTGTCGCTGAATGCAACAGACACACACACACACACACACACACACTTGTGTTACCTGTCCGGTGCTGCTTGGGTTCGTGCTTCACCCCACTGTATTCCACCAGGATGCTTTTGTTGAATGTCGCTTCGGACACCAGCTGAAAAGTGATGTTGTTGTAACATATTCCAGGCAGCCAGTGATTGTACACGGTTTTGCCTTTAAAGGAATCTGTTCGGCAGTGAAGAAATGGTACATATTAAATTAACACGACGATCCAACATCACAAACTGTAGCAGTTAAGTATTGCTTGACACTGTTGGCTTCAAATGTATTCAGCAATATCAGAATTTCCTATGCATCCCAGTCCCAGCCTTTCTCCCCACTCTCCTTCCCCCTTGCCTTCTTCCTGTCAAAAGTACTTAAAAGCTAAATGCAGGAAAGCAAACATGAAAGCTGGCAACGCCATTGCAACTGGCAACGTGTACGATCTGACACTAAACATTTCAAATAGCAAAAGGGATAATCTCTCCCCACCCTTGATGCTGACTGGCAAGAGGAAAAATCACCAAGAGACAAATTCTCTCGAACACCTAGAATGGAAATAAACCAAACATGGGCAAAGAGAGGGAAAGAGATTTTTAAAAGCAAAGATAGTTATGCTGTTCTTTGACTTTAAAAAAAGCCCAAAATCCGAGAAGGAAGGAGGAACCAAAATCCACACTTAGGCAACATCATTAGGCCTAATTTTAGATTTTTTAAAAATTTCTTTCCCCATCAGCTCCATCTTATGCCACTTGATGAAGAAGAGTTCCAAAGAGAGCTAGCAGAGTCTTGGCATTTTGGATGGCTCTTATACAGCTATTACTTACCTTTGGGGTTTGGATTTTCACCATGGATTTAAGAAATCCATGGCCAGCAACCAGCATTAGCCTTCCTGGGGGTAAAACTAATGCCATTTGGTTGGGAAGGGAGGAGGGTCATTCAGGTGGGCATAAGTGGTAATTTCCCTAATTAGCTGGCTTGCTAACTTGACTAATGTCTTTACTAATGACCTCTGCTGTACTCCTTCCCTAAACCCAAGCCTGTTGTGCCACAAAGGCAGCTGGGCTTGCCTGCTTCACCAGAAACATGTTTGTAGGTAGACACCTCCATCTTGATCTGCTTGGAAGTAGAAAGGGGAAAGACTGGCCTGGGGCACCGGTCCATTTCAGAGTATATCCCAGAGAGCTGGTTGTCCTGATCAGGTTTCCTACCTCCCCCCCCCCCCCCGATTTCACCTTTATTTTTTAAACTTAGTTAAAAAGAAATTAAGTGGGAGCAAAAACTGGCAAAACAAAGGACTGCCCACCAACACCAGTAATGGTTTGCATAACATGTTAGCACAATTCTTATGATTCATGAAGCATACAAAGAACTGAGAGATTTGTAAAAAGATGGTTGGGTTTGGCAGAGTGCCTCCCACAAAATTAGGTCTATTCAACCAAAGTAAAACAGTTGCAAAGGTAAACATCAGCTGCAGTATTTAAAGCTCTTAGATGGAGAAGCTCTGTCTGGACGGTACTCAAATGAGTTCTCTAGCCAGACCTACCTGCTGGGAAAGTATTACAGCAATGAGGAGGGACCTCAGGCAAGGGGCCAAATCCAGCCCTCCTAGCTTCACATCTGGCCTTTGGGGGCTCCTGAGAGAGCCCCACCATTTTCCTTGGCCCTTCACCAGAATTTTCTCCTTCTTCTGAAAGGAGCCTCCCCAACTCCTAGTTCCTGGCAGGAAATGTTTTAAGCTACATTATGTTGGTGGTTTTGTATTTTGGCTCCCTTCCTTCCTTCCTTCATTTGGCTTGTTTAAAAGCCATTCATTAGCATCATGCTCTCTGCCTTTGGTCACAGTTCCTGCAAGGTCCTTCAAAAATGAATTTGACTCATAGGCTGAAAGAGGCCCCCATGCCTGTATTCTTGACTGAGTAGGAAACTTCTAGCTGCTCAAATTGAAAACACTGGGTCAGCTTCAGAGTCAGTTGTACTAAATTTCCACTGAAATCAATTAAGCAGGTTAGCCATGACATGAGAAATCCCATTCATTTAACTGGGGGAAAAGTTGCACTAACTTAACCTAGATGCATCTGACTGTTGACTCACAAGGCCCAGCAACAGAAGGGTCTGCATGCCATGAATGAGCTGGCAAGAGGGGAGGGGATGCAACAGGGAAGGGTGCACACGGACAACTCTGGGTACTAACTTTACGGCCAACCCTCATTTAAGATTCACTTTCCACCCACCTTTGTATAACATCGTCCGGTAATCTTTCCCTTCCCAGTAGCTGATATTCACCCTGGTGAAAACATTGTACTTCTCTGGATATTGGATTTCAAACAATACTCCAGTTTCAGGTGATGGTTTATAATCATAGATGGAAACACTGGTCACAGGGAGGGGTTCTTCAAAAGAGCAAGAGAGGAAGGAAAGAAGGGAAATTAAGTCCTCAAGATATCAAGTTAGCCCTTTAGAAAGGAAGATCAAACATCTAAGAAAAACGCCTAATCTCGATTTTGGTAACATCAGTGCCAACACGGACAAGCTTTGGGGCATTATTCACCCCACATGCATGTACAAACTCATGCACACGCACGCACACATTGCTCGATTTTTCACCTCTTGGTGACTGGCAATTATGAGGACCGCCTCCCTTGCGTAGGGATGCCAAAGCAGGGTGATGGCCTCTTGTGGTCCATTTGGGCAGATGCCTGGGTTCCAGCCACTTTCTGCCTTCGGCTCCCTTTGCAAAAAATGCTGCCTCAGCACTTAAGTAAGTGGGAATCACCTGGATGTGGGAGAGCCCCCATGCGCCAGTGTACCAGCTCACAATGATCCAGAAAGATGCTACAGCAGCTCATTGTAGGAAATGAAAATGGCACTTCTCTACTCCCGCTGTTGCCTACTGCAGGCGCCAGGCAAGTCCACTGGCCTTCAGTGAGCCCCCTGGAAGGCACATTTTTGATGGCCTCCTCAAGCTTGGAAGCGTCCCTGCATGAAAGTCCATTCTGCTCACTGGCGCATCGGTGCACAAGGGCTGGCTCACAAACAGCTTCATCTCTGACTAGAGCTGTAAGGAAGTTTCAGTTCTTTTTCAAACCATGCCCTGTTTCCTACCCTAAATATGGAGTAGGCAGAAGCCGTTTTTTCAAGAAACATTAACAAATTCTGGAATCCCCAATAGCATTTAAAAATGCATGTTTTTTTAAAGTGCATTTTGGGATGCACACTTTAAAAAAACAAAACACTTGATTCAATGGGAGGAAAATGCACAATTCTGAAAAATATGCACAGAAATATGCTATTTCCCATTCAAAATGCAGTCTCTTGAACATGAAGAGCCAAAAGAACAGGTCAAAAGTAGAAGAGATCTGCCGTTGACTAGAACCTATGAATAGATCAGCGCAGGTATAATGACAGAGACAGAAGAAATTCCCAGTCACTTCACACATAACATGCAAAAACAAGCCAGTTCAAATTTAACTTCCACTCGTCAAGGAAGCTTCCAACATCCAATGGATGACTTCCCTCATACTCTGACTCCCTCTACACCAACTGGTCCCCATCAAAAGCAAAACTCAGAAGCCTTCTTATCACTTCGTTCACTTACCAGACAATTACCTTGGTGCTCCAGAAAATGGCATTGCAGCTCCCAGTTTGGGAAGCATCCCAGAGCTGCGCCCTCCTTGTGTCTCCCCCCCACCACCACGACCATTCAGCAACTTACCTGTTGGTCAGCTGGACAAAGGTGGGCATTTTGTGGTGCTTCAGGTCCTTTGGCTTACAATTCCCATCATCCCCCACCATTGGCTATCCTGATAGATCTGATGCAAGCCGTAGGCCAAAACATCTAGGGAGCCACAGGTGGCCAAGAGCTGTTTAAAGGCAAGGTCAGATTTCCCCCAGACAATTCAGAGAACGTCAGAGGAACACCCATGTGCCTGTAACATTCAGGGATGCCTCATACAAAGCTGTTTCACTAGTAACGGGACAATATGGGAGTCAATGCAATGTTCTTCTAGAACTGGGAAGCCAGAGTTCAAATCCATGATGTTCCCTGGGTGATCTTAGGCCAGTCACTCTCCTAATTTCACCCACCTCACAGGGGTGTTGTGATGATAAGAGTGCATGCACATGTGTGAGGAACCTGGCATAGTGCTTGACCTCCTGGGAGGAAAAGTAGGATACAAAGGTAATTCATGCAGTTTAAGGTCAAGTTCACATGTGTTTTGGGCATCGGATCAGGCAGTCAGTGGGGCAGGACCTCAGGACAAGTCCAGGGCCCAAGCAGGCAGGGTGGTCCAAATGAGCATCCAAAAAATGACCGGTGAACACAAGAGAACTCCACCTATTGGGTGGTATCAAAATGAAATAGCCAAATAAATGTTTGGCCATCTTGGCCCCCAGGGGTGTTATGCGGTCCAGCAGGACTTATACTGATGGATGCAGATCTCTTCCTATTTAAAAAAAGATTTTAATGTTGGGGCAGCTGGCTGGATATGTGCATGACCAGAGGTGCTCTTTTTATTATTTTTACTCTTGACAGATGTGATGCTTTTGCACTACAAAATGGTGCTTATTCTCAAAGAACTGTATTTATATCTGGCAGTGGAAGCAAATTCCGTGCTCTTCCTAGAGCTGCGAAAGTGTTACAGTTTCGGTGAGCTCAGAATGTAAAGCTACACATGCTCAGCATAATTTCTTTTTTTTCTCTGTTTGTTTTCGCTGGTGGCATTTGCTCTTCTACAGCAAGAATGCAGAGGAGGTTATGAAGGATGGGAGGATGCAGCCCAGGAGAAGGGGAATATGACTTGCGTGCTTCACAGATGATGGAATACCCATGGCCAGAAGACTGTGCAGCTCAGGGTCTAACACTGCCTATCTGTGCCACTGATTCAGTTTGCTACCTGCTCCTGGGTAACGGCCCACAGGGCTGCAGTGCTCGCTCGTTCCTTTCCACCTTCCACGGGCTTCCTATGCTGTCATAATCAGACCGCAATTTTCTAATTTCAGCAACTTTACAGAGTAAGTGATTGCATTAGTCAGTGCCTTCTTCCTATAAGAAATCAAATAAGGAGCGGAAGCTATATTCATATTTTATTTATAAATGGGTTTGTACCTGATTTTTGATTTAATTATCTGATGGCTCGATTAAGCAGAAGGTTTTACCCATCAAAGGCCTCTCTCTTTCTGGCTATCTTCCTTAGAGCAGCAGACAGTAAATCAAGCTGGGCTAATGAATGGCATTTAGAGATACTGGATGCATTTGATACTTCTGGAACATCTGGGTAGCCAAGTGGCGGGGGGGGATCCTGCATTCACCCTTCAGGGTTGGAGGAGGAAACTAAACCTGTTCACACACTGCTGAATCCCAGGAAAGAACCCTTTTAAGTCAGGGTGGGCAACCTCAGAAGGTCTTAAGGCCTTTTTTTACCCCCTGGAACCACTATCCCCCACCCTCATGGGCCACTGTCTTCCAAAAAATGATTTTTTAAAAAATGAAAAGCACAGGGGGCGGGGTCAGGATAGGGGCTGTGTGGCTGTGTTGCCCACCCCTGCTGGATATCCCCAATACAGAGGGGGATGAACTATTTGGGGGCAATCCAGAATTGCCTCTTCTAAGTGTCATTCCACAGCATGGGGCACATACCTTAGTCTTTGCAACCCCCAAACAGTTGGAGTACCCTTCTCCAGTCTGGCCCCCTCCAGATGTTTTGGATGAGCTGATGGGAACTCAAGTTCAAATCATCTGTAAGATACCAGGATGAGGAAGGATGACAATGGCGGGACGAGGATCTGCAAGCCAGGGGAGCAAACGGGAGCCCAGCTGCCCCTATAGAAGCCCTCTGCTGGGGTGGGCAGGCTCCTCAGTCTCAGCAAGCTGCCTCAGGTGTTGCACAGCCTGGCCTGCTTTTGACCACCAACCCATTTTAGAAGACGTGAGTTTTGATGTGTGTTTGCCCTGCTGCAGGCACACAAACGGACTAGAGCAAAATTAGGCTGACCATTGATCCTACTTTGCAGAGGATAGTTCTCTGTCTGAAAAGGTCTTCTAACGGATGTGTCCAGTCCAGGTCCTGTTTAAAATTGAAAACTGTAAGGAGGAGAGAGCATGAAATTGCCCCTGGACAGCTAGGAGCTGGACAGCATCTGAGCAGCATAGATCACCCGGTGAGTTTTCTCCACTATGGTGAGATGACTTGTATTTCTATTAAAATAGCATCTATGCAGAAGTTACACAAACTGATGTCCTCTTTGTCTAATGCCTTCCTCTTTTGGCATGGTGGGAGAGCCACCTGGGAGGAACAGGTGGGCATGGCCACAGGTGGTGTTCCCTCTCCCCTTTTATCAGAGCACTGAAAGATGCACATGCATTGCAGAATCCATTGCTGAGACCACGTGCTTCTGGCCTGAAACAACAGCCAATAAACACATGGAACAGATTTTGAGGGGAACAAACGGTGCCCATGCACAGGAGCACAGGTGGCTGGGAGGCATGTGGTTTGTACCTGATTGGCTTGGAGATACAGTGAATTATCTCCTGTCCTGCACAAATTGGGAAGTGGGTCAGATCATTTCCAAACCAATGGAATATGTGGGATCACTTGTGAGGCACAGAACAAAAGAACAAACAAAAGCAAAAGTGAAATCAAACACAGAAGCTGACCAAAACAAAGCTGGCTTCACTCATACTTCACTCATCCCTGAGACCTCTCTTCCCTCAAGGCTCCTCCATAAGGAAAGGATGCTTTCTCCCATGCAGCGTGGCTTTTGCCAGAGTTGCTGGCCACGACTTTCCACAGTTTTGCATGGCCAGGAGAGGTCCCAGAAAGGTTGTCCTGGGTGTAAATAGCTGAGAGCACAGGACTAAGTGGTTAGGAGATGCAGTTAGCATGAAACACCTCTGTGCTCGGATTTTAACGGAGCTGGGAAACATTTGCAATGCTCACCATTTCTGTGCCTGGGAAGAATACCCTAAGGAACAGCAAAGCAGAACGGGTGGGGTGATACACAGACGGCCCCACAGATTCTCTGTGCAACAGGCTTAAGCGGAGGCTTTGCCCAAGGCCATCCCTCAAGATGCGCTCCAGGCTCAGCACCATGTTCGTGATGCCACACCGGGTTCAACCAATGGATCGAAAAACAAAAGCCTGCTCCCCCCCCCCCCCCACGACCTCCCCACACTTCTGGAGAGAAGCATGTGGTACATTTACAGCTTGCTCTTTTCCAGTTCCATCCATGTCTACTTGTGATTCTTTCTGTGTAATCAGCCTTATGACAAGGGACAAGATCAATACAGAGTTAGGGGGCTAAAAAAATAATAATAATAAAACGCAAGCAAGAGAGCATTGATCTGACCCTGATGTGGCAGCAATTTTAGGCTTGCCTTAAGATCTAAGCCTACAGCTGGTGAAAGGACAATGCAAGTATATGGTTTTAGCCATGAGGTTTTAAATTACTTTCCGGTAAGGAAAATAATATCTTGAAAGCATCGATAAAACAGGCTTAGAATCGTGCTATGGATTTCATTTGAGAAGAAATAATAAAACCAGGGATAATTTTCCCAAATACCTCTAGTCATTGCACAGAATTGGCCATGACCTCTCCACTCTCATAGGCAGCTGCTTGACACCAGGTCAGGCTTATCCACCCCCCCCACCTGCCTTCCCAGAGTTGCCACATTTGACAAATGGTAGCTTCCCCAGTCACCTGTGACCCAATCCTCTTAACCAGAGATGCCCTGATGTGAACTGGGGACCTTCTTCATGCCACTTAACTCATGGGTTAGAAACAGGATGATCCATACCCAGAGCAGACCCATTGAAATCCAGCATGGGGGGTAAGCCAGGCATAACTGAAGTCCCATTGATTTTGATGGGTCTACTTTTCATATGACTAAGTCTGGAGCCAACCTTTGGGCGCATGAACTTTGGAATGCCCACTGAGCTGAATGTTTTTATTTAAAGAAAAAAAAATTTAACCTAAAAAAAAAATTCAACATAAAAAAAAAAAATTCAACCTAACCCCTTACCCTTACCCTTACCCTAACCCTAACCCTGCCTAACACTGGCAGGCAGCTTAGCATTCGCTCCTGCATTGCTTGCTAGGAGTCATGGCCGCTAGTTCTGAGCCTCTAACTAAAAAACCTTGATCAGCTTCTGTGGAATTCTCAGGGGTACCTTAGAGCAATGTCTGGAAAATGGCAGAGCATCCCATGGGCTCAGAATGGAGGAAGCAGTGGGGCCACACACAACGACCCCACCTCCAAATCCCCCCAAATACCACACCCCTCCTCTCAGATCCCCAGTCTTGCCGCGTCAAGTGAGAGGAGATGGTATCTGCAGTCATCTGAATATGGAGGTCTCCGGTTGATCCAGTACCTGATAAAGCAGTTGGGACTGAGCTTTCCAGCAAGACAAGTTCTTTGGGCACCTCTGGAAGAAAATGTCAAAAGTCCCTCTTCTCCCGTTGTTCATTTTCATTCATTCACATGTTACATCTCTACACTTACCCAACGCTGAAGCACTCTGGGCGGTCCAGAAAGATTAAAATGTTTAAAATACATTATCCAAACCATACATATGCAACCATTTAAAAATACAACATGGACACCCATCTGCCTAAAAACAACATTAAACAATCAACAGCAGGCCCCAATTAAAACTTCCTCTTCTGCTACCAAATCCCCTGGCAGTGAAAAGACAACAATAATAAATTTAAACAGGTTGGAGAAGCTGTCGAAACCATGAGAGACTGTTTGCCTTCTCTCTGTCCAACTTTCTAGCTATGAGATTTGGAGGAAGGAGAACCATGGGAGCAATTATTCTTTCAAGAGGGTTGTCATGTTTTGAAGGATGAACTGCAGGACAGTAACCAAGGCCTTTCTGCAAAGGTAGATCTTTGCATCTGTGATTGTAGGATGATACATAATGAAGCTGCATGAGATAAAGACTGAGGAACTTCTGTCTCTGGGGACACTTGGTGGGGAATGCATAAACAGCTTCCATTCGACCCTGGTGATGGATGTAAGGAAAGTGTAAACGGGGGAGGGAAACATACAGACGCAGGCCTTTTGAAGGCTCTCTTGAGAGGGAGAGTATTTGGCCCACTGGCAGTCTCTGGATCTTGGTCCTTCTCTCCCGTCTTCCTTTTCTCATTTGTTTGCTCATTTTGCTCCTGGCTTTGGCTGGAGGTTTTCCTACAAAACCTGGACGTGATGCATTTGCATGGAGGGCGTGGAAAGAAGAGGGACCAGGAGGCAGTGGTCATGCAGCCCAGGTTCCATCCCTGGTATCTCCACCTAGAACGATCTCAGTGAGATGGGCTGGGAAAGACCTCTCTCTTCCTAGAAAAGCCAGTGGGAGGTTGTCCACGTAGCTCAGTCATGGGCTGGATGTAGCCCTCCAGCTGTTTTGGTCTACTCCCCCATCAGCCAAAGCTGGCATAGCTAATGCTGAAGGATGGTAGAGTTGCAGGCCAAAAATATGGGGGGTGGGCACAAATAGCCCACCTTTGGAGTCGACTGCACCAGACTAGCGGATTGGATGCTAGTGGGACTTGGTATAGTGCAGCCTCCTAGGCGGAGAGGCAAAATAGAAAACTCTGTCTCCACTGTATCTAACACCAGGGAAACCAAATTGAACAGAATCTATAAAGCTAACCGTGAAGGTCGTTGGAAATGGCATCTACCAGGCACCTGCGGGACTTCTAAGCAGGCACACTCAAGCGTCGCACACTCGCCGCATGTCCAGCGTTACCGCTGAGGCATTGTTCTCACACGGAGCGCTCTTCCCACACGGTGGGGAAAGGAGCTCGATAGTGATGCGCAGTCCTCCCGCAACCATCCCCAGACCCCGAGGAGCTGCTGCAAAATGCGAAAGGACAGCCAAGGGACCAATTGCTTTGATGTTGCTCATTTCATGGGGTCGGCCTTTGTTGGTGGGCTCATTTGCTGCGTCCTGCAGTAGCCGATGCTGTCAGATGGGCTTCAAACTGGATCGAAGAGGCATGCCAAGCCTGATGGCCAGTCATAGCCCAATTAAGCCTGCACTTTATCAATCTGTTCTCAGGGCACCCATGATCTTTAACAGACAGGGAGCCACACAGCACAGGGGAAACGATAGGCTTTCTGTCACCCTAAGGGTTGTCATGACGACAGAGAAAATTAAGCACCACAATAGTAAAGATGCAGCTTTTAGCAGTATTTAACCATTTGAATGTTGGCAGACATTTTCTCCATCCTTTCTGTTTGCAATATTGTATTTTCAGCTGCATCTTTTGGCCTGGCCTCGGCTCTTACACTGGGCTGCTTCTTGTGCTTTCCTCGCTCACTCTCCATCTGTGGTCCAAACTGCATGAATGACAGCTGTATGATTGGATCCTGGCTGCATTTTATTTGTTGAATAAACAGCTGCTTAAGTGAGGGGAGGAATATCACAATCTGGAATGCGGCACGGGGGAAAGGGCATGGCATCCTGCGTCTTCACCGTGGTCCCAATCCAAATCGCCAAAGCCACGTGTGCCAATGGCAGCTGTTCCTCAAAACCATCCCCAGTCAGGATCAGGACTGTGAGAAGCGACAACAGATCCTTTGGGCCATGCTCCCAGTTGAGATCCGCAGCCTCACCTTCCAAGTGTGCCAGGGTCGCTCAGCTGCTGAACATCAGGTCTAGTTTGGCCCTATGTCAGAAGCTAATTGACATCTGGGTCTTGACATTTGGTAAGCTGCCCAGGAATCTGGCCGAAGGGCAGGATGTAAATCCCTACAACTTATTAAAATTAAGTGAAATCAGATTGAAATGGGCCCAAGGGGAGTGTCCAAACAATCAAGAGACCAGTAAACAGATTGGACCAATGCCAGTAATTTGGATCAGACAGGAGGTTGCAGCCAGGAGATCCCAGAATGGGCTCAGCAGACAGAAGACACTGGAAACCACACTGACAAGGAAGTTCAGGTAAGCAGCTCTGCCAGAAACAGCTCTCCTTGCAGGCAAGAGAAAGTGGGGAATGTGATGGGTCTCACTGCTTGGATGGGACAGGGGTGAGCAACTTGTGACCTTCGAGATGCTTCAGCCTACAACTCCCATGACTCTTTATCATTGCTTATGCTGGCTATGGTTGATGGGAGTTGTAGGCTAAAACATCCAAAGGGCCACAAGTTGCCCACCCCTAGGATTCAGAAGTTATATTAAAATGTCCCATGGGGCAGGAACTATTTCCCCTGGAAATCAGTTGAGTGATATAGCAGAACTGTGATTGGGCAGTAGTTACCCCCTTCTCCCTCTCTCTCTCATTCTCTCTCTCTTTCTCACTCACAAACACACACAAGTAACAGCAAAGATAATTGACTAAAATTATCATCACAACATTGCTCCCTTGCTGCTTTCTTTGCTCTCTAGGGCTAAACTCTAGAAAGTAATGATTCTGCAACTACATGGCAACAGTCAGGACTCCACCTACTTCCACAGGAGGTCACTCAGAAACCTCTCCTGAACCAGGGCTATTTCAAAGGAGTGGGGCAAATGAACTACTAAATGCACAAATGCTGATGCAGTGAATTTTCTAAAAGGTGGGCAGCCCACCTGAGACATCCAGAAGGTAAGCCTGATGGCTGAGCTAGGGTTTGATCAGTCCCAAGGCCAGTTTCACTGGGGTTCAGGTGGAGGTGCTGGGACTTCTCTTTTTATTTACGTCCATCGTAACCCAAGACACTAGATGGTGCTGTCTTGGGTAAACAGCAGAAAGACATTATCAGTGTTTCACATAAACACATGCATTCCATTTTTAAAAGAAAATACTTACTGGTTAACACAGTGACTGATCTAGCAGGCTTGGAAACCATGTTAGTGCTCACCACCATCAAAGTTACTATGTAATATAGGCCATGGTAGGTGGCATTAAATACCACGGGGGCAGGGAAAGTGCTGTTGAATTCATCAAACTGGAAAAAATAGTTCTTGGATTCACCAGTGATCTTCACCACATACACTGAGGATGACGAGCCCACCACATCGGCTGCCTCGAGGGAAACGACTATGCAGTTGTCTTCACGCACAGCCACTCGGAAAGGTCCCACATTCTGCAAAGCAATTTGGAAAGAAAACGGGGTTGTAAGAGGTTACTCCGGTATGGGGAGAGCAATCTTGCCTGCCACCAGATGAGTAGAGAGCCTCAGCGGTGCTCTGGAAATTACGGGGACTCAGAAGGCTTTGTGTGGCCAGACCAAGTATTGTTACCCCCACCCAAATTTGGGGTGTAAGTTTTGCCACAGTAGACACACTGGCCAGAGAACTTCTGCAAGCAACTATTCCGATGGTACGCCCAGGAATATCTGCAAGATGGCACAATTATTGCTTCGCACACTGGCATGTCTATCACCCAGACCAAACCAGACCAGACCAGACTGGTGCAGGAAGTGTTTGCGTCAAAAGTCCTTCCACGTGATGGCCGAGCAACAAATGTAACTGTCCAAGGCTGGCTCAAGGTATTTTGCAGCCTGAGGCAAAGGGCCAACCACTGTGCAAAGACACCCATACATACACATACATACACATACACATACACATACACATACATATACACACATATGCACATACACTCTCTCCATTCCATGTGCCGAAGCTGACTGGACTGGCGGTTGAATCCGAATTCGCTGGCAATGGGACAGTGTCCTTCACAAGCCCCAAAGGCAACAGACTAGCGCAGGGCAGTGCATGTGACCCAGTCAGGGATGTCCTCTGACACGCCACTGCTACTCTCTGCCCCAAAGCATCTGCTTCCTGATGCAACCACCTCCCTTGCCTAATGGTAGCCTGGCCCCAGGACTGGTGGGGAAGGGGCTGTGTTGCAGCAGGTAACACATTACAAGTTGCATGCCATGGACTTGTCTCGTTTTTAGTGCCTAGAAGGCCACTGAAGTCAGAAACACTTTGGATCTGGGAGGTACCGACTGTCATGCCCCAGGACACTGAAGTCTCCATCAACAGTAGCTCTGATGAGGCACCAGGACCAGCCCCTGGTTTTTCTGGACAAGGGCCCACTGCTTTGGATCTCATGCCCTATCCATGGATACACCCAGTGGGTGCTACTGTACTCTGACACTCTGAGGAGCAGACCTTGGCTCCTTCTAGTGAACGAGAAGACTCCAAAGAACAGTTCTCAGCCAGCTTCTCCCTGTCCAACCTTCACTCCTCAAGAGAAACTAACACCTACAGGAAAAGGCTACAATGCTCGAAGAGTCAGATACACCGCTGGGGGTGGAACTTCTGGAAATGCTCTGCTGGCCTAAATAAATCTGAGCCATTACTTCCAGTCAGTTCTGGCATAACTTGGCAGCCCCCCAGCTACAGCAGCACTCTCCATGGTCCTGAAGTCAAGTCCAAGATCTGAGCTGGGAGCCGCAGTGCTGGCTGTGGTTTTAAAGCTGCTTCCCATCCACTTGTCTGCCCCACCTGAGTGGTGGCCCAAAGCAGCTGATGGAATCTCAGCCGGAGCAGGACATTGCCAAGCATTGAAGCCACTGCTCAAAGTGGGATTGGATGCTATTAGTGGCTACGAGTCCTGGTTGCTACCTCCAGGATCAGAGCAGGACAGCTATGTGCACCAGTTGCTGCAAAACATGAGCCACCTGTCCTCTGTGTGGACTTCCCGCAGGCAGCTCTGTGGCCACTGCATGAACAGAATACTGGACTAAATGAAGCTTCAGTTTGCGCTTATGTTCTCCTGACTCTACCCAGTCACTACAATCAGTGCCTGAGGCCTTCCTTTGATCGCTGCCTTCAAGGGAGGCTGGGAAGCCGGCGATAAGGAATGCTGCCTTCTCAGTTCTGCTCTCCCAAATCTCCACAGTGAGACCCACCAGATGCCAACTCTGTCATGTTTTGGCCTCAGGTTAAGACTGCCCTGTTCTAGCAGGCATGTAATAACATATAAGGGCATTTAATGGCATAATGGGCATTTATGTCAGCTGTTTGTAACCGGCCTCATTGGTATGAAATTCTTTTAGCTGTTTAATGGTTTTTAGAATGTGTAAAACAAAACAAAACAAAACAAAACAAAACAAAACAAAACAAAAATGTGCTTCCTTTATGTGTCCTGCATTTTTATGAATGTTGTAAACAGCTCAGAGAGCTTCAGCTATTGCAATGCTATATGATATGATGATCGATAGAATGGGGTGGGGTGGGGTGGGGTGGGGTAGTTAAATATCTGTCCCACTGCTTTTCAGTTGGATGGCTGAATCTAGTCCAAGCTTCCCCCCCCCCCTTTCCCCCACTTTTAGCATGGACTGAAGTGTTCCAGGTCTGCCTGCTCCCTCCCCCTAAAAACCAAATGATGGAGAGCCCCTCCCCACAGGAAGGATGAAAGAAGCCATTCCTATCTTAAGTCCCACAGGAGAAATTCAGCAGAGCTTTGAAACCCTATCTTTTAACGTCAACTGTTAGTAAATTAATAATATGAGTTCTAGTGGAACAAGTGATTAATCCTTTAGTCCAATCTGAATACATTTGTATATCAGAAAGAAAAATACTTCAACAGGAAAAGTAATAATTTATTTTTAGATGCAGCACATTTAGAGGTTGCATTCTCCCTTCTGTCACACAGGAGGAAATGCTTCATTGGACAGCCCTTGCTGTCTTCAGCTTTTCTAGTTGCATCAAAATCATCATTTTATTTATTTTATTTATTAAAACATTTTTATGCCGCCCCATTCGCCGAAGCCTCGGGGCGGCTTACAACACTAGATCATCATCATCATCTACTGCCCAATTAATCAAGGTACCTTTATAGTCAATCAATGAGTTTTTGAAGCAGTTGTTTCTATGGATTAAGGGTGCAATCCAATGCATGCTTTGACACAAATAGTCCTACAACTCCCACCGCTGCAGCTAGAGAAGGCAAGCAGCTGTCCAGCTATTTTCTGTTATGGAACTGCATCCTAAGAGAGCAGTCCAAAGCACGATAGAATGTTAGACCGAGATCTGGGCTCTGATCCCTACCCAGCCAAGACGCTCAATGGCTGACCTCGCTCCAGTCACCAATTCTCTCAGTTTAACTACCTCACAAGAGTTGTTGTGCCACTCAGATGGAGAGAAGAAAGCGGACCATGAAAGCCACCTGGGGGACCAAATAAGGCTGGATGGCAGATGGCTCCACCATCAGCGTGTCCCATAATTTGGGCATCAGGTCCATGGCATTGCTCTAGAATTGACTCAAGGCTGCACATCGACTTTAACATTAGTGTTTTAAAGGAAATTATTGGATCCTTAGTTTCACTCCTCCATTGCCCCAAATGTCAGCATTCCAGGAGCAAGGTAGGGCTGAGATGGAAACACCCTAGGATCCACTGGATTGAAAGCCCTTTCATGGGTTACCTGCCCTCCTCTATGCTAACTCAGAGCTGGCATGATTGCTTTTCTCTCCCACAACCACCACCACTGAAACCAAATCAAGGAAAACAATTTCACGGCAAGAGCAAACTTGTCCCCTGCCTGTCCTTCCAGCACATGCTAAAGTGGATGGAAGAAAGATCTGGAGGGAGGTTTTAAAAAATCCCTCCTCATCCTTGAAGAACAAGTTGTCTCTGAGAATGGACATCTCTGAGAACCAAAGATGGCCTTGACATACATCCTCAAGCTTCAGCATGTCTTGTCCCACAGCCAGATTCATTTCTTTGCCACTTTTCAAAATTATGCAGCCTGCTAGACAAGTAAATATCACAACATAGAATCATACACACTTCATGTTATATCCACATTTCAAGCTAACAGAGTTACTGGAATTCAAATCTGCCTAAATGTGTGGAAGCCTCCATTAATTCACCAAAATTACTAGGATATCATTTACTAATTTACTACTAAGTCAGTACCAAAATACGATACTTTAGGGTGCAAACTTATGTAGCCTTAGACAGAAAAAAGTCCTACACCTCCCAGGATGCCGGAGGTAACACTGCTGTCTATGGAATCCTGGAAACTGTGGGATGTTTCTCAGCCTAAAAATGCATAGGATTGCACCCAAAGAGAGGGATGCTGTGCCCCCAGACTTCATGGGATGGGGGAGCATATTCCATAGGTGCAAGATCAGAGATAGAAGATCTGTCTTAGAGCAAGGTACCTGCACTCTGCGCCTCCTCCCCCACTTACTGCCAGAACCACTGGGGCATTGTAAAGCTCGACTCATTGGCATGTCACATGATGCTCACCCCAAACCGTCATCCTCACACTATTTATGCCATTATGGCCTGGATTTCTTCATGTATATGTTGCCGTTTTCCCCAGGTACAAATTCCAGTGTGTGCTAGACTTGCAGCCCTGCTCTGTGGGGTGTCCTAGTTTTGGTGGGCTGGAGGGCTTGGTGGGAATGGTGCTGAAAGAGGAAGGGTATGACCGGCTTGGTTCCCCACTATTCTTTCATGCAAGCCTGCGATCCTTTTAATTTTAATCAATTCTGTCACTCAAAAGTCAAAGGAAAATAGAAAGTTTTAATCTTTTTTTGAACACATTTTCTCAGCTGTCATAGATAATATCAACTCTCTGTCTTCTGCAGAAGGAAAAGAACATATTTGTCCAACTGTTAATGGCAAACTATCTGTCAGACATGACACTGCAGGATCCCTCAAAATTCAGCACCTGTTATTAAAATGAAAGAGAGACTATATTTAAGGGGGGTTGTGCAGCTTTTTCTTTTTCCCCATTTAATTGGTTACAGTGATGCTTTAGATCTCTGTGTCTTGCTACTGGAAAAGTCAGAGCCAGGTGATGTTTTCATCTCCTCTGAATCATTCTGCCCTTTGATGGTCTGTGGGAGAGAAACTTCAAACAGCTCAAACCCACAGCTTGTGTTTGGAAGTGCTGCGCTCTCAGAATAACCAAGAAAGATGTTTCACTGGCTTGACAGTTGGGTTTTACTATATAAGAAGTTCCAGAACCCTTCAGCAGTGTGACTCTCCTCACCCCTGGCCACAGGAAATAAGACATTCCAAGCCCACAAAAAGTTGTGTGAGCCATCGCTTGCTTGCCATGCTTTACGGAGGAATGCTTGCAGTTTGAGGACCAAATCCCATTTTGGATAAGCTCTCGGGAGCTGGATTCCAGGGGT